GTCCAGTTGTGTTGCACAGACAGTCCCTTTTTTCTTCCACAGAATACACCCATTGCACAAACCTTCCTGCTTCCAAAAAATCACATAGAATGGATCCCTCCCAACCCTACAATATTGTGGGCACAAATTATGGGTGCAAACAAACCCATCCTCGAGTGCAACCTTTTCTGCTATGGGGAAAAAATTAAAAAACCAGGAATGATAGACATCGGTGCTGATGTCACCATCATTGTCTGCTCGGAATGGCCACCACATTGAGAACTTCAACCTGTAGCAGGCACGCTGGCTGGAATTGGGGGAGTCACCGTTTCCATGAGGAGCAGATGCAACATTGTCATCGAAGGGCCTGAAGGAAAACTGGCAACCATCCAACCATTCATGGTAAGAGCCTCCATCACCGTATGGGGGAGAGATGCCCTGACCCAATGGGGGGCTTCTCTCCGAGTCCAAAGTCAGGATTTCTGATGGGGGCCACTGAAGCGCGCACTGTCCCATCCACTCCTTGACTCACCTGGAGTGATGACCCCCAATGGCAGGACTAAGGGCCCCTTTTAAAGGTCAAACTGCGCGCATTGCAAGCCCTCGTTGAAGAATGGTTAGCAAAAGGCCACATTGTTGAATCCAGTAGCCCATGGAACTCACCGGTCTTCGTCCTGAAAAACCTGGAACAGACAGGTGGAGACTCCTCCACGACCTTCGCAAAATCAACAACATCATTGAAGACATGGGTCCTCTCCAGCCTGGCCTGCCCTCCCCATTGATGCTGCCTTGAGACTGGACACTTGTGGTCATTGACATCAAAGATTTCTTTTTCAGCATCCCATTGCATCCCCAAGACGCACCACGGTTCACCTTCTCTGTCCCCTCTTTCAACAGAGAAGCTCCTCTCAAAAGATATCATTGGCTTTTCCTTCCCCAAGGACTCAAAAATTCTCCAGCTGTTTGCCAATGGTATGTTGTCCACATCCTTTCTCCTGTTCGAGAAGGATTCCCAGAAGCAATCATTCATCACTCCATGGACAACATCCTAGTTTGTGCATCAGAAAAGACGTACTTAGAAAAAGCTGTCAAAACAACCATTCAGACCATAGGAAAAACAGGATTTGAAATCTGTGAATACTAAGTACAGTACACCAGCCCCTGGAAGTATCTATGACTTCTAATCTGAGAAAGGACCAATGTACCTCAGCAGGTCTCCATTTGAGACGACCCAAAAACCTTAAGAGACCTACACAGCTTGTGTGGATACACCAACTGGATCCATCCCCTACTGGGACTCACAACACAAGACCTTGCCCCTCTGTTCAACCTCCTCTGTAGCAACAAAGACCTGGACTCCCCATGCACACTCACCCCAGAAGCCCAACAATCCATCATCAAAGTTCAGGAAGCCATGTCTTCACGTCAAGCACACAGATTTGAGCCAAATCTGCCTTTCCAGTTTGTCATTTTAGGAAAGGCCCCTCGCTTCTGTGGACTGATTTTTCAATGGGACCCTCAACTCACAGACCCCTTGTTGATCCTTGAATGGATTTTTACAAGCAATCAGCCCACAAAGACAATTACCACATTTCAGGAAATCATGACACATCTGATAAAAAAGGCCAGAACCCGCCTCTGCTCTCTTTCAGGGTGTGAGTTCACATGCATTTACCTGCCCCTGACCACAGGAGATTTGGAAAATCTGCTCCAAACCAATGAAAATCTTCAATTTGCTCTAAATAGCTATACAGGCCAAATTTCTATTCACATACCAAAACACAAACTTTTTAATCGAAGTGCAACCTTCAGTCTGGTCCCAAAACTTGTTCAAAGTAGATCACCTCTCAATGCTCTAACTGTTTTCACAGACAGCTCAGGTTCCTCTCACAAGTCTGTCATGACTTGGAAAAACCCCAAAACTGACAAATGGGAATCTGATGTCCAAATTGTGGAGGGATCTCCACAAATTGCAGAATTGGCAGCCGTTGTTAGAGCCTTTGAGAAATTCAAAGAAAAACCCTTTAGCCTGGTCTCAGATTCAGCTTACGTGTCTGGTATAGCTGTGAGAGCCGAACATGCTTCCCTCAAAGAAGTCTCCAATCCAAAATTACACCAATTGATTTCCACATTAATAACCCTAATTTCCAACAGAAAATTACCTTACCATATCATGCATGTTAGGTCACACACCGACCTCCCAGGTTTTATTACGGAGGGAAACAGGAAAGCGGATGCCCTGGCCATGCCAGTTGGGACTGCAGACATCCTCAACATTGTTGCTCAAGCAAAGCTGTCATATTCATTTTTCCACCAGAATGTACCTGCCCTTATGAGAATGTTTAAAATTCCAAAATGCCAAGCAAAGCCATTGTTGCAGCATGCCCAAATTGTCAAAACTACCAAGTGCCCTCTATGGGTATGGGAGCCAATCCCAGAGGCCTGAACAGCTGCCAGCTGTGGCAGTCTGATGTGACCCATTTCCCACCTTTTGGAAAGTCTAAGTATGTGCAAGTGTCTGTTGACACGTTTTCTGGAGCAGTTTTTGCATTGGCTCATGCAGGAGAAACAGCCACTCACGTTATCAAGCATTTTCTCCTAGCATTTGCCACTCTGGGAGTTCCAAAAAAGATCAAAACTGATAATGGACCCACCTACATCTCTCACAAATTTGAAGAGTTCCTCAGCGAATGGGGAATTGAACACATTCAAACCATTCCTGGAAATTCCACAGGACAGTCCATTATAGAGAGAACTCATCAAACCCTCTGAAGAGTCCTTCACCAGCAGCGGAGAGACACAGAAATTTTATCTCCAGTGGAAAGACTCTGCAAAGCTCTCTACATCATCAATTTCCTAAATGGCACCAAGTCAGAACCAGACCCTCCAATACTCCAACATTTTGCAAACTCAACCCAAGCAAAGCTCACTGAAAAACCACTAGTGCAGGTGAAAGACCCAGAAACACATCAGGTCTCTGGACCTTTCCAATTAATAACTTGGGGAAGGGGGTACGCTTGTGTCTCCCTGCCACCTGGACCAAAAAATGGTTCCCAGGAAAAAACATAAAACCATACCTAGGCATGGCAAAACCTACTCCAACAGACAACAACAAAAGCTCCCTAGAGCCAAATATAACCCTGCCTCCGCACCCCATCATAAAAAATAACTGATTTTACTTATATTCCCTATCAGAAGGCCCATCCTTGTCCAAAGATGAAAATTATCTCCATTGATGCTGTCCTCACTGCTGCCTGGATCCTCTTCATCGTGCCGTATGCCTTCAGCTGGATCAGTCCACAACCCAAACACAATGTCTGGGTGACTTTAGCAAAGACATTAAAACAAGATAACATGTGCCTGTCTATGGGCAACCTTGATAACCCACTTTCCACATGTATAGTAGGAATTCCCTTTGTAGCAGATGAATGGCCCATCCAGAATTCAGAGCTTCTTCACACCACTGGATGAAGAAACCACAAGACACGCATCCCTAAAAATCGAGCTGCAATCGCCTTCCTGCTGCTCGCCCACAGACATGGCTGTGAAGACTTTGAAGGGATGTGCTGCTTCAATCTCTCATCATGTTCAACATCCATCCAGGCAAACATCCAGAAACTGAGGGACCTCATGAAAAATGTGAAAGTAGAAACCACCCCAGACTGGCTCAACAACCTTTTTGTAAAATGGGGACTGACGGGGTGGGCTGTATCTTTGGTCAAGGGACTTCTATGGATTTTAATTGTAGCTATTATCGTATTAGTTAGTTATTATTGTATTAGTTATATTTGCATGCTTTGTTCAATGTTCTAAGAAAGTTGCTGGAAGCGCCTTTTTTAGTAAATACAGAGAGAGGAGTTGTGGAGGGAGCAGAAAACATTCATAAAGCAGAGAGCCCCTCTGTGTCCCTAGAACAGACCCCATGGAAAACCATAGCTTAAAGATAAGAAACTGCTTGTTAAATGACAAATTCAAAAAGGAATTCTAACCCCCATTAGTGGACCCCCTGTTATCTGTAATATTAGTGGTTCATTTTCCTTTAGTATCTTTAGGCTGGTTTTGAATGTAAAGTCTTTCATGGATTGGTCAGAATGTAGAATTCCCTTGGTATTTGGTGCAAAATGTAAAACCCTCAAAAGATATAAAAACCCCCGAAAAACCCAAACAGTTGAATATGCTGGACTGGATACCTTCACAGAATAAACTATGGAATTGTGCCTCTCTTCCTGTTCTGATCTCTTCACCCTGCTGGTTTGAGGGCGAGCTGCAAGGCAGATTCTATCCAGGCAAGGCTTGGAGTCGTGCCCTGTCACTGAGGACTGCTTTGGCAGTCTTGGGGATCCCACAGGGACCCCAGAACCCACTGGTGACAATCTGGCTTTTTTTGTTCTGTTGCTAATAAAACTCTTTTGATTCTAGATTTGGATATCAAAACGTCAGGGACTGGCTGTGTGAAGATTCAGAAAATAGAATGTGATAACTGCAAAATCGAAACAGAGAAGGGGACTAGTGTCTTGCAGTCAATAAAGGTACCAAGAACCCTCCCTCACTGTTTGAAAAGGAGTTGTGTGGTGAGATATTGTGTAAAAACTTAAAATAGCAGTTCTGGAGATGAGGAGTATTTCTCCTTGGAACACTCGTATTGCTCTGTGTATGGCACCTCACCTTCAATTATTGCATGCAATTGCTGCACAGAGTCAATAACATTAAATAATGTGGAGTCAGAAGTCCATGTATCTGTGGTAGCGAAAGCCAGCAGAAACAGTGACAGCAGTAAGCCTGATCCCTGTCTTCCCTGCCCCTCAAGGAAACAAAAAAAGATTGGGATTTCCTGTCTGGTAGATTAATAGTTATGCCTGCTCAATCAAGACTTTGCATTCTGCTGATTTTTGTGTGTGTGTGTGTGTGTGTATTTTTTGTATTTTTTTAATAATTGGTATATCAGAGCTTTTGACAATCCCCTTAATTTTCAATCAGAAGTTATACATTGCATGTCCAAAATACCTGACTGAAATGTATCTGATATATACTGTATATATCATAGGCATGGCCTTATTTTTTCAGTCTTAACACTTCAAGTTTGCTGACATTAGCTGTTGTAAAATAAATCACAGTTTATCTGACTTACGTGCTATTTGGAATCAAATTCACTTTATTGTTTGGGATTGCACCTGCAGGAATTGGTATAAATTCAAAAGAAGGGCCGCATTTTTCAGATATGATTTTTTTTTCTACGTTTTTCTCTATTGTGGTAAGAGATGATTTTATAACAGACATAGGGAAAACTGAGCTTAGGCAGAGGTGTAATATACCATAGAGCTAGGTTTTCTCTACATCTAGGGAGCTATAGACAACTTGAACCTTTCAGATTCTGTGTAATTGACCATTTTACTCTTATAGAAGTACCTAAAATCTAACAGAAGTTAATAGTACTATGTGATGCCTATCTAAACTTTTAATTTAAAACTATTCTGTTATGTAATGAGAACAGCAGTGCATGAGAAACCGCATAATATGAGAAAACAAGGTAGTTTTGGCCAGCAATAATGACAGTAATCATGGCATGCCATCACATCAAGAATTTTTTGTGGTGTCATGGAAAAAGATGGTTTTGAGGAAAGACTGCTAACTTACCTTCTGCGAGTCTTGTTTCAAATACAATCTAAGATGCGAAATACCTTAAATTTTAAAAATTAAGAGCTAGGTTTTAGTCTAATCTTGTTTTTAAGTACTGTAGTTCTAGTAAGGTGACTGAGCTCATTTTTTCTAATAAAGCTTCAGGAATTATATTCTATATTATCAGAGAAGCAGAATTATTTGGGAGAAACAAAAGTACTAGCCTTCAGGGTTTTCCCAAAACTACTAAAAATCTTACGGACCAGATGCTGTAGTGAAGCATAAGAGCTGATTCCCTTTTAGGGAATTTACTATACTGAGCAAACTGAAGTGATAGTGCCCTCCCCTGGTTGGATTAATGCTATTTTAATGTTGGTTTTCTGTTATTAACAAACCTCATTAACTAACAAAGCAGGAGACTCTTTCTTTACAGGAGAGAGAAAATGATCACTGATGAATGATTAAGTGAAAAAAATCTGGTCATGTAGGGATTATTCAAGAGCACCAGCAAACAGCTTCACAACTGCTGATTTTCTTAACTTGCAGAAAGTTTTTCTATAAATTGTAATTTTTAAAATGCTGTGGTTTTTTAATACAATCTGTAGTGTCTTTATAAAAGACTTAGAGATTTGAATTCTACATAGCTTAATCATGCATACTAGTAATTGAACAGAAAGGAGGAGCCTCTATGAGGCTTTTTAATGGATTTTGTCTGGCAGTTTTGGTGTGGTAGACATTACCCAGCCAGTGAGATTTGAGGGGGATTTTATTGTAATACCAAATACAGTTATGGCATTTAGTCTTCAAATTCTTTATTGAGAAAGTAGTGCTTCTTCTTTTTATTTTTTTTGTCATGCTTCTTATTATGACAGTGCCAGCAGGGAGACCTTTTAATTATGTTTCCTTGCTCCTCAGTTACTCCTGACTCCTTGACTGTGCTGGTGATAACAAGAATTTCCAGGCATCTCACTCACACTGCCATGCTTCCTTTCCACACACCAGGTCTGAGCCTGATTCCTCCTCTTCCAGTGTCCTTCTCTTCTCCTGAACAAACTTTCCTGGTTTTCCTCTGACATCTGTTAAGATCTTGACAGCCTTTTGCCTCTTCCTTATTCAAACCTTTCTCCCTTGCTCAGAGAAGCCCTATGAAAAGTTAGTGCTTTATTCTTTCAGCTGCTGGAATATTTCCTCGTAGTGAAAAAGCTACTTGACCATTGTAACTTTCTTCTCTCAGCAAATCCTTCTGTCTGTTAGGTGTCTCTAGAGATACCTACCTCTGAAAGCCTGGTTGGTTGTTTTTTCTTTTAGGAAGATATTCTAATAATTTGGTATGGGGGGAATTAGTGTGTTGTGGCTTTATTTTACTGAACTCTCAGTGGCCACACTGGTGAGCCCATGCTGTACACTAGTTTTTCCAATCGTGCAAGTTCACATATTCTCCTCAAGTTACATATCTGGAGGATTTTCTGTTTAACCATTATTCTGATAGCAAGCCTGGTGTAATTGCCTCAAAGGAACTGTGATGCCGCATTGAAACATTTAATTCATCATGTTTCTGTGTGAGGAGAGAACATTCTAGTTATTTAAATATGATTTTTAAATATTAGAATTTGTATGCAGTGAAACACTGTAGAATCTAGTTCTGCTTGCAGGACTAAGGCTTCCAGTGGTTAATGTGGTACAACTTAAAAAACAATATAACCATAACTAGAGAACAAGTTATCCTAATTATATGACTTTTAAATATTTTTCAGAGCCATAAAATTGATATACGAACAAATGGTGGCAAGGTAATTGGTCTTGGAACACTTTATGGAAATACAGATATTTGTGCAACAGAAAAGGGGGTAAGTAGGAAGTAAAACTTTCTTTTCAATGGCTTAATTTCATTTGCTGTAAAAGGACTAAATTCAAAGAATGTGCTAAAGAATATGTAAATAATCTTCATTGGTTGTAATTTCACTGTTTCTTAGGTTTGTCTGTTAAATTATATTATCCTGTGCTTGGATTTGGATTGATAAACAGGCTCCACAGAAAGCAGGAATAAGTATGTGATCATTCCATCAGTACAGAGGTTGTTCTACTGATGCAACCCATCAGCTTTAATTATATAGACCCCTCACAACATTATTAAACTCTCTACTTGGCTAATATGTAGGCACTTGGATTCTGCAGAAGGCTCAGGAGTTTAATTTAGTGTCTTGTAGATAGTGGCTTGATATTTGTAAATGCTGTACACTTCTAGTGTTATGTAGCTGTAAGAATGGAAGAGTAGAAGTGCAGACTTCTTTGCAGCTGAGGAAATACAGTCACATGTAATCTTGCTGTGAGATGCAGTGAGAAGAATCACAAACAGAACAGTTTTGTAGAGAACTAACTTGTTTTTTTCAGTAGATGGCAGTATGAGACTAACCCCAAACTACTCTGGTTTTGTTGCTTGGCAGAAGTAGGCAATTCTCCTTTATATAAAATAACGTAGAGCTAAACTCCCTACTTTTCTCACACCCAGCCTTGTTTTTAGGTATTGTAATGTCCATGGAACTGGTTGCATTAGGATTCATTAGATGTGAGGCATTGCTGTATGAACATGTGGAGCCAAGCCAAGCCTGAAGTGGCTTGGATGTGTGCTCTGTCAGAATCCATGGGCACCTTTAAACCAGCAGCAGTGGAAGAGTCAGAGTGGGGGCAACTCTCACTTACCAAGGATAGATTTGAGACCAAACTATTAAGTTCCAGGCACCCAAAGTCACCTCTATGCTGTTTGGCCGTGTTGTCCACCTTGTAGGCTGGGCCCCCAGATCAGTTCACTTACCTAGAGTCAGCTGTGAGCTGTTCTTAATGTCCTGCTGTAAACTAGGCAACTTGCCATTGGATTTTCCAAAAACTGTCAGCATTAATTTATCTATGCTTCTTTGTAAATGGGTGTGAGACTGCCTTTTATGTAATAAATGTAATTATTATATCTGTATGGGATAATATAGTTCAAAATTTGTTTTACTTTGAGCCTTTAAATGCTTTTTAGCATTTTTAAAGAATTTTCAGAAATCAGCCTTCTGAAAATATAAAATAAATGTCATACAGATTAAGTTGAAGTGCTTCTTTGTGATCATAAATATTTGTATATAGTGTGTAATATTACAAGAAGTCAATCTTAGAGTTGTAAAGCTGTAGTAACTTGAGTGAAGTGAGTCATTTTAGCACGAATTCACAGCTACAGAACAATATTTTGGCTTATGTTATTGAACTTCTCACTAACAAACTTTGTAGTGTAGTTAGGAAGGACAGATTTCTCAATTGGTCACTTCTGTTAATAATCAGTCAGCATTATGTCTCCTCTGTGTGTTTGTGTGAGATGTTTCTTCCATCGGTTGCAGTCATGATTATGTAATTATGGCTCTGTCAGCATTTCCAGCCCTCTCCTGGAGGTGGGGAGGGAGAGGATGTGGTAAAAGGCACTAAACACTTGAGAAATGAAGGATATTTTTTAAGGAGGGGAAGTGGGAGAAGACACTAGTAAAACATTTGAACAATGATAGCACAGAAAGGAAGGCCAAGAGCAGGGATTTGTGGAGAAGGAGCTGTGTATGTCTTATTTAAACATAGCAAGATGTTAGTTTTATCTTGAGAATGTGTTCAGGTGTAAAGCCTTCTCAGTCTGACTTATGCTGATGAAACCAGTGGAACTTGAGCATGTGGTCAGTTTTAGTAACTGCAAGCCCCAAGGCTCTATGCCCAAGGGAAGGAATTTCTTCCAGAAGATCTGGTGGTTAAATGGACAAAACTTAATGAAATTTGTTTGGCTGGGGAGTTATTAGCTAATCTGTGCCATGGGGACTTTTCTATAACACTTGCTTAGTAGAGCCAGACATCTATGTTCTGCCAAAAATCACAAGAGTTAAAGAATTTGAGGTTGAAAACATATTTGTTTTCATTGAAAAGCAATCCTATTTTTCCATGCTTTCCTCATCTAAAATACTTTTTTATTCTTATACTTGAGCAGTCTGACTTCCCCCTCCTCCATGCCTCTACCCTGATATGAGTTGTCCTGAAACAAATGTTCTTTGTATTGGTAGTTTTTGTTTCATTGTTTATAGGAACTTCTTCTGATCTGGAGCTGAGACAACTCTTTATATTACTGTGCAATTTTAAGGAAGGTAGTTGAGGCTGGTAAATGAGTTGGTATGTGAGATTGTTTACAATAAAGCACTTAATTTTAAAATAAAATAATATATTAAAATAGAGTTAAAACGTGCATTCTATAGTAAGAGAACTTCCCTTTGCCTGGTTAGGAATGCCACAAGGCAGCCAGTTGGTATCCAAACTATGCAGATATTTTAATTTTATTCCTTCTCTTTAAAGTGTGCTTTGTTCTACTTTCATTGTGCTGATATCAGTGATGGCTCTGCTCAAATGGGAAATGTTCTTTGCAAGTCACTGAACTCTTAGGACAGGTTGGATCATAGAGCCTGAAATAAGAGTGGCTTTCCCTTTACTTGTTGCTGTGACCATGTGTCACAGCAGGTTTGCACTTTGCCATGCAGGGCAAGGGAGTGGAGGAGACTCTGGAAGCTTTCCTAGGACAGATGCAATGCAAATTAACCTGTAAGATCTCTGGTTATTAAGGTTTTGTTGCAAGCAGTAGAAGATGAAAAGCTGAATTGCTGTCTGTTTCAGTAGTGTCAAGTTATGCCTTTTATTATTGGATTTTCTTTATATCTGTAGCATAATTCTAAGCAGCAACACCTGCAGTGATTGTAGACATTGACTGTCATGTATTTCTAATTCTGCTATGGATTATGCATAGCACTTTGATTTTCTTAAAGTTTAATGTATCTTGCTAAATTATTGGTGATCTAATCTGTATTGTAGCATCATGGGAAAAGTCTTAAGCCAGTAGTCCATTCTGTAATCTTATAATTTAGTGGCTCTTTGTGAATGGATGGGTAGGGTAAGGCCACAGAATAATTTGGCTGTCATACAGTCCATACTAAATCAGTTTCTTCAGCTCAGTTTTTGGGATACAGTGCAGCACCGAGTTTGTGCAGCACTAGTGGCTATTTGTCAGAATACCTCTTGCTTCATCCATAGCTTATTTATATAATATTAGACTGGAAGTGTTGACAGATTTATTTTTTATATCAACTTTTTTTTTGCACAAGATGGTAATGCTAAAATGACAAGGAGGATTTAAAAATTGAGTGAGGCACAGTTTGATCGAGAAAGCCATATTTTGTTTCATGTAGTGAATAAGGATTTTGTGCAATTCACTGAAAGTCTGCATAAGCAAAATAAAAACAAATTGAGTAGGGGTTCAAGTATGACCTATTGCATGCTTCCATCATAAATCAAATTTAACTGAGAATAGAATTCAGTTTGATATGGTTGTTGCACAAGCATTTGAATTGTTCTGTTTTGTTCAAATAGATTGAGATTCTATCACGTGACTCATCATTTTTACAGAGATAACTTAATCTGTCACCTTTTATTTCCCAAATCCATACTGCAACTTTTCATATTCTGTCTTTTTTCTCTGTTTCTATTGAAAAAACGTAGAAATAGAGATCTTATCACTGTTTTTTCAGGGCTTTGTATGTCTTGAGGCTTAAGTCCAAGAATAGAAGCCTGAGTAACCAAGGTAATAGGAAAATTATCCTGAGCAAAAGGGCATCTGGGTGGGGCTTTTTTGCAAACCTTCACCAAAGATATATCTACAAATTAGGCCAGTTAAAAATCTTTATAAATAGCTGTATGTATGTAACAAAGACAGTGGATGTTTCAGTTTGGTGGCAGAGAATTGATCACCAATGCTCTAAGTGTCATAATGCTCTACGAAGATTCAGTCTTCATAATTAAAGTTAATCCTTCTTTTGCTTTTGAAAATTAAGTGTTTAATTTTTGAAAATTAAATCAGAGTTTTCTTTCATCTGTTTGTGACTACTTGGGTTCTTCACCTGAATAATGGATGTAATAACTCATAGGAATGTAGTAAAGCATCATTAGCTCTTAAGTCAGAGCTCTTGGATGAGAAGTTTTTTTGTTTTGTCCTCTGTAGCTTTTAAATAAGAACCTGATTCCATTTCTCCTGCACTAACAACTGCTTTCCATTTGTTTTGTGACTTAATAGTGTTACTTCCCACTGCTTTTTCAAGCTGTGATGACAAATTTTCGATTATGTTTCTTTCTCCTAGAGTGTAAATATAGAGAAGCTGCAAGGGACAACCATCAATATATCTACTGAAGATGGGCTGCTGAAAACTAAGTATCTCTATGCAGAATCAGCATCTCTCTCTTCAGAATCTGGTGATATTATGTTGGGAAGTGTTCATGGTAAGAAGGAAAATATATCACAAATTAAGCTGCCTTGAAGGTATTCAGTAGTGTTCACAGTAACAAATGGACTAATGCAGTAACTATCACTAAATCAGCTGTGCACAGTATATGAGCAAAACAGTTCTATCTTTATTAGAGACTTAATTGATTTTTTGCCACCTAGCAGACTTTGTTTTTGAAAACAGTTTCATAAGCCCGATTATTAATAGCAAAAAGTGTGTGTTATAGGAAAGAAATGTCACACATACTAAGAACATCAAAATATTCTAAAATTCAGCAATGAAAATGATACTAAAAGTTGTCAAGAGGTTTCTCTTTCCCTCTCCCCATCCTTTATCGTCTTCATAGGAGAAGCAAATCTTAGACAGATCATCTACTAAGAACTATTGTAGTAGAGAGTAACAATTAGAATTTTTTATTAGAAATAGCCTGTGTGTTTGCTGGCACCTTATATTAAGAATGGTGACAATTTCTGTTTTTAGAAGAAGTTCTTAGAACTTCTTAGAACTTAGACTTCTTAGCAGTCTCTAAACCATCCACCCTTTGGTGTCCTTCCCGTAGATCTAAAACTAATAAACTACAGAGTCTTTTATTTAAGCAGCAGTTGAGGTTCAAATCTGGTGTGGTTTTCTAATTTAACAAAACTCCCACTGAATTCAGACTGTGCTATAATGCGTTTGTGGTGATTTAACATTGAGTAAAACAAGCTGGAAGATGTACAAAGAAAATTACTCAGCTCTGTCAGAGTTCCAAATTTTCAGCTATATCCCTTAAAAAGAATTTGCTACAATTTGTTAGCAATTTTATGTTGTCATCTTGCTTGAGAAATTACTTATTTCTGCATTGAAGAAGCACCTCCTCTGTCCATTTATATTAAATGTGAAAATGGTTTCTAGACCTCTTAGGTAAAGTTAATTTTAGCATACACTGAGAGAAATAAGCTGCTTTTTCTCTTGCTATTGTATTTTTCTAACGTGTAGACTTGTATTATTTTTGGAACTTCTGTCTGATAAGTCATGCTGGTTTGGCTTTTTATAACTTTTATACAGTGTAATGATATTGTGGAGTGATCAATTTGGGAGCAGGTTCATGTTTTTGTGGACATCCAAGAGTTTGTTTTTATTTTCTTGTTACAAAAATGAAATCATAGCTGTAGTTAATAAGTTACTTCCTTCAGTAATGTCTGTTGCCATTAAGCTGAAGAACAGCCTGGAAACAAATAGAATTGTATCCAAATTATGCAGACATTTCTTATGTTACTTCAGGATTTTTTTATGACCTCTCTGCTATATGAGTTTGGAACACTAATGTTTTAGCTGTATGTTTTTTTTTTTTTAATTGCACATTAACATTTGCTTGGTAATTTTATCCTATTTTTTGGAGAAAAAAATATTTTCTGTAAAATATCATGTTCCCCAATCATGCATTCATAGTAAGAGCAAAGGTTTTTAAAGTACACATACAAACATGTATTAGCAGACAAGATAACTCCTACTATAAATTTCTTCTAGAAAAAAATGGTTACTTCTGATTTTTGCTCATGAGGTAGCTCAATTGCAATAGTTTTGTCTGTAGACACCTGGACAGATTGTGTCTTGGGCAACTAAAGTCACCATTTCCCTACAGCTGACACTATAGATGGCATCAAATCAGGACATCCTGCACAAAACTAAGCTAGATTTCATTGGTTTTGCACTGGGAAAATTTAAGTTAGGGCAGCACAGACTTTACAAACCTGTGTGAGACACATTCTATGGTTGAAACTTAGGCTGTACAGTCACAACACTGGTACAGCTCAGACTTTCACAACTGCTCATTTGCATGCTTCATGCTCCAGTGGCAAATGAGTAATGCATTGTTTTGAAATTAGTTAATTTGGGGTAATTTTCATCAGCTTCTTTAACAGACATTACAGATGTCCGGTGCTATTAAGCTTTTGAGTTGACATCTGTAAAAGAAATTTCATCCTGAGAAATTTCTTTATCTAAGAGAAAATAACATTACAGTGAGCCTTTTCTGCCAAGGGGCACATGGGAGGAACAGGAAACCCCTCTTTGCAGGTTCCAAAGTCTTGATTTGAGTTGTATTAACTATTAATTTATTTTATAAATGTAGCTTAAATTTGGACAAGATATCAAATTCCTTCCCAAATAATGTTTAAAGTGGGCTCAGTTAGACCAAGCTTGCTCGAGGCCTTGTCTAGTTGAGTTTATATTTCCTCTTGACCTTTTCTTCTGTCATAGTCTAGTACCTATTCAATTATCTAAAGCAATCACCCTGGAAAACAAGGTTATTGAGGTTCCTTTATATATTTATGCATTAATGTATGTACAGGAAAGGGTGAACATATAACTGCCTTGTGAATGACTTGAATAAGACAAAGTAGAATATCTGCCATCTTCCAAAGGTAGTGCAGTCCAATGCTTGAGCTTGGCATTCTATAATCCCTCTTAAATAATAAGAGAAAATATATCTCTTCATGTACCAAAGTGTGTTCCATATATTTCAGCTACATTTCTGGATTTCACTGTATGTAGAGTGGAATTGTAAATTTACATTTTAAAATTTCATCAGACTAAATTACAGACATGTCTATAAAGAAGTGAAAATAAAAGTAATTTCTAAAGTGGTAAAAAGTTGCATATGGTTTCCCTTTTTTGTGCATTGAAATAGTCCTGCCTTGTTGAGAGCCTCCAAAACAAATGGAAGGACTATAAATAACACAACATGAAATGTTGCCTTTACATCCCCAAAGCAATCTTTTGCCCCTGGTCCTATACTGATCCTGATTGCAATACTGTAATTTGAAATTTTACTATGTTCATTGAAGAAGCAAAGATTGTAGATGATAGAAAAGATAACTCTCTCTTCAGAAGCAATAAACCCCCAAAACACCAAGGCACTGCTCTGATGAAATTATTATGTTTTGGATATAGTATTGCATTACAATGCTGAAATCAGTTGGTTGTAGTAATGAATTTGGTTTAATTACCTTTAGTCCATTCTTTTTCTCTTTGCCCTTGATAAGCCCAAGAAATACTTGCCTAACTTCAAATCCTAAGTTCTGGCCTTCAGAGAACAGGTACATGACCGAAAATGCAGTGTCTATAGACAGTGCAAGACATTCCTGTCTGCTTCCAAAGCAGCTTTTGTTCTAGCTAGATGTTTGAAGTGAACTTTTCACACCAGTATGTTGTGTTGACATTGCACAGCATCAGTGGTTCTGCCATATAAGTATGTGTCTTGAAGGAATTTGATTTCTACTTGTTGAATATTTTTCAAGGATCTATTTATCAAAACAGCAAAGAAAACCCCCAGAAAAACAAAGAACAGACCCAAGTGCTATATGCTGACAGAATATATAATCTATCTTCACCTGCTCCATGGGAGCTGCCAGTTAACAAAACCCTAGGTCTTTTTGTAGGTTGTACCAAACTAAATGCCAGTCATGATAAAATGAGAAAAAGAGTAGGATAATTATGGCATGCCTTTTAAAAACAGCAAAGAGTGAAGCCAAACATCTTTCAAGGTCATTGAAAAATGCTTTTGTTTCTGCTCTGATTTTCAGAACTCCAAAGTATTTTGTACAGTATGTGCCTGAAAAGATGAATTTAAGACTGTTGATGATAGGCTTCTTTTCTAGCTTTCAGCCCATGAACCACTAAGGAAAATACAGGTCATATACAGTGGAATGCACTCTGCCCTAATGGTTGTTTACCACTGTGTAATTACATAAGATAGGGTAGAGCTTTATCTATTTGCCATTTTTAAAACCTCTTCTGAAAGATCTGAAAATTACAACTACTGTGTATTACTAAACTGTAGTCGGTTTCTGTGATCAGCCTTTTTCTTCAGCCTTTCTCCTGAGAGGATGAGAGAATGGCAGGGATGACATGGTGTGGTTTGGTTTTTAATTTAAAGCATTTTCTGTGGCACATTTATACATGGAACTGTAGAAGTTCCTACAATTTAGTTAGACTGTCAGTAGTGCAGATGTCTCTTCTGTTATGAGGTACATCTGTCATCCTTCCAGATTCTCTTGATGTTCTAGGTGAAAGGGCAGAATAAGTATTTTGAAATTCTAAGGCTGGAACACCTGTGGCTGTTTAAAGTGATGCAAGTTCAGTAGAAGACCATTCCACATTTTATGCCTTACCCCCTTTGTTTGATGTTCTCCACTTTGCCCAACATACTCTGACTGAAGCCAATGGAAACGTTGACAAGGGGTTGTCATGCACGTAAGAATAAGTTTGGAGGGAGTAGGAAATGTTCAGTGGGTCCAGGAAGTAGCCTTTGCAGATGGCACACGAGATTCCTTCCAGCAGAGATGGGGTATAGGTATATAAAAGAGAAAATAGTAACTGTTTATGTTATTCATGCAATTGAACTTAAATCATCCATAGTGCTGTTGCAGGCGTCAGAGCAATTAACAAAAAATTGCCTGAAATAAAATAAAACAATATTAGCTTTGCATGTGCCTCTCTACATTTTTTTCTCCCTCAAATCCAGGTGGTGTCTGTGGCTTTACTCAATGTTTTTCTTGTCTGGAATCACTTGATTGTTACCCACGTGTGTTGAGGCTTTTGCTTGTAAAGTTGCAATATAAAAAATAAATAGATAATATGTTTCAATAATATGTTTTTAACATTTTTCCCCTTTTCATTATAGGTAATACCAACCTACAGACCAAAGCAGGGAGTATCACAGTCGGTAGGTTCTGCCTTCTCTCTGTCTCTCTTGCTGTTACCTTCCCCTTTCTAAAATCTAAATATTCACAGGGGAAGTAAAGAGGAGGTGATTTCACACCAATGTTTTTGCCTCCTTTTCAGGAGTAGCACTGGTAAGTGTGAAGTGTGGCCCTTTCCAAACTCAGCCTTTTGTGGTTGGGCAAGGCACACGATCTCACTGATACCCTGTAGCTGCTGGACTTCACACAAGTTAGACTGAGCCTAGGGATCATCTGGGAGATTAGGATGGGATAAAAGGACACGAGAAGATTCTTAAGTCTACGTCAAACACAGTTGTGCCCTTATTAAGGTAGTTCTCTATCTTACACTTCTTGCTGTCAGTGATTAGCTGCGTTTAATTTTTATATAAAGAAGCTAATCATTGAAGTATTACTTATTTGGGGAGGTGATGGGAAGGCTTTTGATAATTTCAGTGTTTTCAAACTATTATGCTAATAGTTTTCCCTTCAGAAATGAAAATAGCTCATAAACATTTTTTGGGAACCTGGGCATTTGTATGACAGGGTAACTCAGCTATCAGTTGTGGTATCACTGATACCTTATATCAGTGCATTTTTCAGCACACAAACACCAAAGGGAGAAACTCAAATTCTAATTATTGCTATGGCAGAAGATTGAAGTAACAGAATTATAGACAAGGCTCAGTGTATTTTTTGATTGTACAAAGATTTCCTCAGGCCCAAATCTTGAAGACTTCTGCTGATGGTGTGAAGTATAGTCACTCACTAAGCATATTTCAGGGACAATCTCTAAGAATTGTTCAGGGACCGTTAACAACTCTTCTTATGTTTCTAAGAGCTCTGCATTAACATTCCTGGAAAATGAATGCAAGACACATTCTTATGAGTTAGTCATTAAACCGCAGAATTAAATTCAACTTGCTAGGCTGTTTTTCCTTCTCTTAAATAAACTCATAGTGTATGAAGAGTGGTTAAATAAAGGTTTTTAAGGTAGCTTTTTCCATCAACAGATGATGATTATTTTCCTTAACTAACGAGGTTCAGCTTCAGTATTAAGACACATCTTACAGTTGAAGAAACTTTATTTTTCAGATTTCAATTCTGACAGCACTAGTTAGAGTACTAAATAATACTAAAGAGTATTAAACATCCCTGGAATTTTATGGATTTTTCTAAAGGTAAAAAACTTCTAAGATCCAGATTTTCAACTCTAAAAATGAGAACACCTACTACTCAACCAGTTTGCTCGAGGCCTTATCCCTTATTTCAGTTGCAAGGGACCTGCAGTGATCATCCAGAACAACTGCCTGGCCAAGGGCTGAAGTGTCTTCTTTAGGGGCTCTTAAACAGTGACATGCTTGGGGCACAAGCCCCTCTCTGGGAACCCTGTTCCAGTGTTTGAGCACTCTCTCTGTAAAAGAATGCTTCCTAAAAAAGAACCATTCCCATGCAACCTTTTGCTGGACACCAGGGAGAAAAGCTCAGCATCTCCTTGTGCCCTTCCCCTCCTCAGGAAGCTGCAGAGAGCAGTGAGGTCACCCCAGATTCCTTTTCTCCAAACTAGACAAGCCACGTGGTTTGGGCTTTTTAGGAGCAGAGTAATTTATCAAAAAGAGACCATGGCCTTTACAACCAATGAATATAACTTAAAATTGGGGTAGAAAATAGATCATTAAGAGGTAAAAGGATAGCCTGGATAATTTAGTTAGGAAAGGAATTGTTTTCATGAGTGATTTCTTTGCTTTGTGTGCATCATTTGTTCTGCTGGGTCCCCATGGTAAGTATGGTCAGGACTGCTAAGGATTTTTCAGTAGTATGTGCAATTTAGTGAATTCTAAATAATAAATTATAGTGAGGTATATTTAGTGAATACATTTCAGTTTCTTTTACTTTTCATATGACAGTATTAGAACAATGAACTAAACCAAGAATATTTGCCAGTTTTCTATCAACACAAAATAGTAGATAGCAGGAATTAAATCTTCATCACACTTAAGATATGTTGGAATTTTATGCTTCCTCCACTCTGTAATCAAATCATAATAAATATTTTGTGTTCCTATAGACATTGATTTTGTCACTGATTTTACCATGAACAAGGTCAGTCTTTAGGTGGTATTAGGAAAAGTAGGTTATTGCTTAGATTTAATGAAAGATCACTTGTGTTTAATCCTTTCTTTAGTGCTTGGCTGATAAAGTGAAGGGAGAAGTGATATTAAATGTTGCCTTTGTAGGCCTTTCACTCATCTTGCTGTGCAGACTTTCTCAAGTTATGTGACTTAGGTTTTATTCTTCAAGCTCTATTTAATTTTCATAAAACTTAACAAAGACTTTTGTCCTTGCCAAGAACATCTTGCTTCACTGTGCTCGTTTTTCTCATCTTTTTTTCTCTAGTACCAGTAAATTCTTAAACTGCTAAAGCTGCTCAAGAGTGACCATCTGTTCAGTTTCTAGTAAAAGGCTTTGTCCTTGTTCTCCCCCTTGAAAAACCTGGAGAAAAGCTTTTCCCTCTCAGTCCTTAGCAAACTCTGAATTCAAACTATACATTTTTTCCTTATTTTTACCTTCAGGTATTCACATTCATATCAGCAAGCACTGGATATATATTTGAAATTAAATTGCCTTAGGTTTTATTGTCATAACCATGAAATATGTATTGTCTCCATTACATTGTTATGTATTTTATCCAATCAGCCTACGCTTCTTAGTATAGGGTAATTTTTCATAGTTGAAATATTAATTTATTTAGATTTGGGCACTTTTTGTTCCTCATCTTTGGGAGTTTTTAAAATCCATTTTCCTTTTATTCCCCTTTATTTGTTAAGAGTTAGAGACACAAACATAAAACAGCATCTCTATGGACTTTGCAGAAGTGATGAACAATTCCATATTTCTTGGTATTCTTACTTGTATCTTAAATTGAATCTTAATCTCTGTCAAGATTAAGGAGAGAGAGTTGGTGATTGGCTGTTACTAAATTTGGTGGGGAATATCTGCAAAAACAGCTTTGCATGAAAACTTCTAGTGATCACTTAAAATGTGCGTTAAAAAGGTTGATGCGTGTCAAATTTTCCATTTCTAATGACTTTGTCTTTTCAACTATTATGAACAACCTTCTAAAAAGTCATTGGTTAAAACTGATCTTTCATTTTCAGTTAGACAAGTAAAACTCTTCATTATTAATGAAGAGGGGTTTTTTTTTGCCAGATTTTGAACAGATCTTCTTTAATACAAAGTCTTGAGATGGCAGAAACATTCACATCCACTTCTAGTTGTTGTTTTCTTTTTAGCCAAAGCCCTTCTCAGTTTCTCAACTAAGTATGGACTAGCTGCCTTTTTTAAAATTACTTTTCTGTCCAAAGAAATCAGCTTTAGCTGTGGGATGAAGATCCTTTTCTGTGTTTTTGCTGTTGTAAGCAATGCACTGATCTTTGGCATCTGTGCTTGAAACCTGGGGTCAGAAAAGCTCCAGATGAGTTTACTTAGAGCTAAAACTGTATGGCAAGCATAAAATATTAATATAATCCTTGTTATGAATAATTAAGTTCATTCTCTCATTAATGCTCTTACTTTTTAAAATGGGAAATTTCATTCAGGTTTTATTTTATTTTAGCTACTTCTAACAGTTTGACTGTTGGGTTTTTTCTATGCATATTCAGAAACCAGTCTCTATCAGTATCTTAGGATTTCTTGCCAATACTTGAATTTCTAGCATTGTCTCTAAAAATACCTCTCAGTACTTTGCTCATGTACAAATATAATTTTTTATGCTACTCTAGAGTTTCTTCATAATTTCTTTACAATTTTTATTGGGTATAAGCCTGTTCAGTAGTTTGAAAGTAAACTCTTTGAGACTTCACTTAACGTTGTAGAAGTATTTAAAATTGGAATACATTGCAAATAAAGACTACTCAAACGTACAGTTAAAGCTTCTTAAAGATTTTCTATTTGTAAAAATGCTTCTTCTCAAAGTTTTAGGATAATAAATTTCTGCTAATAAGACATAACAGTAAATGTAGGCCTCCGTATTCCAGGGTATAGAACAAATGCTGTTTTCCTGCACATACCAACACATTTGTTGATAATTCAGATTTATTGACTTTACAAAGCCTGTGTTCAGTTATTCTGTGTAATAAGATGTTTTAGTGAACAGCTGCTTGGTTTTTGCATGGAGTAGCTTTCTTGGGTAAAGCTCTTCCTGCACAGAGTCTGAGCAAATGAACTCTTTTGGACAAATAAAAGAGATCTCAGTATTCAAGTTTCATGCTTGATTTTCACACAAATATAAAGACATTCCTGTAGAAAGATGTGCACTGCTGTTGGGTTCTTATAGATGGAGAACAGCAGAATTACAGCCTGAGGACCGAGTGTGCCCCATTCTGGACTGGGAAGATACCTTTTTTTTAAGAAACCTGTTTTTCTCTGTGAAGGCTGACATTATGTAAATTACTATGATACTTCTCAAGCACAGAAGAATTGATAAAAATCCATTTGAGGTACAAAGAAACGTTCTTGCAAATGCTTACTTAAAAAGTGAATAATACACAAGTTCTTTTCTTTTGTTTTTTAGATTCATCAGATGGAAGTCTAAAAGCTTCTACGTATCATGGGACAATAGATGTTTATGTCAGTCAATTAAGAAAAGTGGATCTGAAATCCCAGAAAGGTTAGCAAACTAAATAATTTTTTTTTTTGTGGCAGATTTTGATGTAAAAGAAAAGGAGATAAGGGTTTGTTTTGGGGCTTTTTTATCTATCTGTAAAAAATAGTTTGTGATTGTTCGTTATTTACTTTTTTTTTGCATTATTATTGGAAGATACCTATAAATACTTAAAATACAATAATCTCTGTAAGGGACAAGAATATTTAAGATGGATTATAAGCGTTTGTGTTTTTCAATTTTTTTTTTTTTTCCTGGTAATATATGCAGCAGAATTTCTGCAGAGCTGACTAAGGTTACAGTGTTCCTTTGCCTTGAGCACAGTTTTCTCCATGATGCTGTGTGTTCAGTGATAACTGGCACACATCCATTTTTTCCTTCCTGACTGAAATGTCCTACTATGAAAATTTGAAGGCAGAAAAACAAAGATGGGAGAGCCTTGCATTACCATTTTTCCTTCATTTTCTCTCCGGCTTACTCATTAAAATTTCTCTTCTTAGTTAAAAGTTCACACCTAAAGTTGAATTCATAGTTTTGACATTCTGAAAATATGATACTGTAAAGTACAGAGCCCTGAATACATCTTGTTCATTCTAGTTTGGGAAAAAAAACCGCAAAACACCAAAAAGCACAAAATACAAAAAAATCCAAAACACGCCAAAACACACTACAGCATTTTTATTCATGACTTTAATGTCATATCAGGCACTTCAGGTGGTTTTAAATGAACATGGTATTTGGTCCACTTCTGTCTCCTGTGAAACAATGCCTGTGCCCTGTTTAAACCTAATGGTTACTCAAAAGGGAACTGATAGTGTCAATGAATTGAAATAATTTTGCATCTTTCTGTGCAATCTATTTTGGTTTCATTAGTGCAAAGAAATTTATTTTTATATTATTTCTTGTTGCCTTTTGTGTCACTTATTTTGTTAAGTTAATGCCTCTTTGAGCTAGAAGAAAAGAGGAATGTATTTAATAAAAGCTAATTAATGTTCTTCTCAGAATATTTTTTGACATCTCTTCTGGCAGCACAGTTTAGTAAAGGCAAAGTTGAAGTTCTGTTTGTTTACCCTGTAAATTCAGAATAACTGCTGACAGCTGCAGTGTAGAAAAAAGTCCCTTTTGTGATAAATGAGCTGCATGTGTGTTGGTTTTTGTGAGTCATCACTGAGCAACTCTCCAAAGAAGACCCGAAGATGAAGGCCTTTTCCCTTTCTTATTCTAAGGCTTTTGTGTATCCAGCAAAATGCAGACCTAAATTATACTGGAAGTTATTTGTTCATCAGAATTGTCACAGGCAAGTGATTCTGCTGAGTCTAAATTGCTTAGCTAGGGTTGCTTTCTGGTGCTACTTAGCTGTTATTCTTACCATGTTCTGCTTAAGCTTCTGGGATGTGTGTCAAGAAACTGTTTTGTGTTTTTCTAAAGTGAATGTTGGAAATAGAGCTAAAAATAAGGAGCACGTAAAAAAGAAACATATTCTAATTTTTTTATGGTTTTGATCTAATGTATAAGAGAGAGCTTTCAAGCTTTGTGACTGAGTTATTCCAAAGATGACTAATGTGGGCAGGTTGGAGGCCCACTCTTTGCCTTTGGCCTGAGGCATAGATGCACATATTTAGGGGAAGCAGAAGTCAGAATTTCTGGTGATAATCTCAAAGTAGACTTATTCAGGCCACCAAAGCTGTGATTTTGCTACTAGTTTACATTTTAGTGATGTATAGTCTAAAGTGGTTGGTCAGTTTAGAGACTGTGTCTGTTGGAGGATGTGAACAGCTGGCCCTAAGCAGTAAAGCAAAGACAATCACCAGTGTTCACAGTAAGTGAGCAATGTCTCATCCTGCCAGAGGAGCAATTTTTTCATCATTTGCCACGCAGTGACTGGGTTATTTGTCAAGTCTGATGCTCTGTCCTTGCTCAGGAATGTCAATATGCAACTGGAAGATGAACTTAGAGTCATAATACTTGTGAGATCTATTATATTTACTTCTGTTGATCATTCCTGTAATAAGATCCTCTATCATTGCTAGAAGTGTATATCACTATTTATTTTCATGTCTGTGAAGGAAATACTGTGATACCATTTTCTGTATGTGACATACTCTGTTAATGATAAATGAAGATACCTTCATTTATCCTTTCAGTGACAAAAAAAAAAGAGGTTACTGTTTCTGAAGACTTTTTAAAAAACCCAACCAAGCACAACCAAATTATGATTTGATTCAAGTTAGTGAAATAATGGACTATTTCATGCTTTGATCTCAGGATTAAACTGACTAGCTTTCACTTAAATTTATACCAGGTTCAATTACAGTCAAGGTACCTGCATCTCTCAAAGCCTATTTAGAGCTTTCTGGAAGAAAAGTGGATGTGAGCTCAGAGATCAAGTTAAAAGAAACACAGAGTGCCTCTGAAGATGATCATGTGACTCTAAGTGGTAAGGCTTACTAATCTTGGCTTCCAATGAATGTCTGTCTGGCCTAAGTCAAAGGCATCCACATTTCTTTATTAGTTTATTGTCCTTGGCGGCTGCTTGTTTAATCTGCTTCACATTCAGATGTTTGCTTGTGCTGTTGTACTCCCCATGTTACTGGATGACTTAAAAATTTTATTTGGTAAATGACTTGTGAATGTAATCAACTTCTTCTAACAAAAGTCTTAGAGCCAAATTCCTCCTTAGCGCTAGTCCAGTGAATCTGTGGGAGATAATCCAGAGCTGAATTTGACCCATTGCTTTGTTGGCTTAGAAAGTCACACAGACTTTCCTAGGCAATCTGTGATATTAAAAATATAATTAAAAAAATCTGTCTGTTTCTGAGTCAAAGGGGGAAATAAAAGGGATATATGGCATATTTATAAATGTACAGTAGTGCAGGAGATAGGCTGAGAAATGATGAGTGGGAGATGAGAAAAGCAGAAGAAGCTGGAGCTGGAGGAATAGAGAGAGTACATGGAAAGGTACCTGAAGTTACTGGAAGTATTCTTGTAAGGAGTTTAAAATTGAACTTAGAATCCCAGGTCTTATTCTTTCCTGCTTTAGAAAACAGTTACACAATTCACTGTCAGGGTGTGCATTTCTCTCCCCCACTCCAGATGTGGCTATCTGGAATTTAAGGCTGTTGCTTTTACCAATTACACAGTTTGCTCTAGAGAAAACATTAACTTAATGTGTCTGAGGGCTCCAGCTTTATGTTTGAACGTGTTATGTCAATGTGACCTGATGTGATAGCAGATTGGGTAAGGCTTTGAGTTTTGCTCTGGTTTTAAGCCTAAGAAAACATGTACAAAAAACTCTTTCTTTTCCTCCCCCATGTAAGATGGTAATCTCAAAGTCAGGAAACATTAGAAGTGTAGTTACATAATTTTAGTATGGAGCCTGCTTATATATCTATTCCATTTAGTAGTGGTTATTAAATATAGTTTCTTTAAAAACCATAATTAGAAGTTTTCAGGCTAGAAATCTGTGGAAGGACCCAAGATTCCAGCAAGACTCTGTGGAATAATCACCTCAGCAGTAAAACGAGACTTCTCAGTGAATGAGGACCACTGGCCAATCAATCATCTTGTACTTTGGCAACATTAAAGATAAGAGTGGTGTTTCAAATATACACAGCTGAATGACTTCTCTGGTTTCACAACCCAGTCAGTGTTTGTGTAGGACAGCCATCACTGAAGCAGATGCAATTTTTCAACCCACTGTTCTGTATGGAAATTATCTTGGTACTTGAGGCCAAAAATTACTCTGATTAATTAATTCTCAAATATACACATCTCAAAGGCACAGAAATCATCAAGAATTATGCAAAGGCAACAGCATTAAGTTAATGATTATCAGTTGTTTAAAGAAGTTAAGGCATTACATAACAAGGGAGATACTTCCTGCTTCCATTTCTCTTTACCTTATGTTGTATTCTTTCTGCGGGCAAAGCACCTGCCCCCTCACTATCAACAATTGCTTTTTCCTAAGGGTGATATTTGATAATTTTCTTGTATAATTAGATTCAAAAATAATTGAAAATCATTTAATACCATTTTTGTATCCTGAGAACATTATTCACTGTTGAAGTTTCAGGTACAAGGTCTGTAGTTGTCCTGCTGCTGTGACTGAAGAAATGTAAAATAGATAGTGAAGAGGGGTTTTGCCAAGTGGTTAAAAGCTGTATCACAAGAGCATGGCAGTTTAGGAGTTTTATGCTTTTGAGTTCAAAGATTAGTTTGAAAACATGATTTTTCAGAAAATCCAATTCTCGTGTGAATAGCACAGGAACTGTGACCTGTTAAGAAGTTTACTTGCCTCTGGGAATATTTGAAGGCTTTAGAGAAAAGGCTGTCCAGTGGGAAGACAGGGCAGAGTTCTTTGACTTGGGTAAACATGCACTTTGTCCTGCACTTTCCTGCTTTAGGAAAGCCTTCCCTACTGCTTTAGAGCAGTTATCATTTACCCACTTCCACACTGAGAGGGCAGTCAGTACACTACAGTCCCACAAGCCCTCATATCCAGGGTTTTTCCAGATAGCCAAGGAATAGAGTGGGATTTAGTGAAAGCAAAATGATTGAAGTCTTGAGTGAGAGCTCTAGAGACAGAGGGATGAGAGTGTGAAAATGTGTTTTGCTGTTTTAGGAAAAGAAGGGACTTTCCTGCGAAATTGAAACTCTTGCTGAGAAAGGGAGGGAACTAGAGAACAGTGACAGGGAGTTTATTCTTTGAAGCAATTTGCAAAGGCAAGGCATCTATTTCTATTGGCATCAGTAGGTAGTCTTAGAAGTAGTATGTATGGTATAATGTAATGTTACAGAAACAGAGTTCATACTAAGCACTGGTCCAGCTTCCATCAGTGAAAGTGTTTGGCTGTTTGCCTTTAGAATGCTTGAGTAATTACAGTAATTTCTAATTGCAATCATGTCAAGGTGTTCTTTCTTTTCCCTGGCAAAAAGGGAAGCCCTTACTGCTCAATTTCTCCCTTTTTCCTGTCTCCAGGTCTGCCTGTGTTCTTAAACCTTATGCCTATGAGTAATTAGCTATAGGTACTACATGTGGTAAGAGAAAGAGTAGCAGGCTGAAAGGTGTTAAATATTTAAGCAGAAAAGGAGCTTAGGAGACATTATGTCAAAGGAGTTGCAAACATGTTGAAGGTCAAGGTTAAAGTTCATATAATTTTGATTTACATGCTTTTTAGGCCATTTTCCAATAAGTTAAGTTCAAAGTATGGGGATAGGAACAATTTCCTGTGTAGTCCCAAGAGAAGCGATATTTAAATAATATCAGGAAACAGTAGTGTTGCACTAGTGAAAAAACCAGCATATTAACATGATGGTTCTGTAAAACTCAAAATAATCCTTTGGCTTTACATGGCATTAGTAATACTTTGCTGGAATGTGTCCAGTTTTGAGTACTGTGCTTCAAACTGTAGAGTATCTAAAGGAGAACATGTGATCAGTCTTAAAATCATGATTAATGAGAGAAGACTGAAAAGTTGTGGTTTTGTCTCAAAAGAGAAGACAAAGGGAAGAGAAGATGCATTTTTCTAGTATATAAGAAGTTGCTACAGAGTAATAAAGAAATAAATTGTTCTGTCCCCTGGCAATAGGACTGAAAATTATAACTTGACCTTATGGTAAAGGAAAGCTAGTTAAGTAGCAAGGTAAACTTCCTTGTAGCACTTGTCTGGGGAGGCAGTAGGACTATCAGTACTGTACTGCAGGTTGTGAAGACCAGGTGATGTGAGCACCTCAGACCAAATTCACTGCTTCCTCAGGAGAGGCTTTCAGCCCTGTTTTCTCTTGTCTCACGTTGCTGTGACCATCTGCTCCCACCCACTCCACAGTAACACAGGAAGGTTATCAGGCATGTGGGTGGATGGGGACTAAATGAAATGCAGCCACTGGACACACTGCAGCCCCTTGGTTGCCAGCTTGTGTGTTGACCACTGTAAACTTGCTGGAAAAAGTCTTGCAGTCATTCAGAGACTTTTGAGTCGTTGTAGCTAATGGAGTAAATTTCCAAACCTAATTGTCTGGAAAATAAACTATATAAATCTCATCTCTGAGTGGTGCCAGGGACTTGCCTGATTTTTGCATGTTTCTTCATCTCTGTCCCAGTTCTAGTGCCAAGTTCATATCCAGTGGCAACTTTTCACCTGATGCCATCTGCTTGGTGCTGAGTAATCTTTTAACTTTGCAGGCACTTCATCTGGTTTGCAGCAGCTGTGTGAGTTTCCATGGTAAAAGTCCCACCATGTCCCACCATGTCCCAGGTGCTCCTCAGAGGCTGTGGATATTTGTCATTGTTATTGTGCCTCCCTGTTTTTACTTTCTCAACTGGCAAACCTCTTTGGTTTTTTTCTGTCTTTATTCAAAGAGCATATGCTTTGGGAGTTACTGTTTTTTCCCAAGTCAAGACATACTTGCTCCCAGTTGTTGTCAGCATGACAACAATTGCAGCAGTTAACAGGGCTTTCAGGTTTTGGTACTAACTCCATCCCAGCTGCAGCACAAGAGCTTTGCTAAGCCACCTGAGAGCAGTGTTCCTCTGAGCCATGCCTCTGGTGACCATGCAGGTAATAGGACTCTCCCATGTTAACTTAGGCCTTCCCTCAGATGTGTATCCAGGACATGGAGAGGAAATCCTCCATTGACTTCTCTAACTCCTTTTCCCCTGTGAAAATGTTCAGGTTCACATTGCCTCTACGTTATGGGTTGATCAAGTATCCAATTATTCCTTTAATACTGCAGAACTTCTTAGCTGGCCTCCCTCTTCCTGTGCCTCTGGAGAGTCAGCCTGTCTGTAATTACCAGATTCCTTTGAAAAGATGGACATTGACACTACTGTCCTGTCTGACTTTTCAGGTTTCTCTTATTAACATGCTTCAGGTCCTCTCATCCTGCCTGGTTCTCCTCATAGATTGTGGTGAGAAGCACCTTTCTCCTTACAGCAGTCAACCCAGGCATTCACTGAAATATTAAAACTTTAACATCTGCCTGATGTTCCCTGCTGGAGCAAAGGAGATCTAGACAGATGTTTCCTGCCATCAGGAATAATTACTTCTCACTGTTCACTCAGTGGTCCCTCATACAGTAGTACTGGGAGAGCAGCCTATGGAATGCTGTGCCCTTCCCTTTAGGATTGCTTTAAGGCCAGTGTGCCAGAGTGGGCTGACTGCCTGAGTTTCTTATACCAAGCACAAAGCTTTATGGATTGGATGTTTAAGAGTCTTCATTATGAGAAATTCTCTATTGTTTACTCCAAGGTAATGTCTGTGTTTTCAGCTGCCTGGAGTTCAAGGGTTGAATACAAACACAGCTGAAGGAGCAGTGAATAACATGAGACAAGCAACGTGCCTTTAAAAGGGAAATAACTGAAAGCTTGTATTTTGTCGGTCTGCTGAAACTTCAGGTTTTATCTGAAGCTTACCAGCTGCCCAAGTGTAGAGCTCCTTCTCCCACTGTGCAGCTGTCTTGGGTTTGTTGCAGTCAGCATTGCAGTTCTGATCCCAGATGTAACACTATCTGCTGTTATGGCCCCCCCTGTTTTGTCTGTTCTCAAGGCACTTCAGAACTTTCCTTCTTTCTTAGAAGCAGTTTTTATTGACTCTTGGCCATTAGAATTGAGTGGGAAGAGCTTTGTTTTATAATGTCCCTCTACACACTGCCCTCTGTGAAGCCTTGATCCTTAAGCAGTATCTTAAAAAAATAAACAAAGACCCAGGTTGTATCTGGAAAAGATTACATTCCTTTGAGTCAAATAGAAAGTTCATCCAACTTTTATTAAACACATTAGATGAGATGCTATCCTACAGATTTTTATTGCTTTCAGCTTGCATTCAACTCAAGCTGTTCACAGCCTTTTGATATATACCACAGCACTAACGCTACCAATGAACAACACTTAAAATATGATCCTCTTCTTGTGTTTTGTGGTATGAAAATAGAGCTCTCAACTTCTCCAGTCTCTAGGAAGACAAGTAAATACACAGTCAATACTTGACTGTATAAAGTTTTGCAAAGTGTTACTTTCCTTTAAACACCACAAGGAGTTCAGTTGGGGTTGGGGGGAACACAACCTTTTCCCTGGGCATTAAATTGAAAAGGTGGCCACACAGCATGATGGTGTATCTGTCTTCTGATCTCGTGCTGCTGTCTTGACTGGTGGGTTTTGAAATTAATCCCCCCGCCCCTTTCTCAGTCCATGGGGCTGTTTGCTTTTGTGATTTAATCAAGCTAGCAAAGTCTTCCTCAAAATCCACTTATGTTCTCACGGTGTTCAGAGTACCAGCAGTGAGTACAGTTAAGACCCAAGCGATTGTCAAAAGGTTTTCAACTAAACCTTGTTGCTTGATTAGTGCCTCATACCCAGAGCTATTTAAATATCAGAAATAACTTTGAACCTTCTACTAGTGATGGGCTTAATAATCTTAGTATTTGCCTCACAGGCAAATTTCCAGAAGAAGTATAAGGAACAAAACTTTTTCTTTTACATTCACATAGCAAAAACAAAATGCGAAACAGCTCAGACAGTAATGTAGCTTTAAAATGGCTCTTGTAAATTTGTTCCTATGTTCTCTAAACTCTCCTTTAACTTTTTTTGCCAAGATGTAAGCAGTGCATGAAACCATTTACAGCACTGATTCGTGCTTCAGTGTTTGTTTCTTGTACAGAAGTACAAGCCATAGTCACAAAAACATGAGCGAGAGGAGCTGGGACCAAGCACTCCAATATGCACTTTCTGGAAGTGTATCTTTGCTTACATTTATTGTGTCCTCTCTCCCTAGGAGAAAAAGCGGTATTTTTAGTGTTCTACAACTCTGTTACAGGATCAGCTGAAATTTTTCTTTATATTTCTTCGTTGGTTCAATTTCTTATCACCTGAAGGTTGTTTCCTGTTTGAAAACCAGACTGATGAAATGTTTTAAGGGCTATCTATGCTTGAAGGACAGATTCTGTTTTAACTTTCGTTCTGTACTCTCTGATACAATACTATTGAAAATCAGTAATTCAATTTTAATGGATTCCATAACCAACACATGTGTCCAACTTGGTGATTCATCACAGATTTAAGTCTCCAATTAGATAGTGAGTAGGTCTGAGGATTCTGCTTTACTGTAGGAATGATACTGACACTGAGTATGATTGAGACTGCTGCTGTCTGGAGCAATGAGGAATGCAGAAATTGTACTAGGACATCCCCATGGAGACACCTGAAGGCATGTTGTAGTCTAATAACAGGGGACACTGAAGTGACTCTGACATTGTTGGACTTCTCTGAGAGCTCTGTACTTCCAAACCATATCTCAACATATTGTGAATTGCTGTGGGTTTGGCCCATGAACTTAAATGAATCCCACATAGAACTGCTAAAGCACTGAAACGTTATTGAAAAGTTCTGGCACGTAGGCCTGAGTTGTGGAAACCAATGCAGTGATGTCAGTTGGAGTTTTGCCACTGTTTGCTGTGGCCAAAATTTAATTTCAGCTGTGTTACAGGTCAGAGCAGAGCATGTTTGCAAAGTTGGTTCAGAATCTGCTTTCCTGCCATCCTCTTGCTATTCCAGGCTCAAATTAGTTCTAAACTTAGAATTCACACATAATGAACGCTAAAGTAATAATAAATGATATTTTGTGAAGATAAACCAAAGTGAAGGTTGATCTTGTGATAAAGGCACTGATTTGGGACTTTAAGGATCCCAATTTAATTCCCTATATGGACACAAATCTTTTGTATAAATTTGGAAGGTCGCTTATTGTCTCTTGGCCTCAGTTATTTAATTTTTAAATGACACTGAATTGAACTCTCTTTTTTGTTATACAGTGAGCTTTTCAGAGCATGGCTGTGAATACAAAGTTTATGTGAAACACATAAGAAGACATATACCTCAGTGTTGTGGGGGTGGGGTTTAGGCCATTATCATAAGGAAACAGTAATAGTAGCAAAATGTCAGGTTATCTGGACAATGAGGTCTTACTATGCCTCTTTTCAGTGTTTACAATAACAATTTAAAATCTTTGAAATTACTTAGCCAGATTAGTATCTCATGTAGAGTCATGGTTTAACCAGAACTGGCTGTTGAGCACCAGACAGCCACTCACTCCCCACCAGTGGAATGGGGGAGAGAAGCAGAAAAGTAAAAGTGGGAAAATTAATGGGTTGGGATAAAAAGACTTTGTGATTAAGACAGATGGATAAAGCAAAAGCTGTGCACACAAGCCAAACAAAATAAGGGATCCTTTCACTACTTCCCAGGGCAGGCAGGTGTTCGGCCATCCCCAGGAAAGCAGGGATTTATCTCACATAACAGGTACTGGGTCAGACAAATGTCATAACTCTGAATGTCCCCTGCTCCTCCTTCTGCCAGCTCTGTTACAGAACACAACACCATACAGTTCAGAACATCCCTTTGGTCATTTGGTCCTGGTTCTGTCCCCTCACAGCTTATTGTGTGCCCCCAGCCTCGTCCCTGGCAGGGCAGTATTAGAAGCAGAAAAGGCCCTAATGCTGTGAAAAGGCCACTCAGAAATAACAGATTTTGTATATTGTCAGCACTGTTTTCAGCAGAAGTCTAAAACATGGTCCATCCTAGCTACTATAAAAAAAATTAACCCTATTCCAGAGAAAACCAGTACATGTAGGGTTTGTGTGGCAAGGTTTTAGTAGTGGGAGGGGCTCTAGGGATGCTTCTGTGAGAAACCTGCCAGAAGCTTCCCCTGTGTCCTACAGAGCCAGCCTGCTCCAAGGTGGACCCACTGCTGGCCAGGGCTGAACCCATCAGTGATGGTGAATAACACAGTTAAAGGAGAAAAACCTTGCTGCACACCAGCAGCTGGAGAGAGGAGTGAAAGTATGTGGCAGAAAGAGCCCTGCTGATGTGCAGGCAGTGCAGAAGCAGGGGCAGGAGGTGCTCCAGATGGCAGAGTAGAGATTCCCCTGCAGCCCCTGGAAGGGTGCAGAGATCCCTCTGCAGCTTGTGGAGGACTCTATGCCAGAGCAGGGGAAGAGCATGAGGAATTCTCCTCCTGCAGAGGAAGGAGTGGCAGAGATAATGCATGAGCTGACCAAAACCCTCATTCTTCATTCCCCTGTGCCCCTGGTGGGGAGGAAGTAGAGAAATCAGCAGCTGGAACAAAGGGAGGAGTGAGTGGGATATGTTTTTAAGATTTGGCTTTATTTCTTATTACCCTTCTCTGATTTGATTGGGAATAAATGAAATTAATTCTTTTCCCAAGTCGAGTTTGTTTTCCCTGTGACAGTAACTGGTGACTGAACTCTTCCTGTCCTTATCCTGACCCATGAGCCTCTTATTATATTTTCTCTGGCCGATTCATTTGAGGAATAGAATGCTAGAGTTGCTTTGGGTACCTGAAATCCCACCAGGGTCAAGCCACCATAAGATGTTTCTAAGCTTAGAATAAAAAGTGCAGTACTATATAATAAAAACACTACACTATTGTAAAGATGAATTATGGGAAATTAGATTAATGCAAAAAAACTGTACCAAGAAGGAAATGTCAGAAGTCTTTGCTAAAAGTACACAAATTCTACCAAATTAAAGTGCTATAAGTGCTTCCAGGGAGCTTGGAAAAAATGACAATGTGTAGATGAAATATTTACTGTGTGTCAAATTAAACTAAAACAACTCTCTTTTCCAGGTCACATGAATCAAAGGGATGAAACAGACAAATGGATTAAGGCTGACACACAAAATGGCAAAGTGTATCTTAAAAGCCAAAGCTGGATCCAGTCTGTCAAGCTGAAAAGTTCTTAAAGGTGAAAGAAGCCAAAGAGATTAAATCAAGAAACTACAAAGGAACATTTCTGTAAAATTATGAAACTTTTTGGATGATTATTCTTAATATAAAAGAGAAACTATTAAAAATGAGAGCATTTTAACCCAACATTTGCCTGTGACAGTGCTGGTGCTAAACAGTCTGGTTTACTATTAGTGCCTTTTAAGAATGATATGATCTTACATATTCAGAATTTATATGACTTGACCCACTTACTGTATCAGTTTAAAAGCTGATAGCTTTCAAACAAAAGTTTGGAGATGTCATTTAAAAATTAAAAAAAACCATTTTCAACACTTCCAAGGTGACATGCTTTGCAAGCTCTGTTATACTTTCAAATTAAATGTCTCAATACTGTGGGAATTATGCAAAATGCAGAGAATTTTCTTCAACCAAATTGTATCAGGGATAGGAAAAAATCACTTTCAGTGTAGTTCTTATGTGGTCTTCTTATTTGGTGTTTGAACCCTGAGCAGTTTCTGCCTGGGCAAGGGGTACTCTCTGTGTAAAAATATTTCTGTGAAATGGCAGAACTTGCACCGTGTCATCCTGAACCTCTGGTTTGTGGATAGGAATAAGAACTCCAGCTATGTCCACTACTGCTCATCTGCAAAGAAAAGCTTTTAAAATAAATAAAAGTGAATGGATCTGGCTGATTTCAAGGAGGAACACTTCTCCAACTGGACTTCAGGGGAGAGTCCCCATGAATATTCCCCTGAAGGAAAAACTGCCATAGAAAGGAAGTGTTGCCCCTGTAAATGAGAACTGGAATCTCTTTGTTTGCAGTGACTCAGAGCCCTGTCCTGCAAAGCTGCCAGGCAGCTCTTGGAGGCAGGAAGGCAGAGGAGGGAGGTGAGGGGAGCAGCTAGACCCTGCACAAGGGCAGGCCCAATTTTTGTGGAGGATTCTGTGTTACTGAAATATAAGCACACAGTAAAGTAAATGGAGCTTTTAAAAGCCTTTCCATACCTCTCTATGGCACCTTATAAAAGCAGTTGTGAAATTCATGTTTTAAGCTGAAATGTAAGAATCCCTGCCAGCTGAGGAGGTGGTGAGGGGCAGGAGAGAATTCAGACTGTCACCTCAGGCTATAAGTTGTATGTATGTGTATGTATTGTAAGTCATAATGGTAAATTATGAAATTAACTTCTCCTTTGCCATAGGATTCTGCAGGAGGTATAATTGCCCCTGGCTAATGGAATTCAAGAGTCAAAGGCAGCATATCTACTGTAACTCAGGGTGGTTAAAAACTCCACTTCCTGTTTACTGTTGTGTGTACTGTTTGTTGGGGTGAGGTGGGCACTGATGCATATGACAAATTATATGTATTTTTAATATAAACACTAATATATAAAACATTTTTAATAGTATTACTAAAGGCATTACAATATTATTAGACATGAGTTATTATGATACTTTTTAAAGTTACAAAATTATTAAATTATAATGGTTTTGGATATCCAGAAAAATATTTGAAATTATTTCTATGCCCTGCTGCAGCCAAAGTGAAAAAAGCACCTCAAAATTCACACCACATGAAAATATAAAAACAGTCTAGTAGATCCCTTAAATGGTCCCATTATTCATCTGAAATACAAAGCCTGACAGCCTCTGAGATTAAGGTTGTGTTAAGGGAGAACATAGTAATAAAACATGTTATTTGTTCCATATTCAGAAGAAAGCAAACCCAGGCTTTGAATTCATTAATTTTCTAAATCTTGCAAGAATTAAACATCAAGATTGTTAGTTACTTGCTTAAAGAAGTTTAAATCAACCAGCAGAAAAATTGTGCTACCACTGAAAGCTACTGCTTCATTCCGAGTTGGTACATGTTGAGACTAGCCAGAATGTTAATATAAAGATCAAGAATGAGTTGAAGGAGGACAAATCCTTGGGAGTTTCCCCAAAGGCATTGAACAGTGTCTTCTTCTGCTATAATGAGGTGAAACTGTATTTTTCTCTAGAAAGACTAGTAGGTTATCAGCAATTAGAATTTGAATCCCTTGTGTGCTCATATATCTTGTCCATTTGATGAGAAGACATTCTTGTAACTGGAGCAAATTTATACTTTAACACTTTTTTCTTCTGTGCTCTCTTTAATATGATTCTCCTGCTCTTGCAGCTGCTGGCCAGCCCCTAGTTCAGACCTGCAGACATGAACATCAGCTTGTTTAGAGAGCTGGACTCAGCCCAAGAGGCTTTTATGAGAATGAGGGCTCTGGGTGCACAAGTGACTGTTGAGAAGTGAAGAACTGTGCATAAATGTATGGATGTAGTTGTGTATTAAAGAATCTCTAGTCACTACCTACTCACTGCTCTCAATTGCTCAAGAAGGTTGTACTTGAGTACCAACCACATCAAGTGTGAAGTCTCTGGGGAGTCAGAGTGTTCATGTCCTGGAGAGGTCCTTCATGGCAAACAAGAACCTCAAACACATGCAAATTTATTCACTGCTTACTCTGCACGGGACTACAAAACTTACATTATTGAAAGGAAGGCAGCCTGAATCAACATCTGAGCTATAGCAGTGCTGTCTGAGTGCAGCTGTCTTGCTTGAAGGCATTCATACTCCTGTGAGAAAGATTTGCTATGCTTCCTTACTAATGCAACAAATGGCCTTTTATTAAAGAGTGATTAGTTTTAATAAAAAATAACACAGTGGTCTTTTCATGCTCTGGAGAAAAGCCCTTGAACTGTAGAGATATTGCACAATTTCTTCATTTTTCATTTTGAAGAATTTATTTTTTCAGGCTCTGATCTGTGTTTTTGGGTGAAGGTGGTTATGTTACCATCCCAGACACATCCAAGCCAGGAAGGAGGGTCAGCATCATTATGTTCTTGTTTCTCCAGTTCAGCTGTGTATTTCAAGCTTGTCTACAACAAGAGTTTGAAAATAATAATGACAAAATAATTTTTTTCGGAGGCTGTTTTTACAAAGAACACTAAAAGCAGTTTAATGAGGAAAAGTTCCTTGTTTTAACTAAAGCCATCAATATTATAAGGGTGTTGTGGAAAGTAAACCAGAGGATAATTGGTTAGGTCACAGAGTCACAGGATGAATTATGTTGGAAGAGGCCTCTGGAGAGCATTTCAACATGATGTTGCTTTAAATGTATCCAGCTAGACCAGGTGAGTCATGGCTTTGCCAGATGAGTTCTGAATATCTTTAGGGATGAGGGTTGCACAGTCTCTGGGATCCTCTTCAAGAGTTTGGCCAGCTTCCTGGTTAAAAAAATTAAATCTTCCTTGTAATCAGAATGTAATCAGAATTTTACATATGCCACATGTGCTATCAATGCACCTTTGACAATGGTCTGGCTCTGTCTTCTGTGTACTCTGATGAGAGCTAGAGACAGCAATAATGTCTGTTCCATCTCGAGCCTTCTCCTGGGACTTACCAAAACAATTGTCTGAAGGTTCTTCATATGTTACATGCTCCAGCACTTTAATAGTCTTGATGGTCTTATCCACACTTGCTTTAGTGTGTCAGCATCTGCCTGAACACAGATCTGAGTAGGGGATGCCACTGGAATAATAACATTCTCCTTGGAAGAAAATAAAAAATCAAACGAGATAAATAAAACAGCTACATCCAAAGGTATTACAGCATCTCCAGGGTGTTTTCTCATAGCTCTGTTGGAAGGCTATAGTAACTGTGCAGGTCCCTCTCTCTGGTTTTCTATTTGAACCAGTGCCTGTGGCACCTCCAAGTATTTTTACCCTTTCCTCATTCACATTCTGCTTGCTTTTTGGCCAGTCTCTCTACTGTAGTTATCTTCTGTCACCCACCTCTTTGAACGTGTATTGTTTCAGAAATGGAACTGAGTACACAACAGGCAGTGCTTTATGGTTACATGTACTGGCACTGGCCCTGGACCTGCCTCAAGGCTGTCTTTTGTAGCTTTTGTGACAGCTAAACCAGAAGAGAGTTGTCTGTGATGCCCAAACCTACCCATGACCCCTCAAATCTCCCTTAACATTTTGTGGCCACTACCCTTTTACAGCATTAGAAGACAGAGCTAACAAACTAGATCAAAATTTGAGAAAATCAGGCCTCCTGAGATACTCTAAAAAGAAGACTCCTTGTCTTCAAGTCTCCCTCCTTTTTCAGCAGTGTCAATCCAGCAATTTTTGTTACCTTCCCAAGTTGAAGAAAATGAGCCCACCACTTTCAGTCTTGTGAATGTGTCTTTCTTTCCATGCCTTGTGTGACCTGGCTGCCAGCCTGGTCCTGCTGAGCAGAGCACCCTCCTGCCCAGCCTCCCCCTCACCAGCTCTGTGCTCCAGAACCCCCCTGTGCTGAGCCTACTCCAGGGCTCCTGGGCAAGAGCCAACTCTGCATCTCCCATCCTCTCCAGGAAATTCAACCTGATCTGGTGTGTCACAGCCACAGCAAGGCAGTCTTTCACCCTACTGGCCAAGCTCTGGAAAAATATACAGCATCCAGACAATACTAGAAAAAATGCAAATTGATGTGCCCGATTATCTGCCAGTAATGCTGCTACAGTGTTTTTTGCGTTTGCTTCCCAAAAATAGAAATGCTGGAGATGGTTACAAGAGATGTGCCCAGCTGTAATGCTTGCACCACTACAGCAGGAAAGGGGAAGTGGGCAGGAGTGGAAAAGGGACAAAATTACTGAAGCAAGAAGGGCTTGTTTCAACCACTGCAGGATATTTTTTTAATGAAAAGTCCAACACTGACACACTCTATGAACCACATGAACACAAGGCTGCATCTGTTTTTATATTAGGGAGGCCTGTGCCATTGAGGAATGTGTGCACAATTTATATGAGCTATAAGCTCTGACCTATAAAAAATCAACTCATCCAAGTCCAGATTCCTGTTTTTCATGGAAACTGCAATGTATAGCGGCTGTCTGAAGCATGTATAAGGGGAGCTGTTACTATTTTTTTGGAACTTATGATGTCCCCTGCCTGGAGCTACAGTTGAGTGGTTTGCCAGAAGCAGCCATTCATTAATCATCAACACATGGTAAAAGGATTGTTTATTTAAGATATACTGTACTATGACAGAGCCTGTTTATTTATTTATTTGTTTACTGTCTTAAATGAGCACATTGATGAATAAAAGTATCTCAGCCAATAATTACAGTTATCTTTGGCAAAACAACTATCTCTTGGTATAAGTCAGACAAAAGTACTGGCCCAAACACCAGGCTTGAGCAGCACTGGAATACCTAACTGAACCCTTACCCAAAGTTTGAATCCATTTCACTGAGAGAGGGTAACTGGGAAATACAGTTCTGCAACATGGTCTGAATCCTGAGCCATTCCAAAATTCATCAGTTTTTCAGAATCACAGAACGTGCAGAGTTGGAAGGGACCCACCAGGATCAATTCCAGCTCCCAACTCTGCACAGCACCATCCCCAAGAGTCACACCATGTGCCTGAGAGCATTGTCCAAACACCTCTTGAGCTCTGCTGTGACCTGCTCTGCCCTGGGGACCCTGTTCCTGTTTGACTGGGTCCATCATAATAAAAAGCAGAGGTTTTGAAAAAGACTTCTTGAGATGAGGTTCCAGCAGCCAAACAACAGTAAAAAGTAATGGAAAACAAAAACTCAAACATAGGAGAAATGTTTATAGTGCAAGTACAGGAGAAATTAAGCAGGTGGAGGCAGGGAGCCAGTGGGAAGAGCAGGAAGCATCCCACAGTCATGCTCCAGGTTACAAAATGTTGTAAGACTACATTGGATCTGAAGTATTCTGAGGTGTATGTCAGCTGCAGTAGTTTTAACATTTTATGGCATCCAGTTCCTATGCACTCAGTGGCTGAAATATGGCACTCCAGGAGCCTCTGTGTCACTTCCAAAAAGAGATTTACAGCCAGTGAGAAGAGAGTACTGTATTTTTGTTGCTTATTAAACAGAAGATTTAGGATTAATTGTTGTTGGTCTTTTACCAAATCATGCGTAGGAGGTCTTAATTTCTGATTTCATGGTTATTGGATCTTTCCTTCCTTGAAACCTGAACATTTGGATAACACCTAAGAAATTCTGCTTTTTCAGGAAAAAAGGAGTTCTTACAATCTCCTTTCTATCCAACAACAGGCATCAGAAAACACAACAAAAACAAACAAAAATGAGTCTTCTCCAAGTGTCAAATGTATTTTGTAACTATTATGACCTAATGTAATGTTCGTTTAAAAGACAAAAATTGTAAGAGTTTTTGAGGAGTTACTTGTTAATAGTGTAGTCATGAGTTTAGCAGAAATGGGACCAGTTTTATGTTAGTGCAGATAAAAAAGAGGGAAGCACCTCATTTTGCTCTCAAAGAAGATATTTTGGGGGAACCAGACTGTTACAGATGAGATGTAGTTTGGGGAAAGCACAAGACGAGCTGGATTCTCTGTCAGTGACACGTTTCCTTTATCATTTTGCATCTAGAAATGTTAACACAGAAAGTTTTACAGGGAACAGAAACATTTCTCTAAAGATGCCAGTGTGTTATTTCCTGTAGGAGTAGTCTTAAGCAAGTCAAACTGACACAGCCTTTTCTTACATTTTAGAAAGCAGTGAGTTAGGCTTCTTTTCCTCTAGCAGAAGAAATCAGTTGTACCAGTAATATGTACTTCCACATTAGATTATCCATGATTCTTTCTGCCATTTTGAAACTGGATTAACTGAAAGGTCATTAGCCTCTGGATACAAAAATATGCAGCAGGGTACCAGGCCACAGACCTTTTCTTTCTTCTAACATTTATTAAACCAGGAAACAGGGCAGCATGTTGGCAAATATAATCTCAAAATCTACCTAATACTGGAAAAAATGAACAATTGAAAGTCCATAACTGTTTCCTATGAAGCTGCGTTGGACTGAAACTTGAAGAACTTTGTGGCTCCACATGTTTTCTATTTTAATCTATCAAAACAGTAAAAATAATAAAAAAAAGAAAAATAATGTGGCACAATACAAGAGATATGACTCAATACTTGCAAGGTTTACTCTATTAAGAAATGTCTGCTAGGACTGGTTAGTGTTTAACAATAAATAATGGGGAATTCCTTTGGAACAATGAAGTAGTATTTTTGCCATAGATATTTTAGGGCAACTTTAAACTAAAACCATTTTTCTTCTATTGTTTATTTAGAACCTAAGCCACTAGCATATTTAATTCTCCAGATGAATGTGATTTTTACATAGATGACATCTTCCATCTTCTTAAACAGGGAATGAAATGTCTCTGCAATGTAGGTTTCACACCCAGAGAACATAAATTACATCTGAAACCAGCCATTACCTTCTATGAAAATCTAAGAACCTGAATATGGTTTTAAGAGTTAGTCTGAAAACAGAGAATGAGGGCCCACTGTTTGTCTTTCTGACAATCTGTTGCTTGTCATTCATTACTAAAAACATACAGGTTGTGAAAGAAACACATAGTTTTATAGAAATATGTGACAGCGACAATACTGTAGTTGCTTTTGATGTTGTTGAAATGCTACTGCAAGATAACTAACTATAGAATCATGCCATATTTTAGTGTGATTTTGATGTAGTTATTGGCAGAAGATACATTTTTTATCATCTTTGCCATATTGGCCTTGAATTGCAATTTAAAAAAACATTTTCCTAAACTGGGAAACATGCTGGATGTGGAACATATCTGAATCTAGCTGTGAACTCCCTTTTGTCTTCTGAATATCATCCCATCTGGATGCAGCCAGTATATTCTATGACCTGGCAAAGTCTAGGGTGGGGTGTCTTTGGACCTATTGGAAGGAATAAGCAAAAAATGTTCGGGACTACATTATTCTGCATAATCAATCCACCTAGTAGGTGTTGTCCCAGACTCAAATGGAGCAGGATAGGAGTCTCCTATCACTGAATATATGGTGTAAAGAGTTAGAGACTGAGGCTGGCAAGGAAAAGAACCATGTGCTGTCCAGAAAATGAGACTCAAGAAAATAAAATTGGCAAAGTTTACCTAGTTATAAACATAACAAAAAGGGCAAAGATAACACTGGGCAGAGACGTGTGTCTCATGGTTGCTTTTTTGTTTTGCAGAGATGTGTAACTCTCCAGGGTTATCTTTAAAGTAAAAATAACTGATTGGGAAATTCCTTGGCTGAGTTAGAAGAGTTTAATCAAGACCTTTGGAGAACCGATTGCATGTGGGACTCTGAGGCAGAGGCATAATCCTGGGTCATCCCAGGCCACAATAATGCAAATGGGTTTCTGAGAAATTGTGTCAGCTACTTGATGATGGCTCACCCAACACAAATCGTAATTTGCACAAATTTCTTATTCCATTGCATCTCACTTCTACAGGAAGATGATCAGCAAGCAGAATCAGAAATGGCTGACACACTCTTGCTGCTCTAAACAGAGATATGAAATCATGGAATAAACAAATCAACAACAGTAAACGGAGGATAAAAGAAAATCCCTTGAGGTTTAATATGAGAAAAACCATAAATCAGAAAATTAGGAAGCGATTAAATGAACCTGAATTGATTTAATTCTCTTTTTTCAATCACTACTGTTGCATACCAATCCTTCAAAGCACCTTCTGTATCTAACAAGTGTTTAATTAGAAGTAGAGATATTAAGGAGGAAGTTCTGAGATGACATTGAGAAAACTACATCTGAGAGAAGTGAAGAAAATAAGACCAATGACAGCAGAATTGTTTGTGGTAAGGCAGGGAATTAGTAGAGGAGGGTTTGGAAATTGTGAAGCACACTGGAAATACCTTTTGAGTTATGAAGCATATGTATTGGTCTTGTGGTCTCTAAAGTGACCATTACACCCTGGAATGGTTTAGCAGGAAGTACAGTACTAACAGAGGACTTAAGAGTACATTTAGAGCTCTCCTAATATAGGCTGTGTATACAGGATGGTATTATATATTTCTTACTCTAATAAAGTTTTATTAAGTTATTTACTCAGATATATCAACCATGTCTAAACTTCAATTCCTTTCCATTTTCAGGCCCTGTGGCATACCTGGCCACTGTGCTGTTCTAGGTGTACAGGTCTGGTCTGTAATACTCTTAACCCCCGTAGAAGGGTGGACATTGAACCCACATCTTTTGAGACTCACAGGTGAAAAATCAACTCCCTGCTCAGGTCTCCCAATTTCTAAGAAGGGTAAGAAGGAAGGCACTGGCATTTAAAGGCCCTCCAGTTTCACTTCAGTGCCTGGTAAAATTCTAGAGGTTCTTCTGAGAATAACTGAAAAACATTTGGGAGACAATGCAGTCACTGAGCACAGCCAGAATAGGTTCACAAGGAGGAAGTCATGCTTAGCCAACTTTATTTCTTTTTATGACAAGGTCATTCACCCAGCTGATCAAAGGAAGACAGTAGATGTGGTGGGTTTGGATTTTAGCAGAGCTTTTGATACTGTGTCCAAAAGAATCCTGGATAAACTGTCCAGCACTCAGCTGAGCAAGTCCATAATTCACTGGGTGAACAACTGGCTCACAGGTTGGGCTCAGAGGGTTGCAGAAATGAGGCTACATCAGGTTAGTGGCCAGACACCAGTGCTCAATTTGTAATGTTTTCATAAATGATGTGGATGCAGGAATTAAATGTTACGTGTGCCAATGATACTAAATGAGACTTTCTGTGGGGTAGAAAGGAGCTACAGAGAGATCAGGATAGACTGAAGGCTGGGCATTTGCCAGCTGCATAAACTGAACACGAGCAAATATTCAATTCTCCACCTGGGATGGGTTAAACCTGGTTATACATATGCACTGGGGGATGAAAGGCTGGGGGAAAGCCCTGCAGAAAGGGATCTGGGAGTCTGGGTCGATGGGAAGTTGAATGTGAATCAGCAGAGCCCCGGAAGCCAGGAGGGCCAAGCGTGTCCTGGAGGCATCAGGCACAGCATCACCAGCCAGGCAAGGGAGGGATTGTCCTGCTCTGCTCTGAGCTGGGACAGACTCACCTCCAGTGCTGGGGGCAGTTTTGGGCACCACAATGTAAGAAGGACATTAAACTATTAGAGACCATTCAGAGAAAGGTGACCAAGATGGTGAAATATCTTGAGCACAAGAATTATAAGGAACAGTTTTATGCCACTTGTCCCTTGGAGAAGGGAAGGCTGAGGGGGAAGTGCTGACCAGTGATAAGGCACAAGCTCTGCCAGGGGAAGTTCAGATTGAAGTTTAAGAAAAGGTTCTTTACTGAGAGGTTTGTCAGTAAAAGCCAACCTGGGAAAGTGGTCACAGCACCACAGCTTGACTCACTCGATGTGACTGTGCTGTGTTTTGAGCACAGGCACACATCTACAGCCATACACTGACATCCAGTCATTGGGAAACAGGCACAAACCCTTGGCATGAGCTCAAGGACACAGTGCAACGGCTGAGAGCATTAAACCCAGCCTGGTTTTCTCATTCATGTTCCCATGTGTCCTTGAGGTAGTGTCCTTTGTTTGCAGAACCTTCCCTAGGAGGACATTGTCTGCCATGAAGAGAGACAGAGTCTGTATTCTCGAATATGTAGATAACCCTGCCAGACCACAGGAATCCTAAGGCACCAATGTGGACACCTCCTAGATAAAGAAGCTAGATGGCTCAAGCCAGATACCTAGCATGGCACCATGATGCCAGTGAAGAAAAGAACCTCGTGTTTTGGGGTTTACAACCACCTCTAAATTAAGATGAGGAAATATTTTCTTGGTAATTTTTCTACAGTACAGTATCACGAGAATCTGGAGGTGCTCACAGCCTTTCCAAAGATATCTCAGGTATCGTCACTGAGATGAATACAACCTGAGATGTCCAAGAAGGAGAGATAATGACAGACTGTAGCAAAGTATTGGATACATGTATTAATCATCTGTAAATGAAGCAACAAGACATGCAGAAGTCAGAAGATTATTGAATAGATGAAAACAAACCCCCAGAAATCGCAATTTTAGTATCTGAATGGTAGGAAAACTGTTTTAAAACTGAAGTAAGGTTTCTGGCACAACAGAATTCTGAATCTCTGCAAGACGCTCCACAGAAACTGTCACTTTCTATTATTAGATATTAGTTAACTGTGATTCCAGTCTAGTTTTAAATATTGTGGGGTTTTTCACGTACTGAGAATGGTGTAACTTTCCCAGCCATATATGTGCATGCAGCACATAGAAGCCTTTAGTATTCATGCTATTGCATGGGTCTCTCTAAATTATTAGGATTCACTTCTGTCACTTTTTAAACTCAGTTCTCTGTTACAAACGAGTGTCTCACACCAAGACTTTTTGAATGTGTGGCTGGTTTTTTTAACTCTGAAGCACAGCTGCTTAGTTTCACCTCACAAGTCCACGTTTCAGGAACTGATACTCATTGCCATTAATGCTGGAAGCTGCATTTGAGAAAAACATGACACACAGAGTCTTCAAGGTACATAAGCACCATGCAAGCTACTAATTGCTCCACTGACCTCAACGGGAACAGTTAAGAATACATTATGCACATACTTAATTACCTTGTTCATTCAGGACCAAAAATCAAGAGAGGAGCATAGTAAAAACCTGTTAAAGACATTTGATTAAAATCACTGGAGCAGGGTGGTAGAAAGAGAGATGAGGATTTCATTTGTACTAAACAGCCAATCTCATGAGAATCTATAAGGGACAAGGAGGCAAGATAAAGCTGGGGCCTGGGGTTGTGGAGCAAAAGTTAGCACATTATCTCATTATAGTCCTCCTGGTAGGTAGAGGAATGTACATGTGCTTTGCTTATTTCAGACCTATTTATAAGCTCAGTATTAAAATCTGCAATAGATTAATAAATAGATCAAAATACTATTAAGTAGATTGTAGATGAAAATTCTTATTTTAAACAAAGAAGTTGCTGGCTCTAAAGTCAGTAACTGGTATCAGATGCACTTAGAAAAATCTACATTTTTCATACACTGGATCCTATTCCCTTTAGAGGACTGAATGACAGAATTCATTGTTCATTTTATTGTATCTTCAGAACTTAGCTATTTTAAAGGCCAATTCGTTTAACAAGTGATTTATTTTCAGTTCTTGTATTTTTTTATGTGCAGAATATTTCCCACAGCAACTTCATTTTTTTCTGATGAAATAAGAGTCAACCCTTGAATCAGGATTATTCCCTGAATAAGGCTCAGAACATAACTGCTGAATATTTTATACAATCAGCATTTGCACAATGATTTGAACCTACCTAAGTAAACAGAACTGACACAGAAGCTCACAGCACCTCCACTGAAATCATTGGAGTTTGTTGAAAGACAATTGATTTGCCTCAGAATATAGGATTAGAATGACAAACTCTTCTAATTTTACAGTAACCTGCATAGCACATTCAAAATATTCTTAATGTACATCTATTTCAATATTAATTTAATATTTTAATATGCTAATTTTAAAAAATATTTTTCTTAAAAATAAGATACCTGATGTTGCAGGACACATTAGCATATATCCTTTGGAACAGGTTCATTCTGACTTTAATCTCCTGACCATTTTTAAACAGTTTCTGGGTGGAAAATATTTCTTTACTTAGCAGCTGGATACCCTCAATTTACACTACAGATTGCCAAAGGATTTGTAAGACCCATTAGCTTTAACATCCACAGGTGCACCCATCTCATTTTATGGAGCTGGAAGCTGGATTCAAGTCAAACAAAGACTTATAAACTTATGGGTAGGTTTATGTGGAAGAGTCTCAATGTTCTTTTCTGAAAATAGTAGGGTATTAGCATTTAACAGATTGGCTTTATAACTGTTTAAAGAAAAGATACCATCTAGAACAAAGTGTTGGAAGGGGATTACTAGGTTAGTGAGTTGACTCATTTTTCCCATTTGCAGGAACTGCAAAATACAACCCAGTCCATTCCCTTACCAAGAGCCATACTAACATTCCTTAACAGTTTGCCTCATCTCCCTTCCCAGAAAGCTGTTTCATAATTCAGTGCTGTGATAACCAAAATATCTCCCAATTGCCAGCCTAAATGTATTTACTGACATTTTATGGTATTTGTTTTGGTTTGTTTTCCTGTGTTGGCACATCATGTGTCAGGCAAGTGTGGCAGACAGGACTGATTGCAGCTCTACAAAACTTGAACTGCTTTGGGACGACCTCTGTGCACAGCTTCTATCACCACTGACATTGTGGAAAAATAGCTGAATAGCTATCTAAACCCAGAGGATACAGGAGCTCAAGATCCACGTTTATAATAATTATTGGTGTACAGTAGGTATCTGTAAGATATAAACCAAGGGCTAGTGTAAGATGGAGAATGGCCTCCCAGATCTCAAACACAGCCAGTGAGGTTTGGCCTAGAGGATGAGAAACTTAAGTACCTTTGGAAGGCAAACAACTTGATCAGAGAATATCTAAATTTAGGGCTGGTTAATTAGTCGGCCAAATAATCTCTAATTAGTTGTTCAGGAGGCTGTGTTCAGCCACTGCAGAGAATGAGGAGATGTGTGGAGGACTGAAAGAATAGTCAAGGATTATGGAGATGGGTGTTGGTGAGGAGGAAGGCAGGGACAAGGGATGGCTGCAGACTTATTGTGGAAGGAAAGAGGACGTGGGCATTTCAGTGGGAGAAAAAAGAGGAAAACTCGTTCAATGAGTGGCAAAATTTTAAAGGATAGTGCAAGATGAACATTTCCAAAAGTAGCAATAAACTTGTTCATTGCAACATGATAGTGACAGAAGTAATGTTATAACTTTTCCCATGAAAAAATGAAATCAGCATATTTAAAATTGTGTTTGCGTGCTTATTTTCAAAATGAAGCAAGAATTTTGTTTTGCTGTTTAAAAAAATTAAAACTGCATAATTAATTAAATGCACAAAAGCCAGAGCTATTAAGTCAGAAAGTATGGGGAAGGGATATAGACTTCCATAACAGCAATAATTTCAAAAGGGAACACACATTCATTTACAGCAAAAAGATAACTGAGATGCAAGGCTTTAGTCAAAAAGAAATTACACAGAAAGTACAAGAAGCAAAAATGCTGTAATAGAAGTTCATGGTAAAGAGGAACTAAGTTTCACTACAGATTAATATAATCTAAATAATTTAATTTCAAACTTGAGTGTTTCAGCTTTTAGGTACCTCTTCTATTTCAAAGTAGCCACTGCCTTGCCATGTAAAGACACAGGTATTAAGTTCTAATGCCCCAGTTTATGCTTTACTTAGGTTCAGAAAAAGCACTGGGAAAATCAGGAGTAATTAAACCAAAGCCACAATCCTTTCAAAGCACCCAAAACACCAGAACCGGGGAGAGTATTTGCAGGAAGTGGTATATAACATGAAAGCTCTTCTCTCTTTACCCTTCTTTAGACATCAACCCCTGGAGAGAAAAACTTTTACCTGATACAGCCTGGACACCTTTATACTGTAACAGCAATCCGAAGAATGCTAAATAATCCCAAGAGCCAAGTCTCAAATCTTAAAACTCACGGAAAAGCAGCTGAATGATGCCAGCAGGTCAAATTTCTGGATGACATAGTAAGTAATTCTTTGCAATAGCAATCCCAGAACTATCACCCTATTTCTTATACATACCTTTGGGCAACTCACTATGTTGACAGATGCCAGTCTTTGGCAGTGAAATGCCATTATTTTCACAGCTTCATCTATCAACTGAGGGCAGTAAGAGACATGGCAGTGTTCCAGGTATTCTTTGCCCTTGCAGAATTCAATTACAATATATGTATATCAATCCTTTGATCCACTTCAGACACTCCAGTTCTCTAGGCAACCTTCATTAGTAGTGAAGCCATTCTGCTGTTGATTGGGAGTGTCACTAGAAAGAGAAGAGATGTATTAAGGGGCTATTTTCAGTTGCTTATGTATTATATGGTGGGTTCATTAGACTAACATATATGTAAGTTCCACTATATATATTAAAACGTTGAATTTGGGTTTTTTAATTGAGTACAACTCAGAACGTAAAATGTTGTGCTTAGAGAATCAGGTCCAAATACATTCATTCTACTACTCTCTGCAAATGCCCATTTTTGTGCATAATAACTTTTTTCTTTTTCTTTTTCTTTTTCTTTTTCTTTTTCTTTTTCTTTTTCTTTTTCTTTTTCTTTTTCTTTTTCTTTTTCTTTTTCTTTTTCTTTTTCTNTTTTTCTTTTTCTTTTTCTTTTTCTTTTTCTTTTTTTTCTTTTTCTTTTTCTTTTTCTTTTTCTTTTTCTTTTTCTTTTTCTTTTTCTTTTTCTTCTTCTTTTTCTCTTTTTAATGAACAGAAAACTATCTGTATAAATCACATTATATTTTTGGAAGAGAATGGGTAAGAACCTCAGGACTGTCACTCAGGAGTTCTGGGTTCTGATTTGCTCTATGGAGTTCAAGCCAGTTAACTGTGATACTGGTTACTGTGACTACAATTTCTATCCTAGTTTTTAAAGAGAATAAACATTTTCAGATCCTACCAACTGCCATTCCAGCACCTTTATAACTCAAATACTAGCTTCTACAGCAGAGCAGATAGTTTTGGAAAATAACAATGGAACTCCTGTGGAAGGTCACATAGATTCTTAAATTACAGTTTTCTCCTTTGCACTCTGAAACTTTTTTTACCTTTCAGACTGAATATTTTTCAAGCTTGAAAACCATCACTTCTAGGCCTACAAAGAGAAGTTGGACCTTCTATTGAAACCTTCTCTGGAAACCTCTTGAAAAGAGATGCCTAAAATCACATTTCTTCACCTGACAGCTCATGAGGGTCACAGGACAGCCTGCAGCTCCACCAGAGGTTTAGCTTCAGTCAGGATCTCTCCTCTTCTGTCATGTCCAGCCTAAAACCGTGGTGAGATGCCTTAACTGTGTAACTGAGCTAGCTTCCAGGCCTGCTAATCTTGGCCTAAGGCCAGAGTAATTTGTCATTTACTGGAATAGCAATTCTACCTCTACAGGGAGAGCACGGAAGTTTACATAGTAGATTGAATAAAAACCACTGATTGCATGAAGCTTTTCAAAGCTGTCAAGAATTAGTCCTGAAGTCCATAAGTACTACATGGATAAATAAAATAAGTACATGCACAAAGACACAAAAATTCATGTATTTATTATGCACAAATGTTATATATTTAACATTCTGAGAAAATTACCTCTGCAGTAATCAGACTATTGCCACTAACACACAGCTAATTTTTCCTTATGTTAAATAGGAATTTGCACAATAACACAGGGTTGATCACTAGAAAATATTATTATTGTTATGACAAAAGATTATGTGTTTCTGTGTGATTTTCTTGAGTCTTACCTAAATAGATGCAAAGAAACTTATCGGATCTGAAATTTGTTTCATAGACTGTACTTTTAAGATTTTTGTCTGTACCTTCATTCTGGTTTCATTTTCTTTTGTATATTGGTACAGCTATATCAAGGCAGTTCTTCTTGGGCTTTGGGTCCTTGTTTTATTCTACAAAATATTAGTGGCAGTGTCTGAACCTAGGATTGGTTAAAGTGGAAAATTCTGAATATATATTAATTGGCTTCTCTACCCTTCCTATTTCAATCTTGGATTTATGGGCTGTTTTTCACCTGTAATACAGAAACATTCTACACCCAGCAACTAAATGTTTTTCATCCATGTACAAGAGAAACTGCACTCCTTTCAGAATTAGGTCTCAGATGTGATGACTTAATTTCTACATTCTCAACTAGGGTATGTAACACAATTTGAAGCCAACATTCCAATGCCTGTTAGATATGTTTATCTTGTTTTTACTAGCATAGCTTGTCTACATACTTATTTAAAATATCCTTCGTAGTTAGGGTCTTGGAAATGGTTTTGCAAATAGCACTCAAATTATATTTGCAATCAAAAGAGATGGAGCTTTGTTTGCTCTCTTCATCCCTGTATCCCTGGTTCTTTGTCTATAGAGAAAATAACTGAAATGACTGTGAGGGTAAATTATATTTGCAACACATTTAGACACTATAAAAAGTCAAATGCCATATGAAGAGAATGTAATTTTCTAATTTAATTGCACAATTTTAATTCTGTACAAATAAGGCCTGAGGACACACACAAACATCAATGAAAAGGCCAAACACTAAATTGCTGTTGATTAAGTGGAGTCTCTCTTTTCAAAATATGGGATGTCATAAGTATTTACATACTGTTATAATGCCTGGGAACAGGCAGTGTGATTACAATGGGATTAATCTCTGTAAATGTTCCATAAAATCATATCCTTAGATTCAATTTACAGAAAAGGACTTGTTATTTTGTTTTGAGTTACTCTATGTCTCTTTCTCTTGTCTTCTCTAGATCCATGAAAGCAGGGCTTCTGCAGCTCTTACATATGCTCCCCACTGCTGCTTTCTTCCTCAAAAAGTTCAAATTCATTTGGCATTCAGGGAGAGCAGAAACACTTCTTTTTAACAATCTTTTTTTTGAACTTACTTTATGTAATGAGACATCTGAAATAGATTATTAGCCATGAGCATGTCACAACACAGAAGTGAATATTCTCTGATAGCAGCAGCACTGGCACCACATATCTTTCCATGAGGTACACAAGATGTACATACTTGGTCATTATTAAAAACATGGAGCTTTACATAGAACATTCATGAAAGATGAGTCAGAATTATTCCTAGAGAAGCAAATGGCCTGATATGTATGTTGGGCAACAAGACTCAATCCAGATGCAGCTTCTGTGGTGCAACAACTGACTCATTTTTACAATATATGACTATAAAATGATGGATGTTTAATATTTATAATGGAAAAAATGTAGAAGCTAAAGACTGGAATTATGTGATGGCATTGGCTGTAGCTGCAGCCTTATGATCTGCAACTTTTTATGGGCATGAAATTGATACCATTAAAAATACATGACTTAAGCATTTCTGTAATATATAGTTATATATACTATATATATAGTTAGGAACGATTCTCAGTTACAAAAAAAAAAAAAAAGTGCTCTTATTTGGATGTCAATTCCTAACAAGATGGATGGTTCTTTCTACTACTGAAAAGTTACCTACTACTGTTTATTTCTCATACTGTTTTGAAATACAAAGTACAATACAAATACAAAGTAAATCTATGCAATCACATTGACTTTGTCAAATCTTGGTAAGGATTTTGTTAAACTGCAAGAAACCTGTGATAAGGACAAGGAATTCCACAGTTTAACAATACATTTTGGAAACAGTCATTTCCTCTTAATTTTGAATTTTCAAACTGAGTTGATTTCATGCCCACTAGATTCTGCATGGAAGTAAACAGCAAGAAACTGCCCCCTATTCATCCTTTTCAAGTCACAGTTGAACAGATCTCAGGCATAGGGAGCTGTAGGAATCAAAGGGGAGAATTTTGGTGTAGAATGGTGTTATGAAGAATGAAGGATTACATGCAGAACAAAAGAAGATCAGTTTTGGATATGGTTAATATAATGAACTAGAGAGGCTTCCAGACCCCAAGAAAAAGGTGAAGTTTTACCTGAATCCCATTGTCACTGAAGTTTTTGCATTGTGATATAGAAAGTTCCAATGTTTTTCCATGGCAGCCAAGGGTTCTCAAGCCCTAAAAAAATCCAGAAAAATTAATATAGAAGGGAAAAAGTCTATTTTTCCACCTCTTGAGAAAAAAAGAAACTGAAGAAAGGTAGTGTTGTGTGAAATACTTCCACCAGCAAAACACATTTGCAGATCTCCTCCAAAACTTGGGATTGAAGAACTTTTCACAATTTTTTGGGGGGTGTGGGTGTGTTGTTTGTTTGTTTATCTTTGATTGGTTGGTTGGGGTTTTTTCTTGGAAGAACAAAATACTACTTGCTAAGACCAAATGTCTAAAAATTACTGCCTTAGCATTAAGGGGTTTATGGTTACAGCTGTGGCACAAGACAACATTTGAAATGGTGCTGTCACACTCAGAAGGGTATGAACAACCCCCATATTCAAGACAATAAGAAGTGGAGAACTTTGGTAAATTCCCATATCAGGACTGCAAAAGGATCTAAAGATGCTTTGTGATTTTTACTGGTCCTACACCAGGAACCTAGGCAATGTTCTGATGCTAAATGCTCTAATTTGAAGAAGAATTAAATGTTGGTTTAGTAATATTCATTTTGATAATCACAGCAGAATATCTCTGTACTTCATATCAATAAAGTAAACTTTACTGGGAAAAAAGTTATCACTTTATTCCATATGCTTAATAAGTTATCTACAATTAGTCAGTGAAGAGCACTGCCTAATTGTAGGCAGAGAGGAAGTATCATCCTGAAAAATAAGCACATGTAGATGTGTCTGGAAGCCAGATGTGGACACTGTAATGATAATGTGGAAGAGTGCGGCTGGAGTTCAAATTTTGCAGATTCCTGAGATCTCACGAGCTGAATAGATACAAACAATGGAACAACGAAAGATGTTTCCAATCCTTATGGCTACTTATGAAAACACAGAACTCTGCATTTTTCTCAGCAGACGCAGTTATCTGGTGAAAGTCACTTTCAACAGCTTTGTGAAAATCCAGATTTCAAACTTGGTTGACCAGAGTACTTCCATTCAAGACAATAAAATAGTTATGTGCTTAAACCTAAAATGGGTTTATGCCAGAACTTGAATTTCTTACAGCAAAAACTGATGCTCTGATAGGTGTAATCTCAAGGACATAATTTCTTCTTGCATTTTTCTTTACTTGAAAGTGACACCACTTCAATGCACTTGCTAATGAAATAGTAAAGATTATAATATTTTTTTGCTACATGACAATTAATGCTGCTATCACTTCAAAGTTAATTTATAAAAAATTTATATTACTAAAGTGACATTAAATCACAGAAAAACTATATTTTGTAAATGAAAATCAATGTCTACATTGGGGTATTTTGTTAATAACTACAGATTTAAGAAAAAGAGTGAAGACTTGAAAGACATGGAATGTCATTGGGACATTCATAAAAAAAAGAACAACATTAGGACATTACATTAAAAAAATCTGTGAAACTTTCATGTTTCCAAAAAGAAACCTCTTCAAACAATCTTTATAAAGGAAGCTTAATCTATATGAATGTTTTAACTATTATTTTTGTATCTAGCATACCTACAACAGAGTCAATCATCACCAGTTTTATTAGACTTCCTGATTTATTCCCTGATAAATAATATCAGGGATTGCCATCTAGGATATTGACCTATTTCTGGAAAATTTCATCTTCTTTACTAAACGTCCTCATATTTATGGAAGGTATGGTTGGAGCTATCATATTGGAACTCCTGGAAACAGAATCTGGCAAAACAAATACTGTACAACACACAGACTAGGATCACCCACTCTAGGATCACCCACTCTCCAAAAACCTATTTCTCCTTTAGTGTCAATAAATGACTCCTGTATCTTGGATGCACCTTCTGTTGCTATTGAGAAAGGGAAGACTTTGCCCAGCATCTGTTCTATAGCATGTTATCATTTCCATTTTGAAAACAATTTTAAAAGAAACTTCTCAATCCTCTGTAACAGCTAATTTTTTCAAGTAATTTTTACATTTTTGCTCTTTTTCAGTTACTTTATATCATAAGGCCTACAGACATTTGCAGAGCATAATTTATTATTATTTCACCATGGTTTCTGTAGGTGAGAAAACGAGAATTGACTGTACCAGTTGGTGAAGGTCTTCACTTGCTGGAGACAAAAGCCACCTGAGGTTATGCCATACCAAAGAATAACTCTTCATTATTTATATTCTCATGCTGAAAGTCTCTGCCTTTCTACTGCAGACTGCAATGAATGTATTGTCTCTCACTAACAATAACTGTGTGCTAGGGTATTTCCAACTTCTGAGATTTCTGTTCACATATCTCTTTGCAGCCTTCAAGGTCAGCATCTGTAATGTGTCTATGTGTTCCAGAGATATGCAGATGTTACCTCTTGTTCATACTCCAAACCAAACAGATTGACTCCAAAGTGACTCCAGTCCTTGGATAGCTCTTAAGAGGTGTCTCTCACCGTCCATGTCTGAGCCATTTACTATTAATTGACTCTATTTATCCTCTAAAATGCTCAGATTTCTGCACAGATTAGCCACAGTCAGGCATCAGTGTCATGGATTGAACACTAGAAGAGAAGAATGCAATTCCTACCATGCAGATTCATTTTGCCATTAGAAATACATATGTGTCAGAACAAAGTTCAGATTCACGTAGTAAAAACCTCCTGGAATACGGGTGAGTTCTTATGCAAATGTAACTGCACTGTTTCTAGTACCTGAGCCAATATAAAGGTGAGCCAGATCTGTTTTCAGGAACTGTAGGGACATTTTTCTCTTGCAGTGTAGAAATCTCTCTGTATAACGCACACCATAAAATTTAATTTCTATACCTAACATCATTTGTGATTAGTCCAGATCATAGTTCACAAACTATGATTGCCAATGTTTCTTGAGACAGTCCAGACGATAGGGATTCCATTGCAAAAAAAATATCCTGTAAAAATACCAAGCCTGATTTTCAACATTGTTGAGTACTTTTAATTGCAGCTGATTTGCATTGGGACTCCAGGTGCTGGCACATCTGGCATTGATCACAATGACTCTGTTCTAGTATTTCCTATTTCTGTGCAGCATCAAGTTTCTAAGTCTCCAGATTAAATTCTCTCTCCATTGTCCTAAGCAAACTGGAATTTGGAGCCCACTTTAATACACTTTAACTTTTTCTTTTCCCTGCCTTGGGAATGTGTGAGATTTGTCACATCCTTCCATTTGGAAATAAAATGCAACTAATTAATTTACAGAATTTGCAGCCTGTAGCTTGTTATATCTATTAGATACAATGTTATCTTTTTCTTAAACATTACAAGGCTACTCAGTTCTAATGGCCTAATTTTCTAACAGACCAAAAAGCAAAGCCAGGCTATGGATTCAAGTCACTGCAGATTCAGAATCCCACTAAGACTGCTAAAAACTTGCTCTAGGTTATTGTGGAATGTCAAAATGCTACTTTTGTTCAGGCGGGTATTTTTTCCCCCTATTTAGAAACTTATTGTTAAAATATTAGTAAATATTTATGTTGCAACCTGGCCTTCAGGACCAGTCAGGATCTGAAGATCGTTAACACATAAGAAATGAAAATGGAGCTAACTGTTTATACATTCATATAACCTCTACTCTGGAGTATCTGAAGTACCCAGTGATTACAAAGCATCCCCAACTTTAAACAGTAACTACACACACAGCAACAATTCAGCCAGAAGAGAAAATGGGGCCTTAGATAATTACAACAGAAGATTTAATGCATGACAGTCATTGCAGAAGAAAGTGGAGAAGCAGAGAATATTTCTCTGTGTACTTTGTACATCCTTTTATCTTAGATTTCAGAAGCCCTTCAGGGTTGTTCTCATTTTTAAAGTATTGTACTTATTTTTAATGTTTCAGGCTATTTTTTTTTTCTTTCTAATTATTATACTGCATATAACTCACCCCTGATATTAAGCTTGCCTGAGCCTATCTTAGGGCATTTACTACTTTTGTTGCTGGATGCTTTTTGTAACTCAGGAGTCAACTAAGATTATTTTATTATTCTGTGCTATGTTTTTCTGTCTAAATCCTGCTCGACTAAAGACATTTTCTTCAAATGTCCTGACACTTTTGTAGCGAATTACTTTTCTAATGTCCCAGGAATATGGGTGGTCCAGGCCATATGCATCAGCAGCTTGTGCTGGAATGAGGGAAATGGGGCAGCTGCAGGCTCTCAGGCTCACCCTTGGAGCAAAGCTGCCAGAGCCTTGTCATGTAGACATTGGGGAGAAATCAAGATATTTTAACAAACATATGGAGATTGTGAGAATAAAATTTGTGACTAGAACTGCTTCTCTAACCCATGGAAGCAGTTCCAGTGAGTCTGCTTTCATAAAACTGACAGATTTTGGTCCTAAGTGCTAATGTTACCATCTCTGTAATAGAAACTCTCGCATAAACTATAAATAATTTTATAATGATATCTAAAATATTTGTAATATCTCTGCATTCATGGACACATTCACCATACTCCCAATTTAAAACACAATAGTCCCTATTGCAAGGAGTTTAGGGGAGCAAAACATGAGGCAAAACAATGAGGAATGGAAGCATAGCTAGAAAAAAGGAAATTTTCCCAAAGATTTTAAACTTTTTTTTTTTTTTCCAAAGAACTCAAAATCTTTGCTCTGTCATTGTCATTGTTGCTTTATTTTTTTAAAGAAAGGTCTCAAAAATGCAAATATTTTCATTTCTAAGATTCTTTTAAGTTTTCTATAATTTTAAGAAACTAATCTCGAGTACTTCAAGAATGACAAAACCAAATGTCCTTCTACTATCAAAAAATATTATTGGTTTAAAAAGTGTGTGTTGTTTAAAAAAATCTATTTTGAATAAAGAAGGATATATTTTCTGAAATGTGAAAAGATGAATGCTAAAATTAAAGAGTGAAAAATTAATATTTAAAATGTAATTCTGTGGGTTTTTAGTGTAATGTTATATATTTTCCAAGACTAAGAACAATATAATCAAAGCCCTAAATGAGAAAAGTACAGAAACTTCATTATGCCACCAGTTCCTCATATGCTTGGAATTCACTTCCTTTTCATTGCATATTTGATTTTGTTAATGAATGGTCTTATTTACCAAGACATTTAAGCACACATGCAACTTCAACATGGTGTGAATTAATTCCCTTTTTCTGCTACTGTTCACAAGTTTCTCTAGGCGTGTTTTTTCCATGCAAAATGTACAACTTTCTATGCAATATCAAAATCTGAACATATTCGATTTCCAATTTTCAGTTGAGAAGTAGGCTCAGGAAAACTATAATAAACTTCTCCAAACATTAGACTTTTAATGTCTATGTTTGAAGAAGCAATGGAAGAGAAAGGCACCAACACTGAGGGAAAAAACTTCCATTTTGATTGTCAGCCATACCTGAGACACAATTATATAAGAAAATATGGCTCTACTGTATCTTTTCTCCACTATGTTTAGTATATATAATCCTTATTGCAAGAAACCCTGCTCTGCTTTGAAGGACAGAATTACTCTGCTGTCATTTAAAAAAAAAACAGAAAGGAAAATTCTCTTTTGTAGTGCAAATCTAAGTTGCACCCTCTAAGTTTTAAACACTAAACAGCAAGACAGGAAAAGCAAGAGAGATCCATTGCACAGACTGCTGGAAAACACATGAGCTTTACAATCTTTCTTTAATTAACACAGCATACAAGTATTGATTACTGTATATGAAACATTGCTCTCTGTTGTATTTTTAAACCAATACTTAGAAAGCCCAAGTTGAAAGAGATCATAGTATGACTTCCTCTATATGCTAATAAAATGTATAATATAAAGTCAAAGCATAAAAATAATAGCTTGTTACAGAGCAGACCAATAGATTTCCTTTTATCAAGTAATATTTTAAGACTAGGAAAATATTTAATATTAAATGTATTTATTTCATATGTGCATGGATTTTATATGCTTAAATACAGCAACCAGCTAAAACCACAGGTTTTTTTCCTAGCATAGCACTCAGAAATTACGAATATTAAAATGGTCAATTTATCTGTCTTGTGGGAGAGAGAAAACTGCAAGCCTTAGCAACGCAGTGTAAGCAAAAAAAGCTTGGCTTGTTGCCGAGGTCATGGGCTGTGCTATGTGAAAACTAGAATAAGAAGAAGCACAGCATTTTAAAAGGCTAGTTGTGGCAGGCAAAGAGAAAGAAAACATTTTTGTTGTAACATTGTGGGATTAAATTCAAGGCAGCATACATTTCATTCAGATATAATTTTGTGATATCTTAAATGAGCACATCAAGTGAAGTCTTCTTGGATTCTCTAACCTCTTTATTTAGCTTAAGTATTTTATTACTTTTTGGCCTCCATAAAAGATACAGTCTTTTCACTTTTTAATTTTTTTTGCACAAACTTTGTGTTAGAGCCAAATAATGAGTTTCTTAGTCAGAATTGTGTTTGGACAGTGACTGAATGAATAGTCTATGGAAAGTTTTCTTGACAAGGATTCTCTTAGATTTCTGTGTTCAGTGCAAAGAGTTTGTCCCAAAAGTAAAAGAAACAGCTTTCACAAGGCAGGACCTGCCAGCGTTTAACCTGACACCCCCCAATGCTTTTTTTTTTTTTTTGCTTTCCAGTTTTAGCACCTTGACATATTGACGATAACTTGTTAGCTGTTCTTTCTCATTGGCAATTGGTTTTTAGACCACGATGGACACCAGTGCCTTTGTTGGAGCTAACACTCATCTCTCTTAGCTTAGCTTCTGGAGAACCTTGTACAAATGGCCTTACACCGACCACTTACACTCCATCACTGACCCTAAAAGAGAAGTGTAGGCAATATTTATAATCACTACTTTTCCTAATCTCTACAAGTCAATATGTGATTTGCATTCAGCAGCCAACATTGAAGATAAGCAAAAATTAATCATGGTATTTTAAAACTAGACCTTTAAACCCCAAAATAGTCAGAATAATTAATAGCTTAATTAGAAAAATGCTGCTTTCTTCAATGGCTGAAAAACTGAGCTTTCTGGAAAAAAGTCTGTTGGAGATAATGAGAACTTCCATTAATTTCAGCACTCAGAAATGATCCCCACTCCAAAAGACAGAGCTTGGAAAACAAATCTAGAAAGAATCAGAACCTGTTTAAACACTTCCAAGTAATATTTGTACTAATATACTTTTTTAATTTAAGGAACTTAAGTAATTTTAAGGAAAAATTATTTTCTAACACAGCAGTAGCAAAAGGCAGCAGCAGCATTTGTGTGCAGTAGCTGTTCTGTACCCTGCATGAAGAGTTAACCTGAGTCCTTCCTCAGAGTGTTTCACTTAATCAATTGCACATCTTGCACATGACTAACTTATAACATACACAGAGGTTATAAAAATGAAGTAGATAAAAAAGCTTTCAGCCAAGTTGAGAGATTTGGAGACTACAGCTTGGGTGTTTCTAAACACTTCAGATACCTGGTATGTTTAACATTACTGTACAATTAGCTTTACAATGCGTTCCCAGTATTTCTTTTGTGTTCCCTGATGAATAAAAAATTAATCCCAGAATTCTGTAGGACAGAATCATATTTTGGCTTGTACAGTTTGTTGCAGCACAAAGAATCACTGCAAATCCCACAGTCCCAGCACTACTAACAGACTGATAACCTGAACAGGGCCTCATTGTGTGACCACACGCTACAGAAGAAGCTAGAATTCATAAAGTCCCCCTGCAATAATTCAACCACTGTGGCAGTTTGGGTGTTATTTCACAGTGCAGTTGTTTTTCATTCAATAGGACAGATAAAATTAAGAAATGCAACTTCAGAATAACCAACTTTTATAAAGTTCGCAAGGAATACTGAGCCTGACAACAAAGTCAACTGAGTTTAAAAAGTAAATATTCTGTAATCACACTGAGCTTGAGGGCTGAAATGGCCACATTATAACTTTTAAATAATCAAGACATGAATGCACGGCTGATCAACTGTGTCATAACACAGGCCATATACTGCTTTATCATACATGAGGACAAGAATGCCATCATTCCTAAACTGGAATAATGTGCCAGGGAGCTGAGCCACTACATTAGCTGTGTCTCTTTTTAGACATGTTTTTACTCACATCTCTTAGTTCTAAAACCCATCATCAATTAATTTTCTTTCTTCCATTTTCACGTATTGTCATTTCCTATTATTTAAGAATTTTGATTTGGTAGATTTGAAATCCCCATTCCCCTGTGCCACTGAGGGGAGGAGGCAGAGAATTAAAGGGTGAAGCTGAGCTCAGGAAGAAGGAAGGGGTGAGGTGAATGTGTTTTAAGATTGGTTTTATTTCTCATTATCCTATTCTGATGTGATTGGCAATAAAGTAATTTTTTCCTCCAGGTCAAGTCAGGTCTGCCTGTGATGGTAGCAGGTGACTGATCTCTCCCTGTCCTTATCTTCACCTACAAATTCTTTGCTGTACTTTTTTTGTCCTGTCCACTGAAGTGGCAGAGAAGCTTTGGTGGGTACCTGGAGCCCAGGGTCAACCCATCACATGAGTTTAGATGTGTTAAAATCTGTAACTTTGCTAATGCTGAAACGTTTGAAAGTGTCTGGAAAAGCAATAAAACAAGTGTGGATTTCAACGATATCTTTGCTAGTGCTTAAAATGTTTTGTTAGGATAGTCCAGCCATTCTTTAGCAGTAGAAGCAGCAGACACGTGCAAACACATTCACAGCCCATGATTTGGCTGACAGACTGGAAAACCCAGCCTGCTAAATGTTAAACCAGAAAATGCAGGCAGCTGTCCCACCTGCCCTGCTAAACTACCAACAGGATAACGTGGTATTGTTCCAGCACTTTCCAGGGTTCCTACAGACAATGTTACCAGATTTTTATATGCCAACAGGCACAAAAAAAGCTTTTGTTACACTTTAAAGCAGAATCCCTAAACCTTCTCATAGTGTCAGAAACTTTTAGGATCAACACTAATTCCAATTTCTTTGTATTATTTTATAGGTATTTTTGAAATATTTGTAAGCTTTTCCTTCCCTGTTCTCTCTCAGCCTTAACTCTATCACTGTGCCACAAAACAGGGATGAAATGTGCAGCTTTGGAACTCCTTCCATTTTTTTTTCCCAGTGATACATGACACACCTTAAGTGAAAACCAAGTCTTTACAGAAAATATATTCTTCTTCTATACCATGCATTACAATGTTTTTGTGATAATTGTAAAAATTAGCTATTTTATTTATATGTTGCTATTAGACAGTAATAAAGTATTACTTCAATAGTCACAAAATTAAATAATATCCAAGTTTCAAGAGAATTGTGACAATGGAATTGTCTTTGGTTATCATATTTTTTCTCATAGCTACATTCCAGCACTATAATATGCTATGGCTATTAAGTGACACTACATCTACAGTTAACTTTGCTTGAACTGGAGTAACAATGAATGGATTTTTGAAAACATCGTGCAGAAACAAAAAACTATTTGTATAAAATATTTTTCAAAATATTAAGATATCTAATTTACATTCTAAGAATTTATTTTTAAAACTGAAAGATGTGTTAAGAGGACTTACTAAAAGTAAAATTTACTTTAGTACAATCCGTTTGCTTACAGAAATGCTTACAGAAATCTGATGTGATCTAATATCTTATGCAGTCTGCCATATTCAGTAGAAGAATATGCTTCAGTGGTGAAATCATCTTAACACCAGCTTCTGTAATCTTCTGGCAATCAGCCACATGAATGTGCCTGATGTATGGGCAGCATTTTCTCATCAACTTGAAGTTTAAGTCAGTATTTTGGTATTGTCAGTATTATTCCATGTTGAAATATTTAAGATGCAAGTTACACATCTGACATGCATTAAGAGCACGATCCAAATACCCACTGAAATCAGCTGAAAGATTTATTTCAAATTATCTGAGTGAATTGTAAAAATACATAATCTTAATGATTTTTTTCATTATACTAACCTTCAATGCTGGCCTTCAAAAGTTTACATTCTGCAAGGGCATTAAAAGTTGTGTTCAGAAAGTTTGGGAGAGTCAAGAAAGAAAACAGACATTACTTGTTAGCCTTTGAAGAAAAAAAGTTAAATAAAACATTAATATGCTCATGTTGTCACGTAAAAAAATAAGATGAGCAAATATTCCCCATATAATACCAAAAAGTCACAATTTAAAACAAACAAATAGTTATAATCCACTTAACAGTAGCTTCCAGAGAGTGAGTGGCACATAAACCACGGCAATTCTCCATATAGCTTTTATGTTTGGGAGCACAAGGAAAAGAAGCAAGTACCTGGAGACATGAAGTATGGACACCCAAGACAGTGATATAATTAACAATCACTTTTGCACAAGCTTGGAAGTTCTTGTTTGATAGGCAAAATCAGTAGCAGAATGCTGTTCCCATATATTATAGTTGCTTTACCACTGAAAGAAAAGAAATGCTCTCATTTATAAACTGGAAGACCATAATTCAAACATACCAGTGAAAAAAGAAGACAACTAAAGTTTTCTGACAATGACTGCAAGTGAGCAAGATTTATAAGCATAATTAGACAATAGTTATAAAAAAATCCTTTTGGTTAGAACTTCTCCTGAATTGATTCTTACTTCTTTGAAGTCATTTGAGAGGATAACTCAATTCCAACATCATAAAAAATGTTTCTCAAAAAGTACAGCTTATTTTCAGTTTCTAACTTAAATACATCTGTCTGTAAGAGTTAACATTTTGCTGATTAGCAAATCTTGAATCCAATTGCAGCCATTGACAGTATTTTTGAAGACATCAGCTCAAATTTACACAAGAAATTAAATGTTTATGTCTTAGCAAGTCTGACAAAAACAGTACAGGGAGAACTTGAGATCTCAATGCTTTAATATCTTACCATAGGCACCTAGTTGCTCACCAAAAAAAGAAATGCAATAATCTCACTAAAAGAAAAACAGATCCATGAGGGATACATATTATTCTGAAATTTAAACATAATGCAAAGGATCTGTTAAAAATGTGTCCTCTAACCAAATAAGAGTCAGGTACAACATTTTCTACAGCTGACACTATTTATGAAAGTGGCAGTGAATGCTACTGTCTCATTTTCCAACCTTTGTTTTCCCAACCTTATGATTTATTCACCTATGATAGATGTTGAAATTCAGTTTGAAGCAAGTTCTAAATGCAATAAAATATCTTATTGTTTATTTCCAGATCCACAGTAAAACGTGTGTAAGATTCAGAGGGGGTACAAGGAAAGGTCCTCTGCAGTCACAATAATATCGAGCTGTTCTACAGAATCCTTCATGCAGGACGACAACAACAACTCTGTGTACTCCAACAGTGTGATATTCAATGAAATTACAAAAGGACTGATGGATCTGTCAATTCAGTTTATTCCTTCTATTACTCCAGAGAGACTATTCTTTAACTGCTTAAATTCAATAGATGTCAGTTCAGTCTTGGGCATACAAAGTATTTTGACATATAAATGCTGTGTAAATGACAGTTTCTTTTTAGCTTCTACAGAAAACACAATGTGAACAATTCCTCCCCATGAAGTAGTCCCCCTGATATTTCCATGTAGAGATCTCACTTTTTTCCCAGGGTTTTGAAGTTGTGTGTAATATAACAGTTGAGGGTTGAACTTGGGAATCTTAGAGGTCTTTTCCAGCCTTAATGATGATTCTATACTAACCCTGTGCAGCTCAGACTACAGCCTCAGAAATTCATTTGCAAAACATCCACAGAAAAAAAGTAGTCCAACATGTCCTCCTGGGTACCAAATAAGATCTGTGGAGAGAAGAATCCAAAGAAGGAATCTTGTAATATACACATAATGTGAGGGATTTTTGCTGTGCCCCATATCTCCAGCTGCTGCAGAAGCCTGATGTGCTTGGCTACCTTGCCTAAGGGGAGCAGCAGTGTAAGGCACAGGCTTTGTTCAGGGTGGAAATGTTGTCTGACAGTGGACACCACTAGCAGACAAGAGATAGCCAAAGACAAGCAAGCCAGAAACTGAGCAGCAGCCGATCACCCATCACACCTCAGTATGGTAACAATGCACCAGGAGATGCTCCCAGTTCCTGCACTTCTAGTCTCCAGCACTTGTAGCACATGACTGGTCCCCACTACTACTTATCAGTGGAAACTAGAATCAAGCCTGCTTTATTTCTGTCTTACATTAAGTGAGGACATTCACACCTTGGATTTCTGGCTCCTATTTCTGAAAATTTTATGTTTGGATCCTTTTGCACGTGAGATATTTTTTAATGGAGTAACTGACTTTAAGTTATAATCAAGGTGGACTGTCTTTTCTGGCATAATGTCTCATCTTTTAACTTATGCCCGGGTTGGCTTGCTCTTTATTTTCAGGCTGAAGTGCCCTTTTAAACAGATTCTTCGTCAATTGTTTTAAATGCTTTGGTTTTAAATGTCTTTTCTTAGAGGACTATGGCACTCTTTGCACATTCTCCCTTCTGCAGAGGGATGCCAGCCCTAGAGGGAAATTGGCTTAATGTCTGTCAAGTATACTCTTACACTAAAAGTCTTTGTGCAGATCTCACAGACAGACAGATAGACAGACAGACAATATGGTGTGGCTCATAACACACATTGGCACTTTTAGCACTGTGGATGTAAATAATCTGGTGTGTTTTGAGTTCAGGACAAGTGCAGCATATTTGTTTTTCCACAGTGGGTCTGTAACAGCCACAAAATGACAGAACGAAAACCCTATCATCAAAATAAATAGAGGAAATATTTTACTGGTAATGCATGGAGATATAAATCCCATCAAGTCCCATCCCTCTGACAGCTGGCTGTATTCAAGGTGGGTTCTGATATGGTGCAGCTGTGTTACCCTGGATCAGGCTTCTCCAGGAGCAGCTATACTCTAAGAAGCAGATGAAGAAGGGAAAAGAGAATCTTGTAAAGCTGCAGGGGAGGTGGCATAGAGGGATTATAAAGAAAGAGCCATTTCGTAACCACAAGCTGGTCAGAGCGTGTAGAGCCTGTTGGTACCCTCCAGGTTCTCACACCACATCCAACGGAGATGTATCTGTTGGAGAAAAGGACACTGTGACTTTGGGAATGTGGTTGATGTGGGCAACACATCAGTGAGGATCTGCAGATAGTACTGCAGACCTCACCATCAGCATGGATAGGCTGGATTTGCCCACCCCAAATGATTGCAAAACAACAGGTGCAGTATAGGGCTACTACAGCAAAGGCAATCAATCCTCTTTTCTACTGGTAGTGACCATCAGAAGATAAATATCAGTAGGGAAAGTTGTGTGCTGGTTCTCAGGACAGAATACTAAAATCAGTTGTCCAGATTCTAGTTTTGTACTCACTATTGGAATATGCAATGTGACTTAATCCCATCTCATTTCCTCACCCCAAAACCTTCATTATGCATGAAAGGGAGTAGCTTAATGGTGAATATCACACAAGCAGCTGCCTGAGGGATGTATTGGGAAATCTATACTTTCTGCTTTTGAAGAAGCACCAATTGCTTTAACATGGCATGACCAAGTTGTTCAAGCAAGGGTTTACCTAACTGCAACAGGCTTCTTGCTCATTGGCTCTCAAGCATCACAACAGAAAAATATGAATCCTGGGATCTCTGTATAGCAAAGAGCAACAGAGATCCCAAGACAGGTCTGAATCACCTCTGGAGACTTCTCCCACTCTCTAATTGCTATATAGATATATTAAGTTAATTTTCTAGGCACTATGTTATCTTAGACACCTAAAATAAAGTGAAATTCCCATTCTCAAAAGGAGAGACTTTAGGCAGCAGGTAATCAGATCAAACTCAGCAATCCTGACAGAAATAGCATGCCTTTTTCTGGAATTCAGTAAGGATTGCATAATGTTAAATGCAGGCTAAAGGACTTTTAATCTCTATCTGGAAAACCACTGCTTGCTTAACATAGACATTTGATACCACAAATAGCAGAAATCTAGTGTTTTTCCTCCATGCAAGCCAAACCAAATTATATAGAAGTAGTTAATAATAATTCCCCTGCACAGATTGTTTCTAATTTCTTTTCCACTTTAACTGGTTTTTAACTTGAAACTGGATAATGTATCTCAGGCACCAGGTTGAGAAAGCTCCTGTGTGAAATATGCACTCAGATAAGATTAAATAAAACTGATCAACATTTAGATCTTACTGCAATCATATGTATTTCTCTTATTTTCCTGTATTTCTAGAACAATAAAATCTTAAATTTCTTTTCTAAGGCCCCATGGATTCTCTATGAAACTTCAGGTACTCTCAAAGCTAAGGTTTAGAAATATGAAATTTCTTGCATATTTCAGTAAAAATTTTCTTTATCAACTCACTTGGAATTTCAATGTGCAGCTTGGCCTGAGAATCAATGTTTTGTCCCATATGAGTAAAATTCCACTTAAACCTCATCTTTCAAAGCAATTGGGAGGGAGACTATTTTGAAGGTTATTGAATCTTAGGTCCTACAAAATTCTGCAATACAGAGTTTTCGCACATAACTCAGTAAAATTATTCTATAAATGTCTTATTTTTCTTGCATAAACAGATCAGAAATGAATACAAAAATAAATTGTAAATGTAAATAAAATTAGGTAAACAAGTAAAATACAATTCTTTGTCTGTAGGAGTTTTCAGTCTAATATGTAAATGACTGTCTTGTTTTTTTTTTTCTTGATTGCATAATAGTATGCTATGATCTGAAATGAAAGTACAACAAAACAAACATGGAGCAAATCACAGCTAAAGATCTGTCCCCATAGATTTAGAAAATAATTGCAGAGAAATGATGAAATGCTTATAAGAATATCAAAGTTCATTTAATTCAATCTTTCTGTAGTTTCATATTCTGAAGAATAGGAATACACAGGTTTTTTTATTTAGGTTTGGCTTTTTTGCTACACATATACAACTTTACAATTCTGTCTTTCTCCCAGAACTGACTGGATTTGTGGAATCCGGCCTGCAAGGCAGAACTCTGTCTTCAGCACAGAAAGGATTTTGAAGAAACACTCTTGTGATTCCAGTATTGGCAATACACCAAGGATAGAAATTTGAAAATCAACATTCAGAACTGAGGAAGTACTCTCTGGGGGACATGGGACTATCAATTTTGTATCCTGTGTTTGTCAAGAATCATAAAATGAATTGTGACATCTTTTCAGATGTTTGGCACATTATATTGATGGCTTGACTCCACATGTTATTTTTCTTTTAATTTTCCACTGTCCTAAAAAAAGCACTTATATTAACATATTCCTGAATTAGCATTTTTAACAGAGCATTTTTAACTTATAGTTTGTACTCAGGAAATCATCTCAACAATTGTACTCAACAATCATCTTCTTCAATAAATAAATAAAGAACATAGCTCAGATTTGCTCCCCAAGTGATACCCCTTTTTTTGTTGCTTGATACGCCTGAAGAAGCCAGAATTTGCCAAAATGAGACTTCTCCCAACGAAGCTGAAGGGGGGAAACACAGATGATGGAAACTGGTGAAGTCTACATGTAGGTTTCTCTGACACCCCTGCAAAGCAGATGTCAAGAAATGAAAGGGACAAAATTATTTTTCCCAGTGGCTTGCATTCTCTTATCCAGCTGTTGTTACCTACAGCAAGTGACAGACTGCTGTAACACATTTTGGGCATGGCATGCAATAATTTATACCCTCATTCTTTCCAGTTTTGTGTCTAATAGCAGAAAATTTTCCACCAATACTGTTCAGCTTCAGAAGCAGAACAAAGAGATCTTACGCTTTCTAGGTGGGGCTCTGGGAATGTCAATGATATAATAGGGTACCTTCCGAACAAGACACAAGAGAATCTCTATATTTTTATGAAAATATGTTGAAGCTCATTAACAAAAATATTTACTGCCTGTGCCATACAGATAAAATGTTAATTACCATGACTTTATGCAAAAACCCCCATGCCAACAATTTCTCCACTATTATTACCATGTATGAAAAATAGGCAAAGGAAAGATTGCCTTGTTTTGTAACAATGGACTAGAAAATGTCTGGTTAATTCTCACTTTTCTGCCTGTGTATTAATGAGCTAATTAAATGTCTTGGTCCTTAAGCTGCTACTTACACAATCCTTAACATAATCACACATTTTACAGATGGACTTTCTAAATAAACATTCAAATCCTACACAAATAGTGGCAATAGAACAACTCATATAAAAAGAACTGTAATGTTAAAATGAAAGAAAATACCAAGAAACATGAAAAAACCATTAAAAATACACATTCTATAGAGTATTTTAACCATAATTTCAATGTCAATAGTATAACTCCTCTACAGTTTTCCAACTAATTCTGAAATGTTAGCCTTACAAAATTTCCCTTTGGTTTAGTTCATCCAGTGAGGGGGAAAAAAATCTTTTTAAAATCCTTTATCCAACTGTGATGCAATTTGATATTTTTGGGTTTTTTTGTTTCAACTGTTCACTTAAGTACTTGGTCATAATCATTAAGCAGTGTTCCAGAATCCAAAAATGGAGAAAGTTGTGGAATTCCTTTCACGGCTCTCAAAGACACTGGCAAGCAAACCCACTGTCCTCTGGTAGGGGAGGATTGTGGTTTCCCCTGTTTGATGATGATCACTTCTCCCTGAGTACTATTAGATCATGCTTTCTAGAGGCAGATCCCTACAGCTCATGATGACACTTCTATGCAAGCAGGAATGATGCTTTTGGAAAACAGAACCAATTACTGGCATTTTGAAAAAGTTACTCAGAGGTAGGTAGTTCTTAACTTTCCTCTAACCTCAGCCCTCATTTCAAATTTCACACTGTCACTGCACAACAATCACAGCATGATTCTCATGAACGAGAAATGGTAAAGAGCAATCAGAAAAGGACTTGCCCCATCTGCCCCATCCTTTGTTCTGAAAAGGTTTTGTTAGATGGAAAGTTAAACTGTTACAGTCCTCAGACTCCATCTCTATCATTTCACATGTATTTTGTTATATGGAGAATATTCTCAGTGTATAAAGAAATTTATGTGTGAGTCTTTACTTAAACATTAGGGGACATTAATTGTCTTGCAATTTGGCATTTCATATTGCTTTTGGAATATGTTTCAAGATACAGTATATATTTAAAAGTTTATAAAATACTACTGCATTCTAAAACTTTGGTTTTCTTTACAAATTTAGTAGGATACTAAAATAATCCAAAACATATCTATTTTTAGATTGCAGTTATATATACCACTTCAATTTATATATTAAACCAATGTAAAACTGCACCAAAAGTTCATTTTTTAATTAACTTCCTACTCAGGAAATCAGCTGTAAATTTGTATATTTTTCCAGCACAGAGTGGCTTTTATTTTTTTGATATTTTAGTAAAAACTACCTTTTAAAGCTCCAGATAAAAACCCCCAACTAATAATGACATACAATTAGTCTATTTATGGCTACAAAAAGCAAGCCTTGTTCTCATTATACAGTAAATACTAGCTGTTTATAGATCTGACAGTTTGCTGGAAGTGATCCAAGCCTATAGTGCTATTCCTTAGTAAAACTTAAACAGCTGTAGTCATGTAATTCAAAACCCTGGAAGGCTGCTGCAGTGCTTGCTCAACCTCAGTATACCATGAATGCAGGATGCTGCCAGTCCTATAAAGGATCCTCTGCTTCACATTATGAAAGAAAGACGTGAACTACAAACCTGAATGAAACCTGGAATTTCCAAGCAGATGACCTTGTGACAGCCTTTTCAAGAGTCCAGGTATGGTAAACCTTTGTCTGTGAATTTTCTGCAGTGGGCTAAACTCATTTACTGTAAACTGGGGAAGCTTTGCAAAAAAACCTACAAAAACCAGAGCAATTTGCTACAAGGACACAATACAGAATCAAAAGAACATAAAATGCCATAGATAAAGCTTTCTGAAAATTATTGTAAAGAAAAGATGTTCAATACGAAATAGAATTATCTACTTGCTGAAGTTTGAAAGTCCCTTTCTTCTGCTGCAGTTTTTCCTCTGCTCTTGTATTGCAAATTAGTGGGGAATAGCACTATTATGCAAGCTATTTCACCATATGAAACCAGAAACATTGTAAAGTTATCTTAAGTAACTGCAAAAGCATACTTTTTAAACTAATAGGAACTTCTTTGTGCATACTTTGCAAGCATGACTTTCCAGTGTAAGTTTGTTGGACTGCTTTTGCCATTGATTTTACAAGCAGTGCCTGCTGGAAATGAAAACCAGATCTCTATCAAAAGACATTAAAAGCAGAAATGTGTAGTTTAAACTTCTCAAGTAATATAATTATTTAGAAGAGTATTATTGAATCTGAAAAGTTGAAAGAAGTACAAAAGTGAGTCATGTAATTTTAGGTTTTGATCAGTTCTTTTGGAAAACATTTCTTTATACTAAACATTAGTTAAGAGAAAGCAAATTGTGTATGTAGAAAATGTTAATCAACAGCACTCCGTAAAAGCAAGAATCTATACTCTGCAATTACCTAAATTTTCATCTGCAGGTTTATATCATACTGAAAATTATTCATTGACTGAACCACATTTCTAACTGGAATAAATAACAATTACCACAAGCACCACAAATGAAAGCATACAGAAAATCAAAACCTAGAATTAGGACCTTCTGCTCTGGTAGACATTTAATCGTAGTCATGCAGTTCTGCAAGTCAGCAAAATTAGGCATTTTGAAGAAGATGGGAACTCCCACTGTGGAGCTGACTGCTTAAGGAGTGGCATACTGGCTTTTGGAACTGACTTTATGCTTTCAATATAGAATCGAGAAACATGCTGAACACAAATGCAAAGAGATAGGAAGTGTAAAAAGAATGCTGTTGTAAAAAAAGAATTCAAAAGTATTAAGAAATTAAATATAAGATTATATTTAACGGAAAAAAACCACAATGTGCAGTAGAATCAGATATTAGAATATAAAGGCATGTGTTATTTGTGGTGCCTTTTTTTTTAATGGAAATGTTTAATTCATATTAAGTACAAAAATAAAAGTACCCTTCTTCGTAGAAGCCTGAGCTATTTTGCATTTTAGTGTGATATCCCAAAGAAGTGAATGAGGAAAAAATAAAACTTGGAGAAGTATACTTCCAAACATATCTAATAAAATAGATAATAAATTAAGAGTCTGGGGTAAATACACTGGTAGCTCTGAGTATTTTTAATGTATATGTTGCTGCAAGGCTGCACAATTTAAGATACAGGTAAGCCTTTCTTATTGCATTTCGAAGATTGTGATCAAAACCTCACAATAATTTTGAAGATATGCTGATTTCCTTTATTGGTCACATGACCAATTTTTAGTGATCTGGGACTTTTAACACATGCCTTCTTTTTCCATTTTTAAAGTGACATCTTCCTTAAAAGTCAAGGAGCACACAGACTACCAAAAATCCTAGTTTTGTGTTACAGCTAAATTCTGCAGGAATTCTGTCATACTGATTTTTCAATCCATTTTGACATTTGCAATCTCAGGATCATTGAGCAATCTGACAAACTCACCTTCTGACATTTATTCCTGATGTTCATGAATAAATATTCATGTCTACCATATGTAACAGAAGTTTTCAGAGGGAAATATGTTGTGCCATATAGAGACTAAAATGCTTGTATGGAATTGTATGAAAGAATAAAAAATTACTCCTGCACTTCACTAACTCCTCGTTCCAATAAAGGATGTCTGATACACCACAGCAAACCTCACATGCAGCATTATGAAATGCAATACTGCCACCTTGCACTTTGTCTTAGTTACCATAGCACACAGGACCTGTGCTGAGCTAATGCTTTTGGGATTGCCATGTGAAATGTTCATGAAATCTGTCTGCTTTCATATTCTTCACAGGACAGCAGCTTATTGTACATCCCCATAATCTCAGAAACAATGAGCTTTTCTTTTTGTCTAGAAATTGTCAATACAAAGAATGTAATCTTGTGGTTTTAAATCAGAAGCATCATGTGTGACTGGGAAAATTTCATATTAACAAGGTACAAGGTAACTGCAAAAGGTCATTTGTCAGTGGAGAATTTTTCTCTATTTACACATAAAAAATAATATTCCAAACTTCAGAAAAAGTATATGGAAATCTAAAAAGACAAAATATCAGCCAACATGTAAAAAACACAGACTATAATAAAAGTAATACTGATGAGATGAGTGGTAGCATTGGAGATACTAATGCAAAACTTTGCCAAAACAAATGTTAGTTATATGAGGATATGGCATTTCAGACTAAGAAAAACAAAAGCCAAAATGTATTATGTACATGCCAAAGAAAAACATGTTTCTGAACTTCATGGGGATGTTGTTGAAAGACATACATTTGTTTTCCTCATAGGAAAGAGAAATAGTGTACAGCTATTCTTCAAATCCATGTCCATATTTGTGATGGCTGCTGCTGTGAACAGCTCACCTCATTTCTTCCATGGCACCTTTGAATCCAGCAATTCTACCTGCCAGGCAGACCTTGAGTCTCTAGGGATACCTCTGAAACAGGAATGGCACACTTTTGTTGTAAGATTGTAAATTCTCTGCCTTCAGCTCACTGATCCTCCAAATATCAGCTTGGAATAAATCTTTCTCTTGCAGTTGTCACACAAGGCCTTGGCTCACACAATGCACCTACCCACAATCCTCTCTTTCAAAAATAAATTTTTAAAAACTTATTTAACTTCCAGACTTCTTGCATCATCATGAGGAACTGGATATGCACAAGAAATTTTGGGATAGTATTTTCTCTTAAAAGTTTCTATGAAACTCTTCAATACATAAGGGAATCTAGCATATAGTTTTAGATATACTAAAAAGATAAAAGAACTGCTATCTAAATGAAATGTATGGGGCATTTATTTCATTTTGTATAGCAGACAGAATCCTACAAATCACTCAAAAAAAGAGTATTTCTATTACATATACCTCTAAATTTCCTGCAAGATTAAAACAAACACACTTTCATATTTCTCTGTAATATTACCTTGCCAATAGTCATAGATTTCCATTAGTACTATTTTTATACAACAGATTTAAATAGATTTAAAGTCTGAATAATTAAAAAAAAACCCAGAATTATATTAAACTTATATTTGTATGTAATAAGGGGAAAAAATTGAGTAAGTATCTTGAAATCTTCATAATAATTTCTGTACATCTCAGCCATTTTCTTTGGAAAAGCCTCAAAGTAGAATACTGAGAGATGTGATGCTACTGTTACCAACTTGAAGTATGGCAATTTTATAATTTCAAGGGATGCCTACACTATACAGTCCTACAGAGCACAAGGAACTTATCATATGATTGAAGGTTAGCACATATAAACACATTTTGCTAAACCAAGATTACTGTTAGCCAATCCTGGTATCTACAACCATTGGTGAATTTTCTCCATGAACTCTGGTATATTTCTCTAACCAGTAATATTATTTGATATAGTATAATTTACACAATGCTTCCTGTTTAATTCTACCTTCTAGGTGGAACATTAAACTTGAGTAATTATAAGGCTTCTATGTTTTATTGACCTGCAGAACAGGTATCTTATATTGTTCCATTCTTATATAATGGGAACAAATCTCCTAGTATGATAAATGTCAATATAATACAAAGGCAAAAAGTCAGTACTTGTACATGTAAATGTAATAGTTGAACCTGTGTCTTTTTCCATGTTGTGATCACCTTTTCCCTATTTCAGTTATCAGGCAAAAGAACCATCCAGATAACTGGAAATTCAAAACCAACCAATCCTAAAGAGGAAAGTTTGTGCTTTTGAAATATATTCCTGCGACAAAGGATTTGAGAGAGGAGATATATCAGTAAAAACAGGTATGTAGATGGAAGATAACCATAACCTTGAAAGGAGTGAAAGCACAGGGAGTAGTGAGAAAGCTGGGGGAATAGTGATGAGGAAAATCTCTGAAACCTTCCATGCAAAAGCAGCACAAAGGGGTCTATCTCAAGTGTCTGAACACAAACACTGGTAGCTTGGGAATCAACCAACAGGGACCAAAGTTCATGCACTGGTACAGAGCTGTGATTTCACTGGGACTACAGAGATGCAGAGAGATAGCACGAACAAATGAAGAGGTGCTATGAAAAGTGCCAGAATATTTAGGAAAGACAGCCCAGGAAGGTGAGGATGGGCTGCACTCTATGCAAAATCGTGCCTGAACACATGGAGCTTTGCATTGAAGTGGGTGACAAGTCAATCAAGAGTTGATTTGTAATGATTAGAAGCCAGACCTATGAGCATTACATTGTGATAGGGATCTGCTGCAGACTGCTTGATATGCTTGATCAAGAAGAGATAGTGGATGAAACCTTTGGGCAGCTGAAGGAAGCCTTACTCTTGCCTATCCTGGTTACTCATGAGAGATTTAGCCACTCATATCTGCTCATATCAGAAAATATGGCTGGGCGTGTACAGTTCAGGAGACTTCTAGAGTATGTTGAAGACAATTTCCTGATCCAGCTAACTGACAAGTGGCCTAGGGAATGTGTTCTTCAACAGGTGAAGGAATGTGAAGTTGAGTGAATATCAACCTGAATGAACTCGAATGGCTTTGGTTACTGCAGCCATGAAAATGAGAAAATGAGAAATTCAAATTCCAGACAGAAGAAAATTGGACAAACTGTAGAAGAAAAAACCCTAAACTTGTTAGCTGATTTTGGCTAGTTTAGGGACCTGTTTAACAGAATCTCACAACAGACAGTCTTGGAGAACAAAGTGGCCCACGAGAACTGGTTAATCTTCAAGGACAAGTTACTCCATTACTTTTTAGCCTTGGTTTTTACAGCTAAGGCTTGTCTGAAGGCTTTCCAGGTGCCTGGCTTGAGCCTGTGAGCAGAGTCTGTGAGAGTGAAGCAATAGCCACTGCAGAAGAAGTTAATGTCAGGGAGCACCTGAGGAAATGGGATGAGACAAGGTGCATCCGAGAGGAAGAAAGCTGTCTCTTGTCATTGAGAGGCCTCGCTCATTTCTGAAAGGTCATGACAGTCAGAGGAGATTCCCAATGACTGGAAGATAGGAAATGTCACATCCATTCCCAGAAAATGGAAGAAGATCCAAGAAACTGCAGGCCAGTCAGCTCCACTTGAGTCCCTGGGAAGGTTATGCAGCAAATCCTCCGTGAAGCCCCGTTCAAGCCCATGAAGGATGAAAAAGTGACAGTGAACAGCCAGCATGAGTCTGTCAAGGGCAAAGCATTCCTCACTAATTTGATAGTTTTCTATTATGTGATTACTAGATCTCTAGATAACAGGAGAAAAGCAGCCCTTGCATCATTAACTTGACTAACCTAAACCATTTTTGTTTGAAATTCTTAAGCCATATTTTACCTATGGTAATTTTCAAAAGCTTGTGTGTAAATATTGATGTTTCTGGGCTAGAACACTGGATGTACACTTCACTGAAAAGTGACTATAAATAATACGATTTTTCTTTATATATACTTTGCACTATAAATGGCCTATAAATGGATGAATATATTAAGAAACAGAATTTCTGAACAAAATATTAATATTATTCTTAGATTTATTTGTTATAAGAAAATTTTGCATATAACACCGCTTTTTCTAAGAAATTATTAATTAAAGCAAAGTCAAACATTGTTTTTCCATCAAGGAAGAGCAATGAAAAAAAAAAAGAAAATTAATGGAAGCAACATAAAATTAAAAATGGTAAACTGAGAAAAAAATGGACAAATACACAGTGGTGATTATATTCTTAGACACCTTTCAAATTAAATCTCTTTAAAATATCAAGAAATTTAGTGAGACATTTCTAGAGCCCAAGTGGCTACTGAAAGAATAAAGGAAGTTGTAAACAATACAGGAATAAAATGTATTGTTCTTAATAACTCCAAGCTTATAATAACAACCAAACCTTCTTCCCACACTGGTGAAGTTTTGAAGTGTATATATCAAAATTAATCGAGATTGACTATATAATTTTGCCCTGTTACTGTAGAAACCAATGAGAACTTGACTATCTCTGAATTCTACTAAACTCCATTTTCAAAGTACTTAAGAACACAAGTCTCTCCTTTTTATCTCTACGGAAGACTTGTAACCCAAGTAGCCATAGCACTTGAAAAAAATCTTTCTTCTTGGAATAAATTAGAATTTGTAGAAAGAGTTTGTAGTTCTTATATTTAATCCCTGGCATTCACAGATATGTAAGCCTTGCAAATTTTTTAAGTCACCTAAAAAACCAAAACCCAAACAAAACCAAAGCCAAAACAAAACTGAAAACAACCAAAAAAACCCGCAAAACCCCAAAACCCACAAACAACCAAGGCAAAAACCTATCATATTACAGGTGAACAGGTAAAATTCTCAGTGTATGACATAAATTAAAGAATACTCATACAGGATTCAGTCTATCTGGGCCAATATCCTGAACCATGGTCACAGCAGATTACTGAAATGAAAGCACAAAACCCCCAAAATTGGGGCAAACAGTCCTGAGAGAATGACTTGAAAACAAGCCCATCCTTGAGCTCTGACTAAAACTGGGTGTCTGATGGGCACTGCATGGCTTTCCCTGGTCTGGCTCTGCATGTGTTCCAGTTGTTCAGCACTCAGCAAGTCGGGAAAGACCTGCTTCACACTCCTCGTTTGAGCTCATCTTCCAAGATTAACTTAAATACACAAAGGTCCAGCCTGATCCTGCTTCCCTAAACACATGAGAATCTCCTAACAAAGATCAGTGAGAAATTGGTCCACATAGTTTCCCATGTTTAACCACAATGAAAAACAGTAGACCAGAGTCAGTAAAAATTAACGAACAAACAAAGAGAGATGGGATATTAAATCTTCAAAATATTTATGAAGTTCCAAGTAGTGTGATGATTGAGTACTTGACTGCATATTATATACAATCCTGCATGGAAATGCCTATTTCATCTGTACTAATGTTCTATTTTTCTTCCAACACAGGAATCCCACATACCCCAGCTGTGCCTCCTCAGATCTGTAAAACACTGATTTGGACTACCCAAAAATTTCAACTGTTCTAGCAGTCACAGAAAAGAACTGGGGTCAGCTGAATGTCAGGATGCAAGTAGTAACTATTATATTACTACTTGTTCTTTGTAATGCATCTGACTGTAGGAGGACAAGGAATAGGAGTTTGAGAAACAATGAAAGGGAAAACATTTTAAGGAGAGCATCTAGCACTGTTAAGCGCAATGCCCGAGGCCAAACATGTGATATTTACACTTATCTTCATGAGAAATACTTAGATTGTCAGGAAAGAAAGCTGGTTTTTGTGGCACCTGATTGGCCAGAGGATATAAAACACATGCTGTTAGCAAGAAACAGGATTCGTAAATTAAAGAATAATATGTTTTCCAAGTATAAAGTACTGAAAAGTCTGGATTTACAACAGAATGACATATCAAAAATTGAGAGCGAGGCTTTTTATGGTTTGGATAAACTTACCACACTCTTACTTCAGCATAACCAAATTAAGATTTTATCTGAGGAGATTTTTATTTATACGCCCAATCTAAACTACCTGCGTCTCTATGACAATCCCTGGCACTGCAGCTGTGAACTAGAAACTCTTGTTACAATGCTACAGGTTCCAACAAACAGGAATTTGGGAAATTATGCCAAATGTGTGCACCCAATAGAGCTGAAAAATCAAAAGCTAAAAGAGATAAAAGTTGATCAGCTATGTAGTGAAGAGGACAGGCAGGATCCCAAAAACATAAAACGAGAGAAGCCTGAACCTGTCAAACCAGAATTTGATTCCTCTTTGTGCCACATGTATGTGTTTCCTGTGACAACTCTGAACTGCAAAAGGAAAGGTTTGTATCTGTCCTTGTAACTGAATTAATGATTTTAATATTCTATTTATTTAATCCTTTCTACATTTATTCACACATTTACTGCAAATGAACTTAGTACTAGTACTTGCTTTACTTAAACTGAAATTGTTAATTATTTTTCTCTTGTAACTACCAGCAGTAAGTAGGAATTCTTCCTGCATTTTACCTTTACTCTGCAGCTCAAATTCAACAGATATTCCTTAGCACTGTAATGTAAGTATCTAACAGAAATCAACAGGAATAAAATTAAGCTTATTACTTAAGTTACTAGTCTGTTTGTACAACTGTAAATATACTAATCAGTCAAATTACAGCTGTGCTGAAACTGTTGAATTGATACAGAAAAGCACAGAGTATCTTTTCTTCCTTCCATTGTACAAACACAAAGAAAGCAATGACTTTGACAGAAGTGAGCTGTGAAGCAGGGCTGGAGCAGCCAGCTGCGTTTTCAATGCCCAGAGGAATCTGATTGCAAAGCAAAAGCTTTGCATCTTCACATTTGCTGCACAAGATTTCTTCTACTAAGGGAAGAAATTGTATGTTTTTATTAATGAAGAAATACCTCCTCTGTGCTCTTCCTCCCAGCACCCAGCAAACAATTCAAAGTTGAAGGGACTTTAAGAAATGTTTTTCAGACACTTGGATCTATTCCAACTTGAAATCTTTCTCAGGCCCCTAAGAGCCACAGTTAAGCCTTAAGGGTAAACCAGATGGGGTGTATATCAACATGAAAATGCACATTTATTTGTCCTTTATATTTTCCATATTTTATCCCATGAAAACAAAGCAAACAAAAAAACAATTCAGAGGAGAATCATTCTTTAACAAAACAATTCTGAAGTAAGAAGCACTTCTTGAAGCAGTTGACATTGTGAGACCTTTTTCCCAATTTTAGCAGAGCTTAGCCCACATGTTTTGTTCAGCTAAACTTCTGGAACTTCTATTTGGTTTAAGATTAACTTGATTTTATGTAAAAACCTCAGTGTGCTCTTGCTCCTTTATGCCAGAGAAAAGCTCAGAATTCAGTATAAGGAGATAATATCTAAATATCAAGGATTAATGATTTTAGTATTTGATTACATGGTTTATCTACTATATATGTCACAAAAATGGTCTGTGTTCTCTACATTTTTTCACCCTGTAAATTCCTTTCTTGTCCCTCTGGCTCAATTTTCTCTTTCTTTTACCGTTCAGCTACTAAATCTTTTTATTAATGATTTATGCTGCTTTTTTTTTTAATATTCACCTATCTTTCCTTTCCTTGTAGATAGGATCTTAATTATTAGATTATAGATTATGATCTTAATTATCCTTCATAGGATCTTGATTATATCACTATTTTTTTTTCTTAAGTAAACTGTTATTGAACAAAACCCAAGCATAAATTATAATCTTAATATAAGCAAAGACTGACTTTACAGCTCTCCCCACTTAGTGGTATCAAAGAGATGAGCTGAATACACAAATATACCCAAAAACATCTTGGGAAAATAATTTCACTTTTTTCTCTAAGTTCATAGAAAGATCCAATGTGGTCTGATCTTCATGGGAGTTTCAAAGGAGTTTATGGTATTTGAAACATTGATTATTGTCTTTAATATTAATAATGGTGGTATAAAGTTATATCAACCTCTACACAAGGGTCCTAGAAGGTACAGAGACTCCCTCCTTCAGGTCAAGAACTAAGTATATCAATCCAGAACTTCCTGCATGCCTAGCATGGACACATTGAGTGTGTTTCAATACTTTTTTGGAAGTACTAGATCTACTGTGCATATGCTTGACAGCTGGATGCAGATATCCCATGGATATTTGGTATTTCTGAACATATAGTAATCTTTGATGAAAGCATTGTACTTGCTGTCTTTGTATAGGAATATTGTACAGTAGATGCACAATTTCAGTGGCATTTTCATCACAAATAGGTGTGTAATGCACACAAAATCCAGGGAAAACATAAACGTTTCTCTAAATCTGTGTGGATAAGAATTCAGAATAGAAAAAAAAGTGCATCAGTTGCCAAATCAGTAAGATGGCATGAAAATCTGCAATCCATTATTCCTTTATAGTGGAGGGAATGGAATGACAAGCACTCGCTCTACCACTGCTAAATATGTTGAGGTATGACAATAGGTCAGGAGCTTTCAGTTAATGTCAGAAGGCTCATGAAAGAAACATCTGAAAAATACATTTATCCATGTGTATGTTCTCTTTTTTTTTTTAGTAAGTTACTTATATCTCATCAGACCAGTGATATGCCAGACCTTGTGGTATTTCCAGAATGAAATACTCTATGCCCTTGATTCTGTTTTACACACACACAAAAAAAAAGGCACTAGAAAAAGCGGTTTGTTTGCATTTCTGCAAAGAACTTGTATTTTCAAGGACAGTTGGAAAAAAAAAATCTGCTTTCTAGTACTGCCAAACTCTCCAAATCTCTAAATTCAAGCATTATTTGCATTCATTTGGTGATAAACAGGCCCTGAAACTTTGACATCGGCAGAAGCAGGAAGTAATCCAACCACAGCAGGCTCGAGTAGTTATAATATTTATGTATTTATAAAACCAAAGATCTGCTCATAACCAGATATAAGGCAGAAAAAGTCTGGTATGTTGCTTTAGTCTCAAAAATACCTGATTCATTAGATATCTTCAGAAGTACAGTGACCACACAGATTCCAGCACAGATCCAGAAACTGCTTGCTTTCATTCAAAGATGGTCAAATAAGAGACACTGCGTTTTCTTGTTATGACAGCGCAGGGTTAGAAAACTCACTGAGCAATTATAATAATCCTGGAGATTAGGTTTGTTAACATTACTCTGAGAGGGTTCAAACCACTGTCTGCACTTCTCAAGCATGGGCCCTTTCTGCTGGAGTAGGAGCTGTTCTTTCTGGAGCTCTTTTGCAAGGAACACTGCAAGGATAAGGACATTTATGACTGAGAGGTCCTCAGCTACTTTGGAAATGCCAATGACAGAAATAGGAGAGACAAGCAGACAGAATGCCACTCTGCTGCCTGGGTGTGTTTTTATATAGTTACTCTGGTTTCTTTTCTTTAAGCAATCAAGCCCTTCACATACATTTTTAATATTAATATAGTATCTTCACTACTTACCTTTTTCTTATGTGAATGGTCTAGTTCTACTAAAATAAAAATATAAAACACAGAGGTTTTACTATAAGCACTAATGAAGAGAACAATTTTTACATGAAAAGTAAAGTACAAGTAATGAAAGAATGAAATTCAGAAGTTGAAAAAATATGGTGGCACTAGTAGAAGAGAAAAAAGGGTAAGAAAACAAGAAACAATGTTAGGCTGACAATACTCTGTCTGGCATGTAACTGTGATACTTAAGCAGTAAGAATAAACTAAAGCTGATACAAGTTATGTCTTTTTCATTTTTTAAGATTTAAAGAAAGTTCCAGGTAACATACCTCCAGATATAGCTAAACTTGATTTATCCAACAACAAAATTAGACAGCTACGAGCCAAGGAGTTTGAAGATGTCAGTGAACTGAAGATATTAAATCTAAACAGTAATGGAATAGCATACATTGATCCTGGTAAGAATAATTTAAATACTCATTAAAAATTATTTCTCTTTTATTAAATACTGTCTCTATCAGATATAAACGGGGGGGTGGAGGGGATGAATTTAAAAATCTCAAAGTTGGTGAAAATTTTACTTTTTGTACCTTTCAATTCATAGAGTAAAGGTTTGCACTGGAATATATTCATCATGAAAATCAATACCCAAAGACACATTTCAGTTGCCCTTTCTTAACACTTAACACTTATCAAGTGCAAAAGGTAATTAAAAAATGCTAAGTAGTTGAATGATTTTTTAAATATCTTTGCCACATCTAAGAAAACATGTCATATAAGGAGGCTACTTTTCAATTATATTGTACCATAAAATAACAGACAAACCTAAAGGATTTAAACTCTTTTTGGTTAAAAATCACTATATCTAATTGCTTTTAAGTTATATTTTATTAGAACTCATGTACCCTTATTGGCAATTTGCTTATAGCCTATATGCATTTGGATTTAATTATGAAAGCAGCCATAAACTGGGTGACAGAAAGAGAGAGAAAATGTATCAAGCATAAAGGGCCTTATCTAGTCCTATGTTGGCAATTAAACAGTGGTAATATAGGAAAAATTGTAGTTACGAGGTTTAACATTACACAATTTATTTATTTTAAATTAAGACTTCTCCTATTAAATGAAACAGTATTGAAAAAAAGTATGAACAGCTCTCTGAAATGTAACTCACAAGCATTATTATGAAGCTCTATGTTCACTCCATTCCAAATCTTAAAAAATTAATTTGAAGGTTCTATACATGCACACAAATACTTACATATATATACAAAAACCTCTGGCCCTTCACAGTGTCTACTAATAAGTTTCCATATTCCTACTTCTGTATCATGACAATTACAGTAGGATTCAATGAGCAAATCAGGCACTCATCCACCTCTGCTGTCTCTATTCTACACTCAGGCAGACTCATGAAGTATTTTATAGCTTTATAAGCAGTGCAACTCCCCTAATATTTCTCACTTCTGAAGGCATGTGCCATATTTTAAAGTTCAATGTTTGAGAAATTCTTTTGTAGACTTTAGCCAAAAGAAAACCCCAACCATTAACTGTAAAATTATAAATATGTTTTTCCTGTTCTAGATATGCATATTTTCCCTGTCACAGATATGATTTTTTTTCCTAAGTTAACTTCATAAGGTACCAATAACTATTTTTCTATTGATTAGCTGCTTTTTCAGGCCTCAATAACTTAGAGGAGCTGGATCTATCAAACAACAGCTTGCAGAATTTTGAATATGGAGTACTGGAAGATCTTTACTTTCTGAAAATACTATGGCTGAGAGAGAATCCTTGGAGATGTGATTACAACATACATTACCTTTTCTACTGGCTGAAACATCACTACAATGTTCACTACAATGGCCTAGAATGCAAAATGCCTGAGGAATACAAAGGATGGTCTGTTGGAAAATATGTTCGAAGTTATTATGAAGAATGCCCAAAAGACAAGCTTCCCGTTTATCCAGAAACTTTTGATCTTGACAAAGATGACGAGGAATGGGAACGACACAAAGAGCAAACAGTTCAAACAGCAAAGAAGCATGGTGTAATTGTCACCGTGATAGGCTAATAAGGGAACCCTTTCTCTTAGTAGATTTAAATATTTGATACTTTGAAAAAGAAAAACATGCTGTTTACATTTGTTTTCTGTTGGTTTGTAGGACTATCTGCCTACAAAGATGTCTCTTTACTGCAGGTAATAACTACAGAATGACATTAGTTCAACAGCATCCTTCATCTAGTAATTGTTTTTGAAAGTTTGTTCTGGACACTCTTGTGAAATATTTTGGCAAATATTTGAAACTATACAGAGAGACATAAATGTACATAATATGGTGGGGAGAAGCTGTCTTATGTATGAACACAGTTTATGTGTACACACAGAAATAGCTGCAGGATTGTGACCAAGACACATTTTTCTTGAATGTATTGACAGTTCTTTGTATGTATCAGTTTCCTGAAATATTCCCAGAAGATATTTCCAAGTTTTTATATCAACTTCCTGGTGTTTTATTGTAGACAAAAAAAAATCAAACTTAAGATTATCCTTAAATACAATTCTAGAAAAAGAGGAATGGCAGTTGTTATACTAATCAGGATTCACAGAAGGTGGGTTCCACTTACTTTACCAGTGTTCCTCCTCAGTCTTGAAGGAATAACTCAGCCTCTGCCTTTTGCATACCTGAGCTGCCTTAAAATGATAAGCAGCCAAGACATGGTCGGTTCCTAAGATCCACCTCCACATTCTTATAATTGCTTTGTTTGGTTTTTGAGGCAGGCAGAGCTGAAATCTTTCTGGAAAGAATTTTAGGTTGTTGTATCAGTTTGACACAGATTACATGCCATCACTTCTAGGTGACGAGGATCACATGAGGGATGCTGTGGTCTGCATCCAGCACATCGGTGCCCACCCAAACTGAAGGTAAGTATGCTTTTGAGAGCTCAGAAGTGTAGGACATTACCTAAGTTCAGTCTTCTCTCAGCTCGTTTGTAAAATGCACGTTACAGCACCTCCTTGTCAAACAGCTATGTATGTGAATATTGATTAAAATCTCTGATCATTCCAATACTGCAGTAACAGGGCAGTACAAATGTCTCAGCTAAATGGATGATATCTATTCTAAAGAAAAAATTCCTTACTACATAATATACTTAGATCACTAAGAAATGCATAAGTGCAGAAGAGAAATTCAGGGCCAAAACTTTAAATTTCTCTTGACTATCATGGAAGAAGTTCTGGGAGACTCCAGAGAGAAAGTTTGCTCCTTTAAAGATCTAGAGACAATTACGGTGTTTGTGGATTCCTCTGGTGCTTTAACCAAGTCCCAAAGGTCGTGCATTTTGTTTTACAAGACAAAGCACTCAGTGCTTTAGTGCTAACATGAAATAAAAGAACAACATAAAGGAAAAAAATCAGATGTTAAGATTGGTAGCAATGTCAAAGAATCTCAAAGCAAACACCTCCCATTATTATTTGAATGTCTCTATGTTCTCCATTATTCAGATATTGAATGGTGCTTTGCTGACAAATTAATTTAGTCATTTCATCCACAATATCTTTCAAAAACTCTATAGCAAAAATACAACAGTATCTGACTCATCCCTGTTCCTGGAAAAAAAAATCTTAAGCATTATCTTAACCATTAAAAGTTGATCCTGATAAGATGGAACAGAAAGGAAAATCCCATTTGCCAGTAACATTCACTAAATAGGGCATATTCTGGAAAATTAAAAGTGCCAAAAGTATAATAAAAAAAGGTCTGCCACAAATAGTTGCAAATATTAAGTGATGTTGTCCTCCTCTCAAGTTCTGGAGAATTATTTCAGTCCAGAACCACTGGGTATGATTGGAAAGGACAGGCAATGAAACCACAGCAGAACATCTGTTATTGGCAGCACAGCCAATGGTGAAAATCTGAGTAGGAAAAAATGCATTTATAGACCATGTTATGTTAATTTGCTAGCTTAAGGCAGGCAAAGTCTGGGAAGAAAAGACAATCCTGGAGAAGAATATAAGACAAAATCTGTGTGAGAGGTCTCTGATCTCTCTGGACAGCAAAAAGTACCCGTTGAAAAAGCAGTGGAATAAGACTGAAGACCACAAGCAGTGGCCTAATTGCTCTTGTTCAAAGGCTCTGGGGATTCCCCAACAAATCATGGATGTACCTCTTAGGACCAAGGCTAAAACCTGTGATACACAGTGATAATTAGGAAGATTGTTCAGCAGAAGGCAGAGTTAAGGGAGGGGAGTGATCATTCAGGGTTTCAAACAGTGGCACCAGAAGGTGCTGTACCTGCTGAAGGTTCAAGGTGGATAATGAGCTGAACATCCTGCCCATGTCTGACAGCACATGATGTTTGCCCACAGTCATTAAGTGAAATATGTAAGTGAGAGAGGGACATATTAACAAGGAACACAGTTCAACAATTATCCTCCAAATAAAGGTTTCCATGTGACCTTGTGAAATCAGTGTCAGCACAGAAGCCCCATGAAAGAAACACTTGTGCAATATAATCAAATTAAATTCAGTTCTTAAGGGCAGGACTGATTAGACATTTGGAATCAAATGAAAAGACTTCTAGTAATGAAAAATGGTCTGAAGTTTTGAATGCTGGAATTGTCTTTGATACAGTTTTCCTTAGATGGCCTTTGGAGCTTTCAAGGAGTACCTGTAAATTCTATTCTTTTAACTACAATGCACTATAATTTTATTCCTTACTGCTTCAAGTTATTGCGCATTTCACTTTTATCAATGATACTAGAGAATTGTTTCAAAATAAACAAGGAAATATTCAAGTGGGGGTTTAGCTTCCTCTAATAATAATAAAAAAAGAAAGGTTATGTGTTCCTGGGAGAAACTTGAAAAACTAGCTTGAAATACATCAGGATTTTGTGTATGTTGGCATTTGCAGACACACAACCCCACTGAGGATGAAGCAGAACAGACAACAATAATTGCAGTAATTGCAACTACAAATAATGTAAGAACATAATAGAAATAGGAGGTTGTGGAAAGGATAATATAGGTTAGATGACCTCCTGGCAGTGACTGGTAGCAAATTCTTTGAGAAAAGACTGTATGAACAGAAAAAGCATACAGGAGTTATGAAGGTAGTGCAGAAGGAGGCAGCACAGGAAAAAAGATAATAATATATGTGAAAAACATACATATATGGGGGAAACGACTAACAATTAATAAAAACTTCAGCACTACAGGGTTAATTGCTATTTCTCTGACCTTCTCAAAAATGTACTGTAAAGTACAACCTCCATCAAACACCATAGCCACAAAATACAACTTAATGTTTACATATCTATGCTTCTGTACTATTTAATCATAAAGGTCCCAGAAGAGCTTCCATGTCTAAGAGAAAATCATGGGCCTTCCTCTTCTTATATAAGCTCTTTAAGTCTCTTTCAGTAACTTCTCTCTTGATTTCTCTTCTTTCTCTGTCCATAGCCAGGAAATAATTGCATGAAGACAATTGCCTTGTCTTCCTGACATGGAGTGCATGTCCTAGGAGTGCTGCCTTAAGGGATGAACTACAGCACTCTACAGGGGCAGTGCCCTTCTCTCTACACAGCCACATGAAACACAGAAAAGATTATTTTGTGCCATGTTTTCCATGACAGAATACAGGAAAAATGGATATGTCTGTCAATACTGGAAATAAAACACTTCAAAAGCTTCTGAGGAAATTTTAGCTCCTGCACTATGCATACTAATGGCAGCATTTAGAGGCAGTTCTCAGTCACACATGGAAGACAAATGATTCTCCAAGATCACTGAGTAGGTGGAGGAATACCACAAACAGCTGAGCCATAACCCATGCATCTCATATACTCATATTCTCTGGCACAGTAACACACTGGTGTGCCAGACAGTCTGAGCTGGAATCATATTAACATTCATATGCAGATATTAGACAAAGACTACTATTTCATGAATGCACCACAGGCCAAAGTTAGAGTACACAAAACCAATTTTTTTAAATTTCAGATAATTAATTTATCAAGCAAACCCCACAAACATGTTTAGTCAGATGAACAGACCTAACCCACAGTTCATATAATTGCTTTTTTAACATTAACAATAAAAGCATGTTGCCAAAATCTGTGTAATCTTGGATTTATTTGGAAAGATGAGGTCAGAACTGTAGCTCGGATAAGTTCGAATGGAAAGGTTCATCACATCTGTAGCCTGTAATTGAACAGACAGTTCAACTCAGTTTGTCAGCTGAAAAAATGTCAAAGGAAAAGAATCGCAATATGATTTTCAGTCTTTAAAATAAGATCGTTTTGTAGCAACATTAAACCATCCACAAGAGCTTCAAAAGAATGGCACAAGTAGGCTATATGATAAATATAGCCAGTGACTTTCAACATAGAAACATATGTAGTTAATCTAAATACCAATAGCAAACTGATTTAAATGTTTCATGCTTAAAAAGAAATACTGTGTATCTTCAAAACTAGAAGAAACAGCTTTATAAATCAATGTTTTCTAAAAGCCCCTGTAGACTCTCATATATGATTCATCATAATTAGTTCAAAATAGCACTCAGTAGATGTAAATAGACCTAATGTTTGATTTCGAGCCTACAGAAAACATTAATTATCAACAAAAATGGAAAATGCAAGGTTTGTAGAGACAATGATTGAATTTAGTGTCTTTGATACGTATGATAAATGAAAATTGGTGGCAATCAACATACTGATACTCCAACTGATACAATCAACACTAGATATGAATCAGTTAACATGACAGAAAAGGCTGTATACAAGATGTAATTCTATCACAACTGTTCTTTACTTAATACAGAAAACATAATGATTTTAGTTTTGTACCCAAATACACGAGGAAAAAACAATCACAGACAGATTTAACATTTTTAAGTACAACACTCATAAAGGAGGTGATGTGGCGATGTATGGTTTATTTTGGCTTGCTACTTTATTAATTCTCAAAATTCATTATGATACTGGATTAAATTCTGTCACTAAACAATTTGTATGCTGGAATCATTGAGAATGTTATTTTATCCTGTGATATAAAAGCCAAAACCATGACCAAAATACTTTTTATTCTTAGCCAGTTGTTCTTTTTCATCACCAGTCTAGAGATTAAATTGGTCTCACCCATAATTACACAATCATTTTCTAACACAAAAGAAATCACTCAAATTGCTATAGGCTGCATCAACAATTTCAATCATGTATTATCTAATTAAATAATACACGCATTATAGCCTCAAAACATAAAAAAACACTTTTTAAATGTGAAGATTTAAAAAATTTCCTTTATTTTTATGCATTTGAATTCAATTAAAGTGTAGGCTAGAAAAGAGTCAATCAGTAACATTCTCTTGCTTCAGAAATACTGTGCCAGGAATCAAAAATGTTCTTTGGGATCTTGCCTAGTTGTATCAGAGGAGATTTTTCTCATGAAAACTCTTCCAAGATGTTTTCAGACTCTTCAAGATAAAATAGATGAACAACAGTTGGGATGCAGGTGATTCCTAACAAATCAAGTACACTTTCCCACTAGGACTAAACCTCTCACACTGATCATAAAGGCTTTCAGTTTTTCTGCCCGATTCTCTGCTTGGTGGAGCATACAACCATGTTGAGAAAAATATTACTGACCTGGAACTATTGAAAATATCACAAAGGGAATTAACCTCCAAACCCTCAGTCACATGTACTTACATGCATAGAATCAGGAAGAACTAAGATGCTTTTTTTATATCTAGAAGGACTTCGATTTGGCAATAGAAGCTGATTATTTATAGTATAGTAACAGATTATTTGTGAACACCACATTAATATCTAGGACCATGGTTAGTTTTGGGGGGGGTGGGGTTAGCTTGCTTGTTGTTGTTATTTTTTGGTTTGGGGTTTTTTTTTTTGTCAGAGAGCCTCTTGTTGGAGGCCAGTAACTAACAGTATAGCCCAGGGGTCAGTACTGGGGCAAGTCCTTTTTAATGTCTTCATTAATGACCTGGACAATGAGACAGAGTGTACTCTCAGCAAGTGTGCAGATGAACTGGGAGCAGTGTCTGATAGACCAGAGGGTCTTGCTGCCATCCAGAGGGACCTTAGAAAGCTGGAGAAAGGGGCTGACAGGAACTCCATGTAGCTCAAGCAATGCAAAATCTGACATCTGGGGAGACATCTGGCATCTCAAGGCACCAGAATACGTTGAGGGCAGCCCAGCTTGGAAATAGGCTGTCAGAAAAGGACATGGAGATCCTGCTAAACACCAGGTTGAACCTGAGCCTGTGATGTGCCCTTGGCACAAAGATGGGTGGTATCCTGGGCTGCATCAGGAGTGTCTCCAAGAGATCCAGAGAAGTGATTTTTCCCTTCAGCACTAGTGAGGCCACACCTGGAGTACTGTGTCCAGTTCTGAGCTTCCCAGTACATGAGAGACATGGACACGTTGGAGAGAGTCCAAAAATGGGCAAAAAGATGGCTAAGGAATTGGAGCATATTCCCTCTTAGTAAGGCTGAGACCTGTGACTGTTCATTTGGAGAAGGCTCGGGGGCTCCTAGAAAGGTAGTATTTACTGATGCTTTAAAGTTAGGCCAGTAAAAAGAACAGCAACCTCAATGGTTCAAACATAACACACATGGACATCACTGCTGCATAATATTTTCTACATGTTAACATGCTAAAATGTCACATATCCATAACCATTTACAGTACTGAATTACACCATCACCTGCTGAAATATCTGATATGCAACACTTCAAATCTGCAATTCTAAGTATGAAGAAGAAACAAGAAAGAAACACAGTTAATAACAGCCCTCATCACTTCTCCTAAAGCAACTTTCATATACGAAAAATTTTCTGCTTCTAATGTAATTACTTTTATAACTGCCCAATAATATACTAATGGCAACAGTTTAAACTTGATATGGCAATTGCTGATAGCAAAAATACAAAAACACTTTCTAGTTTTATCCCATATCCTGTCACTGAAGAGAATTTTTTCTTACACATTTCCAAAGAACTTTGAATTTAAGGTATGTAAGTTAATAGTAAGATGCCAGCATGAAAACACAGCGAAGATGCCACTGTGGTTTATAGAAGCGTATTTCCATATTAGCTACACAACTTTCCATAGACTATAATTTCATCAGCTAGAAATGGAAAAATCTGTAGGAAAATTACTAATAATGTGTCTTTTCCCATTAGCATTTAATTGCTTAGGTAATACTTTCAGGTAATATGCCTTCTCCTCAAAGTATGCTGCTGTTCAACAAGGTGTCTCTGTTCACTTCATGTAAACTTCTTCCAGGTTTTCTTGCTTTATGTTCTCACCAGAGAATTTTTGGAACTTGCAAAAGCCATGGTCATTTAAAGATATTTAGCTGGTTCAGATTGTATTTGGGGTTTACAATGATTTTTTAAGGTATAGAAATGTGTAGGCCTTTTTCGATAGCAAATTCTTCTTGTGCATCTCTTCAAAGACCTCCATCCATGATAAATATAGCTGGATCCATCATGGCCTTCTCTAACCAAAAATCTGTTTAATTTGGACATATGGATCATTTCCTTAACTTCAAAACTCTACCTAATTTAAAAGTCAGTATCAAGACCACAGCAGCCACATTTAAAACACAGCAATCATTTTCTGTCAATAATTCAACATCAGGGTACTGTGGTACCACTGACCTTTTTTAGGAAGCTGTAATTTACAAAGCAAATGGTTTCAAGCTGGCCCTGAGGGCAGATCTTGTCCAGCCATAAGTAAAAAACTCATATAATTTTTTTGGCACAGGAGCAGAACAGAAATCTGCAATAAATGGTAGTGTGCTAAAAATTATATTTACTAAATACCTTGTAATTTTGAAATGATCCATCACCAGACATCATCTACAGTGCCAGAGACAATAAAGGCCACTAATCACAAGTTCCAGGACTTTGAAAAGTCCAGGCATGCCTTATTTTCCACTGTCTGTGAATGCTCAGAGCAAACACATATTTGGCCTGGAGGAGACAACACCCAGTAAGGACCTCCTGTTGAAGGAAACTGTATCTACATTCTAGATCCACCAAAAAGAGAACATGAGATTCACAGAGGAAGAAACAAAAAGAGAAAGCTCTGCCTTTCTGCAGCAAATGGTCAGGCACTCAGCTACAGCAAACTTCTGGTCTCTCTTCTAAACAGAAGAGCTCTTTCTGTATTTCCCATACTGAATAAAACAGTGACAGCTCAAGAAAAAGAAACCAGGTGACAACCACACAAATTTCCAATCTGAATCAAGGGAGCTGCAATCTTTTAAATACAAAATGGAAGCATTTCAGTAGGCTTCCTGCTTTTCTGTAATCATTTTTGTTCCCTCTGCACTTTACACATAAATAAAGGCATTATTTTGTAGCTTGTCCCAAAGTTTCACAGCCCTAGCTCCCAGCACACATCCCAGGGCATGTTGAATTATACCAGAAATGTGTTTTTAAGTGACTTAGTTGACCCAAAATGTCTACAAAAGTGTACACAATATAAATATACACAATAAAAAAATGACTCAGTTATATGCACTCTAACCTAATTATGGAAGTCAAACCAGTCAGTGCAACTGCTATTAAGAATGGACAGAATTTGAGACTATTATTCTCTGAGAATGCTGTGATACGTTCCAGAAACAGGACATCTTTAGCCAGCCCAATCTGGTCAGACTAAAATTGGAAGTGTTTTAAGATACTAATTTGTCTTCTGACTTTCTTAGTTTGATTTTCCCTCCATCCTCACCTCTCATCATGCATTTCATCTAATCTAAAGCTAAGACTCCAAGTCTGTGATCCTTCCTGTTTTAATCCTATCACTGCACTCTTCAGCTCCCAGAAAAGCATCCCAACTGTATCCACCCCATAATTCTGACATAAACTCCATTTCCCTAACACCTCCCAACCAGCATCACTGCTCAGTCTTGAGAGAAGAGTACCAGCACCATCTGTCGTAGCAAAGAACACAGGGACCTGCCTCTCCAGGCACTCATGGCATCAAGTTGTCACAGCCCAACCAGTGGATGGCATCCTGCAAAAAGACAGCTAGATAAATTGTTGAACCCAAGAACATTCAATTCATGCAGCATAATTTTCGATTATCTATTACGTATTTTTTGTCTTATGCAGACCAGCTACCTAGACTTACATGTCTTTTTCCTTGTCAGTCTGCACCCACATGTTCCACTTCTGTATAACAATTTTTAATATTTGGACATTATAATGGACTTATCCTAGAGCCATCTTCCACTGGCTTTTTTCTCATTCCTTTTCAGCAAATTATATTTTATCTATCCTCTGTAATGTAAAACAAAATGAGTAATTTAATACAGTTTCTGACCTGAAGTAAAATCCACAAAACTCTGCAATTTGCGGTAAAATTCAAAGCAGTCAAGCTCAACAATATTAACTTCTGAATAGAACTGATGCTTATTATTTATAGTTTCAATAAAATACACATTGATGATATTTTTCAGTAGCAATTCATCCACTCATTTAAATAAAATTTCTACTTGTTTTTAATTTTCTGAAGTATCAAGCAATGAAAATTTGCTTGCTTCCACCACCATAAAGTCCTGCTACTGTCATCTGTACTTCACTAAAGTACAGATCTGTATTTATTGGAGGACATTTGAGTGTTTATAAAAAATAATTCAAAAGTGCTAGATACATGCATTTACTTAAGTGCTATTCATGTTTCCTTGGCAATACAAAAAACCCCAATATAACAGAATGCAAATTCAATTTATATCTTACCAATTTTAACCTTTGGTAGAAGTCCCATTTTCCTTCCAGGCTAAGCAATAAGAAATAATTAGATTCAGAACAAAAATGTATTTCAAATGACTCATATATCTCTGATATATTAAAATACACTATTTCTCTGTATCAGACTCGATGAATGAATTTCCATGGCTACATTCATTTTCCAAAATCTCCCTCACTTCATATTAAAAAAAACCAAAACATATACTTGGGAGAAATTATAAATGGAACATGTTCTGTTCCAGTCCAATGTCTGTGGTAATTAACAGAAGTCTTAGCTGAGACTATCTTAGAAAAGCTACACTGAAAGAAAAATGAATAATTTTCCATGCCCTTATTATAAAGGATTTTGAGATTTTAGAAAAGAAGGTGATCGGTTTGGTGGGGTTTTTTTTTTTTTTTTTTTTTTTTTTTTTTTTTTTTTTTTTTTTTTTTTTTTTTGTTTTTTTTTTGTTTTTTTTTTTTTGCAAGAAGGGCTACTGTATTAGGAAAATATTTGTAGTAGAAAGGATTATGAAGTACTGGAATATACTGCCTGCTGAGATTGGTGTGCCTCCAACACCTGTGATATTTAAAATGACTAAAAACACCCTGGACAAATCTGCACCAAGGTTAAGCACAGCACAGCTTGAAAACATTCACCTACCTGCCAATTCTGTCGTTCTGTGGTTCTTAGTAAGGATTTACACCAGTGTTCCTAGCACAGTTGTACCTCCTATATAATGAGCACTGTATGCTTTTCAAAACAAAATAGCCACACCTGGATGTGTTTATTTATTGAGATTATCATATTTTAAAACTTTTCTAGGTGTAATCCCCATTTTTCACAGGAAAACTCAGATAATGTAAAGTATGATCTTCCTAATCCCTAACATAGAAAACCAAAGAAAGAGCATAAGAGAACACAGATTGTTTATTTTCAGACCTAAATGGAAATTGCCCTTTTATTTCTGGGTATACCACCACCTTTCTCCACAAATAAACCTGATTAAAGTACAGAAATGTCAAGTTTGGAACAGGAGTAAAGTTAGAACTGACAAGTTTTAACATAGAATAACATCAGAGAAAATGAATACCAAATCTAAGTTTGTAATCCTCTTTATGTTGTTGTGTTAAAATGAAAACTTGTTCCTCACACAAAGGAACAACATAAATACTGCTTTGGTAAAAGATTTTTCCTATGATGTTCCTGAAGTATGGGTTAAATACACATAATTACGCAAAATAAAGCTTCATTAAGTTTCTGCCATAAAAGTCCCACTCTTTTGCACACAGTTCTTTAGTAATCTAAAAAATAATTTATGACAGTACACAAAAGCAGTGCTGTTTTAGAAATGTTTTGAGTCACACAAAAAAATTGTCTTTTCCGTGTTGATTGTTGCAAATTAAAGGATCTAATTTGAAGTGATTGATATTCAAGTATAATTTTCTGTGTATAGTTAGAAGTACTTCACTACCAAATTTTTTGTAAAAAAAGTACACTACTTTTTTTACACAGAGAAGAAAAAGTTAAATTAGCATAAAAACCAAAACTAGTTTGTGTGCTTGAAGAAAAGCTCAGTAACTGATAACAGGCTTTTATCCCTCATATCCACTTTTTTATTGATCAGCTGTATTCAGCTATCTGACATACTAAATATTTTAGTTATTCTTTGCAAAAATTGTGTCATGACCCATTGTTATGTCAGCCATTTACCACATGATTCTAATTATTTTCATAAACCTGTCTGAATTTCTATGAAACCAAAACTGTGTTAAGACTATGGGCTAAAAATATTACTGTAAAACAAAATATGATCCTTTGAAAGTTCAAAAAGCAATGGGCCTCATAAAATACTGGGGTTTATCTCATGTATTGCTCTTACTCCTATGAATATCTATGAGAGGATTTGACTGCAACAAGTTTGTGTTTGTATATATGTACAGTATAAATCAAGCATTCCACTTTTGGACTGATCTGAATACTAATTGAATAGTTAGCAAAAGAGGAAACAGCTGAAATGTAATTGCTGTGAACTCAGGACAGATGTACTAACAGAAGACAAAATTGAGTACAGTTATACAGAGATAATCAAGAGAATAATCCTGTCACACTGCATGCCAATTTACTGACTCAATTGTTGAGTGAGTGGACACAAAGATTTAGGATTTATTATTCACATCCTGTGGGATGTGAATACTTCATTGAAAGTTTCATTGAAAACTTCAACCAGAAAATTGCAGAGAACAGAAATACCACATTGTTTTCTAAGATTCCAGTATAAACAAAATTAAATCCTTATTTTTTTATCTCATACTGTGCTGTCTTCATTTGAAAGACTGAAAGAATACACAGAGAACCAAAAAAATGTGAAATACCTCACTTAATGATGGAGTGCTTGAAGGCCACATCCCTGGTTCATATAGGTAAATGTACCGTGGACAGCAATGCAGTTAAAACACTTAACATCACCTCAGTTTTGACTATCACAAAAGTAAAGGTTTCACGTATCAACTAAACAAAGAGGAGCATTAAGTGGAGGCTACGTTCATTAAATATTCTGTAGACAAAAAACCCACAAACAAAAACCCCAACACCCCCAAATCTATAGATATAAAAATAAAACATACTCTATGTTTTAGAGATATCGTCTTACTGTTTTTGCAATATCATATGCCATCAATATTTTCAAAAAGCAATATTATCATTTAAATTGCAGACTACATAGTAAATGCTGTACCGTTAGCATGTTTTAAAAGTCCAAGTGCAATACTATGAACTACATAGCACACATACACAGACAATAATTCAGTATGTATCATAGGAAAATATCTAATCTCTTTGCCATTACTTCTCTGAGCTTTTCATCTAAAAATGTAGGTGAGTCTTTTGGATGAGCAATAAATGCACCACAAAGCAGCACCTGCAAAATGAAACTGCAAATTAAGTCCTTGTATTTACAGCAAAGCAGCATCTAGTTATGAAGATGTTAAAATAAACAACAGTTTACCAGAATCTTTTAAAGTAAGGCAAAATAGAGGCATTTCTTTTTATCAGTTCCCTTTCATTCAATTTTTAAAGGTAATATTGCATGTATCAGCATAATTCCATTGCAAGACTTCTAAGTACTGAGTTTACTCAGTACTTAGTATTTTACTGAGGATAGTAAAATAAGTGACATTTCTTTAGCAATTGGTACTAAGAATTTAATTGCTTTTAATTTGCATTAAAGAAAGAATATATATAAGATTGGATAATTTTATTTACTAAATAAGAAACGGAATCTAAAACAAGTTTAATACTGTGAGGTAGAGTATGTTGAATGGGAAGCTGGACAAAAACAGATCCTGTAACCAATAATGAAAACATAATGCAGCTAAAAATTATTTGCTTTTCAGGATTGTTTTATACAATTTTACATTATCTTTTAGTAACAATGCACAATAACCAATGAAGCACTTTTTCTCATTTGTCCTTTAGCTATCTTCAGCTAAAGGACACAGATCATTTACTTTTGGACTTTGAGCTCAGATACAGCAAGAACATTCAAAGTATATTAAAGTATATAGGCAAACTGCAGTTATTTAAGTGAATATTTATTGGAAATGATAAACAAGAAGTTCTTTGCCTGGTAAAAATGTCAAAACATGGCATGCAATACTACCTTCCTTTCAAGACATGGCCTCTTGCTGTTATTAAACTAATGTGGAGCTTGTGCTTGAATCATTTTCAGGAAGCATGGTGGGAGGACAAAGAAAAAGAGGAAGGTTCTAAATCAAACCTATACTGTAGACAAAAGCCATGCATGGCACAGAGGCAAAAAAGGCACCAAAAAAGGCCAAGCTGCCCCTCGCCCTGCAGAGGCAGAGAGCAAGGCAGGCAGGTAGAGGGAATGGCTCGACAGGCTTGCCATGCTCTAATCAGTACACTGTGTAGAAACAGAATCAGACATTAATGGAAATTGGAAGAGATCCCTGAAGGTAATTGAACAGAAGTTTTTGGGATGCCTCATTATTGTAAGTGTTCTAAGTCAGGCTGGACAGTATTTTGAGCAAGCAGATCGAGTGAAAGGTGTCCCTGCTCACAGCAGGGTGGTTGCACTAAATGTTCTTTGAAGGTTCCTTCCAACCCAAACTATTCTGTATTTCCATGAATCTAAGTCAAGACCAATATGAAAAGGTGAAGACAAAATTAAAGGCCAATGTCTTCAGTTTAGATACCTGTCTTCAGTTTAGATACAACACCAATCAGCACAACAATTCCAACCTTAGCATCTTTTCAATCGTCTTAACAGAAATGTAATTTGCAAGGTGTAGCTGACCGTTGACTATGGTAAAAAGATATAAATGCATCACTTATAATTGTAATTCATGCCATGCAATATTTTAAATAATAAATGGTTTTCATCACAAGTTTTCCTATGGGAAGATTCCCAAAGTCATTCCCAACATTGGTAAGCTACTCCCTCTGCTGGATAAGCCAGTATGTGACTGCCATATTTTATTTCAAGTACTGTTTGCCTTTTCATCTCCCTTTTTCAAAGAAACAGACAACTTCTTCTCCTGTGGTATTCTGAAAATTCTCCAACACAAGAAATCCAATCTATCCAATGATATATAGGAATGCAGTGCCTTTGTTTAACATTTGAGAATATTAATTCAAAAAAGGAAGGAGTTGTAACACCTCAGCTTGTGATCCTTATTCAAGTACTCTTCAGTAATGCTTTGGAAACAATTGTGTCAATTATGTCAAGCAATTAGGTCTGTAAAAGTCTGGTTGTTTCTCTTACACTTCTACAAGTTTCTCAGCAATCTGAAAGAGTCTGTCACCAATGTTTTCACCCATTCTTCTTAATACCATTTTAGCCATTTACCTTCATGGAAAAATTAATTTGGGTCCCAGGGCAGAAAAATCTTAGGCCAGCTCTTCATCCATATTTAATTCTAACATTGTAAGAATACAGCTACTGACTACAGTGAAGTTGTCACACACAAGAGTTTTTGCAGGATTACAGTTTGCCTGACTTTTAATGAATACTGTTTAAAAGTAAATCTGGATAAGAACAGAGAGAAATCAGACAGGAAGGAAATTTTCAGATGCAGCAGAGAATCCTAAATTATTTGGACAATATTTGGACTTCAACTTGTTTGGACCATGTCCAAACCACAACCTCATCATAAAAACACTCAGACAAATGGCCATTTTAGAACTCTACATCCTTAACTTTGCGACTATGTGTATAAATGTTCAAAGGTCTCATCTTAGCTTTGATGTTCCTTAATAAAAAGACCAGTATAATCTAATTTATTTTCACACCAAGTATCCCATAACTTCATAAAGAAATTAAAATATAACCAAATTAAATAAGAAACATGGCTAGATATCAGCAAGCAACATCCTCTAAGAAACAAGAAAAACAAGGACAAAAATATCTTACACAGGGTAAGTTTTTACTGGTTCTTTTAAAAATGTCTTCCTTTAATCTTTAATTCTTTCATTTTAATTCATTAACTTAATATCACTGCTGCTATAATGCTGTTACAGCTATAATGCTGTAACTTTTGCTTGGGAAGGTAGATACGGGCTGGTTTTTAAGTGCTGAATCAGGAAATACACCTCATGCTGATACATCTTGTATTTTGTTTTTCTTTGCTTAGGAAGCAAAGAATGATCTAGAGACAGTCTCCCAGGAGAAGTACTTAGTCTACACGGCAGCACTGCTCTGTAATTATTGCAATTGGCTCAAGATTTCTTTATTAGTATTTCCATGGAAATCCTGGCTGTAATAGCTGATTGCAAATGGGGTCTATTTTGGCAGCTTGAATATATCAGGATATCTCTTAAACTTGCATTTGTGCATTGTGCCTTTTTTTGTTTAAAGGAAACTGAAAAACGGCTGCTGCAGATTTGGTTACAAGCAGAGGTGAACGTGACAAACAGGAAGGAAAATATAGAAACACAAAGAATCACCTTAAAAATTCTAAGGGCAAACCTACCAACCCTGTTTTCCCCCAGTCCATCATGCTGTGCCAGTTTTACTCTGACATTTTGTGGAAGTCTATTTACTCCTGTGCCAACAAGAATACCTAATCCACCCGTACCTGAAGCATGATCCAGCGTCATTGAAGCACGGAAAAACTTTCTGTAGCCCACAAAGTAAGTTATAAGAGTAGGTATGTATTTATTCGGCGCTGAGGTGCATGGGGGATAGTTCCTCCAAAAACATGCACACCTTTGGCGACCTGCGCCTCTCCTTTTATTCTCTACAAACTAGGACATCATAATTTGCTACATACAGATTCATCACCTATTCTCGCTTCATATTGAAATTAGTTTCACGCCTCTTTGCAACTGTGCATTGTTCCTTTTAGGTTGCTCTGGTGGTCGTCTGAGGGTCTTTGGGATGAAGTAAATAGTCTTCCTCTCAGTTTGAACTTTTCACTTTGCTTCCTTACGCATGCTTTCTTTTTAGTTTTTCGGTTATTTTCCGGACTTTGATACCAGTTTTCCTGGTCTCAGGGGTCTGAGAACCCCTTATCCTGTGGTGGTTTTGTCTTTGCATCTTGTTTGCACATTCTAGCCCTTGACCCCGCCTTGTAGCCTTGCTCTCCTCCTGTTCTTGTAAGCACCGTGAATTATAGCAAACAATACAGTTTTGTTAGTCCCCTTTTAGTCAAAGCATTTCTTGATGCTTGATTTTTAATTCTCAATTTCTCTATTTCATCATCTTTACGACTGACAGGCCATTAGAAAACATGGATTGCACCCACTGCACTCATGAGGAAGGCATTACCTGGCTGGAATCTAGAGGTTCTTCTGTAATTAACACTGACGAAGTTAAACATATCAGGGGAAGTGCCAGTGAAGTTCACCGGGTTCGTCTTCATTTCAATCCTCATTTTAACACAGATTATAAAGCAGAATTGCTTTGTTCCATCTCATTTCTATTCTTAAAGTTTTCATAAATCGTTTGAAGCATTCTAGTGACAAAACGAGCAGAACAAAATCATGCCCCAGGCGAGCAGAGAGCAGCGGGAGGGGTAGGAAATGCCTCGGCGAGCGCTCAGGGGACAACGAGGCGGGGCCAGAGCTCTGCTGAGGGGGACCCTTCGTGGGGGAGGGTGGCGGATGGCTCCCTGCCATAGGTGTTACCGGGGAGTTTGTGATCCCACCGGCTCCAGTGGCACCAGGCTGCCTGGGCACCCAGCGGATGGCGGAGGGCCAGGGCCGGCGGAGATGGGGGTGCCCCACTTTGGGGATGATGTGCCCCCGCCAGGGGCTGCCATGGCGTAGGACCGCCCTTCCCGCCAGAAGCTCCCCGAGCGGGAAGCCTGTTTGGGAACGCGCTGAGGGATCAGGCTGGCCCGGCAGCGCGGGTGATTCCTTCCTGTAAAACAGAAACTGCATCACATCGTTGTCACGCAGCGGCGGGGCCTCTCCCGCGCCCCGCACACGGAACTTTGGGCTCGGCATCCCTGCGGCACCTCGGGCGCTGCCCCCGCGTCCAGTGCCTGAGGGAAGGGCACAGCCGCGGCCGAGCCGCGCCGGATGGGGCGGTGGCTTCCGCGGGCGACGCAGCCGAGGCCGGGGCGATGTGGGAGCCGCGGGGCGCGGCGGTGAGGGCGGCGGCGGCGGCCCTGCTGCTCGGGGCCGGCGCCTGCTACTGCCTGTGGCGGCTGGCGGCGGGCGGGCGGCGGGGCCGGCGAGCAGCGGCCGTGCGGGGCCCGCCGGCAGGTGAGGGGCAGGGCAGGAAAGGGCAGGGCAGGAAAGGGCAGGGCAGGGCTCGCCTCTCCGGTGTGCAGTGGGGCCGGGGGAGGCTCCGCGGGGCCCGGGCGGTTCCCAGCCCGCGGCCCTGCCGCGCGGCTCGGGGCCCAGAGGCGGCTCTGCGCCCTGCGACAGGCGGTGCCACAATCCTGCGTGCTGGCCTCCAGAGCCATGAGACGATTTGGGAGGATTTGGAGCACTCTGGAGCGTGTTTTTTTTTCTTAGAAAAGCCTAATTTATTTTTATATATATATATTTTTTTTTAGTAGTCGTCCAAAGCATATGTCCGATCAGTGTGTTTACTTATGTTATTGCAGTTGTGTTCCCCCTATAATTCAAAGCTAAGCGAGTTTAGCTAAATGAGTTTAGACGAGGATGAAAAACGATGATGTTTTTAAAGTGAGCTCTTGGATCATCATAATTAACATTGACCTTTTTTTTTTTTTTTTTTTAAAAATTACCCCGAAAGCATACTGTGCTGTTTGCCGGGTCAGATGTTGGAAGTAAAGCTATGGAATTTAAAGCACTGGTAGCTTCTCAGAAGCCATGTCGAGTAAGCTATGACTAGTCCAGCAGTCATAGATCAGGTCTTACGGCTCTTCAGTTGGCTAAATAATTCTGCCTCCAACCTGGCTGAAAATAGCCTTTGATGGCATTTGTTGCCCTTTTATAAAGGCCAGGTACTCTGTAACATCATCCTGACTCAGAAGCAGCCTTCTGTTGTTTTGAGTGATGCCATCCAGCAGTGTTCCTAACATTGTGGCTGTTATTTTGTCAAAGCATACTAGCAAAGTGTCATTATTATAATTTCTGGAAGTAGTAGTCTCTAAACTGGAAGTTTTGTTTCTTACAGTGCCCAGACAGATTTACAGATTTCCACATTTCATTTCAGGGACAGAAAAAAAAAACAAACCTCAAACCATGTTGAATATTCCTAATAATTTTGCAGAGAAAGTTTGCTATTGGTCAACCAGGAAGTACACCTCAACTTCTAATTGTGTGTTCCTTTTATTCTCCACCTTCAAAAGAGGTAATTAGAGGACTCAGGAAAAGGATGAAAGTTTTAGTGTCATAAAACACAGTCTTTTTACCATGACATGATGGTTGGGCACAACCTTAGAACAATGTGTCCTACAACTGAGAGCTAAATTTCGGCTTTGTAAAAATCATTAAGTAGCAACTAAGTGAAATGTCTCAAACTTAGTATCAAGTATTTAATTTGTAAACATTAACAGATAGCAGTCCTCCAATGTCAACCCCTACCATGGATGTGGACTCTCTACAGAAACTAATTCATTTGCTCCAGGCCACAGATGATCCATTAATTCAAGAGCAAGCTTTAATCACTCTGAGCAACAGTGCTGCCTTCTCTGTAAATCAAGTGAGTATTGTTCTGTAGCAAACAAAAATGTCCAATGCCAGCCAGTCTGGCAGAGGACAGCTGCTGTTTTGCTAAAGAGTGACACAGGACTGAAAGTCAGGATAGCTTGTGCTCTAAAATCTACTTAATGTCTTGCCTTTATTTCTGCTGGCCCATATAATATAATCACCACCTTCACAGAATTTATCAAATCATAATGTTTGGACCACTTGAAGTCTGTACAGTCCTGTACTTCAAAAGTGCTGTAAATATATCTTTTGTGGCTTACAATTATGTAATGTTAATAAAAGGGTTGAATACTAGGTTAAATACTTTCTGGTTCAGATCTAAAATTTAGTGAAATAAACTATATTTTTTATCCCTCGCAAAGTTGTGTGCTGTTTGCACATTAGCAATTTTACAGCTATTGAGGTATCTCCAAATCATTTGGACATAGAATGCAGAAAACCTTTGAGCTGGATGCTGACTTTTATGCCTTTTTAACCTCCAAGGTCCCACCCTTTTTGCTACTTACAACAGCTGTCTATTCGGGCTTCTCAAAACTGCCTTCTTAATATAAACCTCATAGAACAGAATGCAACTGGAGCCCAAAGCCCATTGGTCCATTTAAATTTTTGTTTTAAAGCAGTATTTTTTTAAAAGACAGTTACAGTCTAAGCCAGAAAGATTAAAAGAGTAATAAAAACAAGTGTAATGGGAAAAGTTTCAGAACCTCTACTATAATAATATGAAGCTGCATCTTGAAATTCTGTCCTGCTCAAGCAGGACTTTCAGGTACTGTGATCTGGCTCAGTTGTTCTATAAACTCATTATCCAGTAATTTAATTTTATTATTTATAATCTAAAATGCTTTAAGCATGCTTTGCAGACCAGATTTTAAAAGCAAAGGTGATGTGCCATTGTCAAATAACAGCAACTAATACTTTTTGTTCCTAAGCAGGACCCTTCTTAGTTTCAGTAGAAGCAATAAAGCAGTATCTGCTAACACTCTCTTTAAACAGAGCAATCAATTCTGGAATTCTTTATTTATATACTTCATTTTTGTCAATATAGAGACTTTGAGGGAATGCTTCAGCATTTAAATTGAATTTTTAAAAAACCTATTAAATATCTTCTGTATTTCAGGATATAATCCGAAATTTGGATGGTCTTTCTGTTATTGGAGGGATGCTCTCCAACTCTGTTCCCAAAGTTAAAGAAAAAGCACTAAATGCACTTAATAATCTGAGTATGAATATTAAAAATCAGGAAGAGATACAGGTAAGATTCTTAATGGGAAAAACCAAAGTAACTGAGGCAAAAAGATATTACAGGGCCTTCAGCATATTTGTTAAATACAAGCCAGGATGCCAAAATGCTTTGATGGTAGACATACAAGTCAGCAGATCTGGATGACTGAAAGGATGACTTAGAAATGCATTGCTTCGCTGGTGTTTCCTTTTAAAATAAAAGACAGGAACCTATGCAGTTTGTGTTCAGCTTTCACAAAGTATTATTAAACAGAGATTGTGCTGCTAAGATCATAGCAAAATTATGTGAGGTAAGATGAGTTCCAAACGTGCCTGGAACATCACCAGTGGCTGTTTAACAGAATGGATTGCAGATTGAACTTGCCAGGACTCCTTAGGTGAGGGAGAAGAAAAGAGTAATTGAGCCCCTGGGTTTGTATGAGACCAATTTTTCAGGTGATACTTCAATCTTAAAAGAAAAGTGTGTATAAATAACAAGTTCCACTGGTAAACACAGTACACGCTATGGATATGAAAGGACTAAATATCAAGAAAAAAGAAATCTATCTGATTAATCAATAGATCAAGAAGTGTCCAAGCGGTGAGCTGAGGCAGATTTGAGGACTTGTACTAGTTTGTTTCAGTAGCCTGATAAAAAGGTAGTGACTGTATGTGGTAGTTTGCAGCATCATTAGCAATAGGCAATTTTTATTAAGTAGTGCTTGCCAATATTTGTCTAGGTGTATAATTAGAAAATAACTCCTTTGGTAAGGGTAATTTTTTTTTCTCAGTTAGGACTCCAAGATTCATTGTATACTGTCATCCAGAAGAAAAACCGGTAAAAATAATAGTTAATGTCAGTTGTCATCGCTGTTCCTACAGTGTGCTCCAGTAAATGGGCCACATGGTTGGAAGAAAGGATTTCATTTCAAAGCTTGTCCTTAGCTTGTTCTCAATATTACTTGTGAGTTTTAAAACAACTCCTTAAAGTAGCTGTGTCACTTCTGAGATGGGAGTCAAAGCAATTTAAGTTTCCAGAGCAAGTTATGTTTCAGGAAGATTTGCGAGCATAATGCTATATGGCCTGCTTCTGTCATGCCACTAGAATGTTTGAATATTCAAAACAAAAAAGCACTTGTTTCCAAGAACCTTCACCATTCAGCCAGCAATTTTCAGGAAGCATTTATGTTACTGTAGCTAGGCCATTGATACTATTTGTGACAGAAAAGATGCTTTTATCAAAAATTGTTCTCTTTATTTCCTTCCCTCTTTCCCCAGGTATTTATTACACAAGTTTGTAAGACTGTTGAGTCAGCTCCCCTGAACTCTGATGTGCAGTTAGCTGGACTCAGGCTGTTGACAAATATGTCTGTTACCAGTGACTACCACCAAAAGATGATAAACTCAATTCCATGCTTTCTTCGTTTGCTTTCAGAAGGAAGTGAAAGGACACAGGTACTGGGTAATGTTATTTTTACAAGCCATTTATGAAGCTGCTTTACTTGCCTTGTTTCTTACTGTTTTTGTAAAATGGTTTAGATTGTGCTAAGAAAACCCAAATATTCATTAATGACACAGGTGTTATGCACTAAAATATGGATCTGTGTTACTTTCACAATATGAATTCAAAAAGGGGGAAGGGAAGGGAATCTTGATAGTGTAACCATCAGGCTACAGCTCTACCAAAGCAGTGCGAGGTGCACTGTGATTGCCTTTGCCATAGCAACTCCAGAATTCTCTTCTGCTCTAAACGTTGCTACTGCATCCATGAGCAAGGAGAACCTGCATGGGAAAGGCTTCACTGATGCATAAATCTCTGTAGGGAAACATGCCAAGCAGTGATCCTAAGTTATGGACTTCTGTCCCCTTATGCTTATGACACCTCTCGCAACCTTAGTGACTGCAAGTGGATATCGTGCTTATCTGTGAATTATTGCAATACTGAAATGAACTTCAGTTAGGGACCACACTCAGCTTTTATTCAAAATGTGGTACCATCAGTGTACACAGTTGCTCTATCAGATCAAAACCAGTTTTCCAAAACACGCATTTCCATTAAACATAACACATCTATTGTACTTAAGTACAGGAAGTAATATGGCCTTTCCTAGTGTTTAAAGACTAGCATCACAAGGTTCAAGAAAGCACACAAAGGTGTATTTGTATATGCTTTGGATAATTTTAAATGTAGTACTTAGCCATCTTCTTTTGTATTTTAAAAATATTCTGCATCTGACCTACTGGGATTTGTTTATGGGTTTTGCCTTTTGCCTGAATTTGCTTCTAACATGTCTATATTTTGGTCTTCCCTATACCAAAATACTCAAGATGTTAGTTAACCCATTCTACCTTTTCCTCCCCAAGTCAGCTTTGACACTCTTGATGCCCATTACAGCTGTACTTACTGTTTTGGAGCTTTTAATGAACTTGTACATTCCTCACTTCAGATTCAGGTTTTGAAAGTACTTGTGAACTTATCTGCAAACCCAGCCATGACAAGACATCTTCTCAGAGCTCAAGTAAGGTTCTTGCTGCTTCATTTTGATTTTAGCATATATACATGTGTAGCAGTTTAGATATTGCATGCACTAGAAGAATTTTAATGCATTGGAAATATATATGCAATTCCAGAATAAATTCTAGACACTAGTTGGCTAAAATCAGTAGCTAAGTGCACGTTCTTTCACAGGCTGGCGTTATTCCAGAGTTCAGTGTGATACAGATACCGTACTTACAGAGGGAGAGGCATGACACCTGTACACTCAGAGACTGTCAGTTGTAGTTCCTGTGTATCATTCCAAATAATCAATAACTTGCAGAAGTCTGTTCTAACCTTCCCTTTCCACCAAAGGGGTAATACTATGAATTTCAGTTTGTATTATGTAAAAGGAGCCCAAAACTTCATTTCCAGACACGCAGTCAGAATATAAATTGAAAACCATCAAACGGAACCAGTACTGTAAATGATCTTTCTCAACTGCTGTTTCTATAGCCAATGTACTGGACCAAACCCAACAAAATTCCACTGGAATCCCCACCCCTTTATTCAAATGCAGCCATAAAACTGTTGCCTCTAAGTGCTCTAATTGAACTTTCCCTGTGCATTTACTTATTTCTTCAGGGAGAAATTTGTGTGACATTTGCTGTGCTGGCCTTGGCACGCAGGTTTCTTTTAGTTTCATTTCCTCCCACCTAAACAGTCAGAGGCTGGAATGGTGCTGAATCCTTGTCCCCCTTCTCCGAAGTAACTTTTCTAAAACATGTAATGGCTTTTGTAAGCTATCTGCCATGAGCAAAGCTAGTCGAGATAATGCTATCTTTTCATTACTCAGACAAGGTTAGGGTAGCTAAATATTCATTTCTCTGTTAACTGTATTTTTTTTTTCATTTATCGTATATATTAACAAAAACATTCAGGGCAAAATCAATGTGGCTGAGAAGGAAAGCAGACCCTCTCTTCCAAATGGGAATTTTCCAGACAGACACATTTTGGAGATTGAAAATACAAAGCATTTATTAGCCTGTTGATGCACAGGCGTCTTTTCTAGAGAAAAAATGAGCACACTGGGCAAGTTTCTCACAGGAGTTCACAGCATACGAAGTTCTGGGATTTCCTACAATTTCTGGTTTAGATGCACATTTTTTTCCATTTTCTGAAGTTCAATTTAGTTACATGTACTTACTGCTGGTGATTAAGTATGGAATATTTCTTCAATATCCTAGGTGCCATCATTGGTGTTACTTTTTGACAACTGTATAAACAGAGATATTCTGGTTCGAGCCCTGGTGTTTGCAGCAAACTTGAAAAAGAACATGAACGATGAAGAAGGCACCATAATTGAGGAATACAGTGAAGACTCCATTTTCTTCACACTTTGCACGGACTCTTCCCCCTTCACTCAGAGACTGGCATCTTTGCTGCATCACCCTGACACAGAAGTGAAAGAACAAGTTGTGAGAATATTAACACAATAGTGTTTTCTTAGAACAGACTGACCTGATGAAGATATCTAATCTTGGCAATGCTATGCTAAAAAAGCCTATAACAAGTAAACAATATAACAACGATGGAGAAAAAACCCCCAAAACCCTAAATCTTACCATTTTAATAGGCACAAATGAGTATGCAGTGTACTTAATACAGAGAGCATAACAGATATATTTTTACAAACAAGAGAAAAGCAATAGCTATATTACTGATAAACCACTGCACAGTTGCTACATTTATGCAATGGGGGCAAACAGTTTAAAACATTAAAACAGTCGTCATGTTAAATGAACATTTTAAATGAATGAGTGAAGTGAATGAAAATATCCTTCACAATGTCAGACTTTTTTTACTTTAAGTATTTACAAATGTTTTTTTACAATTGTGCATTAAAGATTTAGCAATTGGAGATTAAGTATTTATTTTTTATTAGTCTATCTATGAAACTGGTACAACTGAATCTTACAAAATAAAATTAAATTAAAGCAATACCAAACTATCATTGGTTTCCTACAGAATTAGTATCTTCAATGAAAGCTACATGCTAAAGTCACCGAACCTAGGTTTTTTCATCTTACCTGCATGGAATTTATTCTAAAACTCCATTCTTGTATGCTTAGTATATCCATTCCATCGAGCCAAACTGCAGTGCAATTAACCACAACTGTGAAAGGTTTCTACACTTGAACAAAAATTGAAAGGATTTTATATTGCTTTAAAATTGTCACTTTATGGAAAGCAGACATATTTAAAAATATTTTATTAGGAGTCAAGAATTATCTGCAACTGCAATTCAGCATTCTCATTCATATTAAAAAAAAAAAAAAAGTCTTACAAGAGCAGTAAGTATCATACATATTTTTAAAAAAGCTTCCAATTCTGTAGCAGCCTTTGAACTTCCTTTCCTTGGAGATCTTTACTCCTTTTTTTTCTGCAACTGGAACATCATTGGAATGAGTGCTTCTGCAGAATTAGCCCCCATAAAGTTTTAGACATCAATCCAGCATTAATTCAAAATGAAGCAGAATCCATACAAACATCATGGTAAAAGAACCTGAACAGAGTTTTTTTCATTGATGAACGGAAAACATATTATTGGAAAATACTTCCAAAACCAAACTACTGAAAAACTTCCACTACAGAGAAACTAAGAAAGGCGTTGGATGTAAAGGCTAGGAAAGTTTTCCACTTTGTTCCATTTTTAAGAGAACTCCATCACCTAAACTGTTACCAAGTGCTTAATCTTTCTAATTTAGTATAGTCTCTCCACTCTTAAGAAAACATTACTATCATCTCTTTCTGTCATGCAATAGATGCTTATTTTCAGGTCACTTTGCAAATAGCTAAAGCTGCAAGAAAAATATGACCTTGAAACTGTGACACACCCATGCCCTGATCAATACAGGGGTAAAGCTACACGTATCTAATTTATCCACATAGGTAGTTTTAATGCACCAGGAATACAGCTAAGGCAGAAATAGAAGTTGGCACGATTCCCAGTCAGAAACTTGACAATTGCTACATTGACAGTGAACTTCCTTTTCTCCTTCTCACTGCTCCTAAAACACAATACAGTTGGTACTAAGCAGGTTACACTACAATCACTTAAGTTTTGCAACTTTTTGTAGATTTAATGTTTTCTGCTACTGAATTTGACTAAGAAAAATAAAGACTAGGTCAGACACTAAGAATTTACCTACTGTCCTCCTCTAACAAGACATTAGGATCGGTCTGTTCTAGGTATAGCTGATACATGGTTTCTTAAGCTCACCAAGAGACATCTAGATGTCCCTTTCTGTGTTCTCTAACCTAAAAATAAGTTTTTCAAATATCTTTTTGATAGAGTTGATCTCTTAGCTGTTGCTTTGACAGCTGACAGAAACAAGTGACCTTTTCTAAAAATACATGAGAACATGCGACAGTGTTATCTCAGTTTTCTTTTTCTCGTCTAGAAAGAATTATTTTTAAATGCTTTCTTCGTAGAGCAATGCTGTTGAGATGTTTTGAAACCATGCAAGACTTTCCAATGTGCCTTTATGCAAAGATGTCTCATTTTTTATCATCTACCCCACACACTTGGTGGAATCTTACCAGCACCAAGTAAAACATAATGGTCACCATTCTAGATACAAATGTTGTGAATTAACAGATCCAAAACAAAACATGTCATTACTGACATTTAGTTTCTGATCCATGTAACTCAGTAGTTCTCTGCTCTGTGGCTGTTTATCTAGGTATTCTGTATTTTAGTTTCACTCTTTCTAAAGTACATAATTTTACAGAATAACCTATTGATGATTATAAAAGCAGGAAAAGAAAACAACCCACAACAAAACCAACCTTAAACTTGTAATTCAAAGTACTTGAAACTTCTTGCAGCTTGGTATCCTCCACAAAATTACAAACAGATAATATACATTGTATCACCCAAATTGTGATTGAAGCCATTGTGTAAATACCAGGGACTTCCTCTGAAACACCCTCAACACTGAATAACAGGGTAGTTTTGGTAACTCTCTACAGTTAAAAGAATACCTCACTTGTTCCTACCATGAAATCTCATTAACTGGTTTTCATTAGTTGCCAGAAGTTCACGCCTTTAAATAATTTGTCTTTTTTATATATATTTATCTTCGTGGGATATGAAAATAAAATCTACATCAAGAGCAAAAAAAACCCCAAAACCAACCCACATATCCCATAGACCAAAAGAAATCATAAACAAAACATGATTTGCCAATGAAATTATGAAGGAGAATAACAACCCTTTTTATTGGCAACAATAGGCTTTAATTCTGTAAATTAGCAAGACAATTTGATACAGACACATTTGGCCAAGTTTTATAACACTGAACAATGTTGTAAATCTCTCATTCAACTTTAAAATTATAGGGAAGCTATTAGAAAAAATACCACAGCCCTTGCTTAAGACTTTCTACTGAAAAAAAAAAAAAGTACTTAGAAAAAGGCTGAGTTAATGCAAGGACAAGGGACACTAAGAGATTTTTCCACTTCATGTGCTACAATTGATACATTCAGACCTAACTTAAAAACATAGACGAAACAATAAAAGTGTGCAGATACTCTGGCCAGCAGTTAGTTTTACACATCCATGATGCAATATTAAACTATCTCTCTCTTTAAAAGGCACATTTCTTTGATGTAAAATTCAGCTTCTGTGGTTCATTAATACATGAAGAGTGAAACAATTTTATCATGCTTGTGCTTTAATAACACAGCTGTATTGGAAGACTTCACCCCACAAAACATACAGTGAAGCTATCAAGGTATAGGGCATAACTTGAAGACTAACAAGTGGGAGATGACAGTCTAACAATGAATAATTCAAGTCAGCCATTAATCCTAAGTATATGTTCTGTGCTGAAGTTATTATTGCTGCTGCAGGTAAGATGAAGAGTTTAAAAATAATTTTTTTATCAGTGGTGTACATCAGAGCAAGTTTTTCCCAGACAACATTTAATATATAAACCACTTTTAGATCACCTCTCTAAATTTATAAACAATGTAACTAGTCAAATTTGTCATTAAATTGGTATGCAAGCTTTAGTTCTGAAACAAAGACAAATCTGACATTTAGAAATCCGATTCAATCTAAAAAAAATCTATTGTGTACATACATTATTATAGTATTGTAACATTAATTGCTAATTCAAATCAAACAGGGCTTACAAGGAACTGACACTGTTTCAGTTTTCGTTTTTATTCAAATTCCGTGATTCTCCATGGCGCAAGAGAAAGAAGTCATCTTCTTTCAAGCCATATCTTTCAAGAGCTTCATTCAATTTAACCGGAGGATCCAAGTAATACTGAAAAAAAAGAGAATAATATGAGGGAAAAGATACCACTGCAACATTTTTTGAGGGAAAAAAAACCCCAAACCACTGCTCTAAAAAAACGGGAGGAGGAGAAGGATTTGTCAAATTAAAATGTTTGGGTTCATTTTAAGTTTTTGAACGATAAGAATGCTGATTTACAGCTGCAGAGTAACTGGCAAGGCTCAACTTGTCAGCAATAGAAGAGCCGGAGGCGCGGGGCCGCCAGCAGCCGGCGCTTTCCCTCGCCAGTAACAGCCAGCGGTCCTGCGGGAACATCGGACCCTCTCACGTTACCGCGCCGTATTTGTGACATTTTCGAAAGGCAACGTCAAGGAGCAATCATCAATTTTTGGGCTCCTAAATACACAGTAACATTTGTACTGCGGGCACAAGTAACATAATTTATTGGAAACACTGGGGACAGGAAATGTTCTAGCCGAGCGTCCCATGTTCCCTCCATGCTCTGCCACGGAGCTGCACGACGAGCTGGGAGGGAGCACAGACGGGACAGAACATTTGATAGATCAGGTGATCACACTATCAGGAATGAATTAGGAGATAAAGTGGTGCAACTGATGCAAAAACAAAAGTTGAAAAACAGCTACTAGACAATAGCAAAGCAAATAGATACTTCCTATTCACTGCATTTTTAGTTGCTGTAGAGGTATCTGGGTAATCTTATTAGATCTATGGACTTGGGGGGGAGGGGGGTGAGAGGGGAATAAAACATTAAAAAGAATCAAAAACTCAGAATAACTCAATTTTTCCATATCCTTTCTGGTTTTAACTTTGAATCAACTATTAATACTGTTTATATATTTACTAGACAGACATAATAAATGCCTACAGGCATGCAGTTCTTACTATCTTCAAGTGATGCACCACTCTTTTTATTACTGCATAATGTAATACATAACACTGCATAATACTGCATGTGCCCTCATGTGTTATGCTCCTCAGCATCGGGATGTGAGAAATCCTCCACATCTGCTTCAATAACTACTTTCTTAACAATAGAAATATTTTATGTAATTGGTTATGAAAAGCTAAGCATTGTTTTGAATAGCAGTACATAGAGTAACAACTTTTCACTCATACAAAGTTCACATTTTAAATTTACGTTTACAGATAATGTAGGTTAAACTGCACAAGCAAAGCTTCACTAATGACTGTCTAGTCCTTGGAAATCTGAACTCATGTTTAGTGTTGCAATTTACCTCGTTTGCTAAAGCAAAGGTCCCCCAATGAATTGCTACAGACTTCTTTGCTTGAACATCAATATGGATTCTTACTGCTTCTTCAGGATCCACATGCTGGTATTTCATAAACCACCTACCAAAACAAAGAGCCACTTTTTTGTGTCACCTAATTCAGTGCAAGATTTCTCCTTTACTTCCATTGCAAAGAAAAAAAAAGAAATATATGCTCATAAGCATGTACACCTGGGCAACATAGAGAACACTCAAGATCAGGAAACTAACATATACCAACATACCCATCAAAGAGCAGTTCATTTATTGCACTCTCTCTTTGAAGGATTTTTTCTTATCTCTATTTTCAATAGGTTAAGGACATATTACTGAGGCATTAAAGCCAAAACTTTAAATCCATCCCCAAATAAATTTTGTGCTAGCAGTACACACCAAAAAGTGTGTGCTTCAGATATAGCCCAAGGAAACAAGCAAAACAGAAGAGAGAACTTAACAATTCTTGAAAGATACCAACGTTTTGCCATGCTATTTGGATTCCCATATTTTTTCCCAGCCCATACATGCTTTCCTTCCAGTACTATCGCCTAAATGTTTACTCCAAAAGGAGAAAAGTTTGCTCTGCTGAGCAAACAGATTTTTCATACTCTATAACCAAGTCATCTTTGTCTCCCGGTAAGTTGCAAAATCAGGGTAAAAAGCAAATCAAGAGAAAAATGCAGCAAATGACATACACTGGAATGGGCTGGATTAAATGATGCTGTTTCAAAAAAAAAGGCACAGAGTAATTCCAGATTTTTACTCAACATTTTTAAGGGAAGAAAGACTGCTGATTCATCCTTGCTGTCCTTTAGTCTGAAGAAAAAACTCTCCAGAAACATCACAAATACTTTTTAATAAAGTACACCTATAATTTTAACTTCTGGGTGGATTTTTTGTCATCAGTATATAATTTCATTTATGTATTTTGCTCAAATTGATTTTCCTACCTTGGCTCATAAGCTCCAATAGGGATGGCTGCAAGATCGAAAGGTCCAAACCTTTTACCTATTTGCTCAAAAGCAAAACAATACCCGGTATCTCCTGCAAAGAAAAACCTATTCCAAGGTCCCAAGACAGACCAGCTGCCCCAGAGAACCTTGTTATCATCTGTCACAGTCCTTTTGCACCAATGCTGGGACGGGGTGAAGACAAAAGTTACTGCATCATGACCAGGGACACAGTTCTCCTCCCACCAATCGAGTTCAATCACATTCTCACAACCACATCTCTGCATCCACTGCAGGAGCCCCAGAGGCACAAACCAGCGCAGCTCGCTCCCAAAGCGTTCGTTCAGACTCGCCACGGAGTTGTAGTCCAGGTGATCGTAGTGGGTGTGGCTGATCAACACCGCATCTATCCTGGGGAGCTGCGCTACCGTGCACGGAGGCCCTCGGAAGCGCTTGGGACCCAACAGCTGAACAGGGGAAGCTCTCTGGCTGAAGATTGGGTCAGTAAGAAATATAAGTTCATCCATTTCCACCATAACTGTGGCATGTCCCAGCCACGTGACTCGCATACCAGATCCTGTTTTCCCAGCATCTTCTGGCGTTTGAACAAAGTAAGGTTGTAACAATGGAAGTTCTTTGTCAAGTTCCTGGCAAAAAAGAACACAATATGCATGAGAGATTTCAGAATGTACTTGGCCATGGAACAAAAACCGCATACAAGGAAAAAACCAATTCAGTCAATACTTGTACTTCGAGCTTTTATGCAGAGAACTGCAGCACACACCAGGTGCCTTTTTAATGTCAATTTTCCCAGCTACTTCCTCCTAATTTCAGTCTAGATTTTTGTAACATTTACACTTCTCTATCGAGAAAGAGAAGAGCATATCCCACCAGGCCAGGAGACCTGATAGAGTCTGAGGGCATTGCAACCAAAGCACTGCAAGGCACTAACAGAATCCCAGGAAGGGATTCCTCCACCTGAAAAATAATATGTATGCACACACAAAGTGTTACTTAACAAATACTCAGGTTTAGTTTATGCAACTAAATGATGCATCCTCTTAAGTCCTAGCACAAGTAAATCACAAATGAAAGAAAATGCCATGTTCCCCAGCCACACTCCACAAAAGCTCTGCTAGCTTTTATCAGGCTCTCTCTCTGTCCTCACTACATCTAGAAGTGGCACACAAAGGTTAACCTCACTTGGCTAATATTAGCGATTACAATTCTGCCTTCCCATCCTGCCAATAATTTAATGAACATTCATAAAAATAAAATAATTTTTAAGATAAACCTTAAGGTACTTAGATATGCTTGTTTATGAAAAGGTTCCTCCACCTCCTCTCTTATTCCAGCTTGACAAGTTTTGCAGTCTCTACTTGAGTACAAGAGGTCAGAGAACTGATCTGTCTGAACATTAATCCAGAGGTAAAAAGTACATACCTCACTTTTTGATTGGCTCAAATTTGACTCTGTCTGTATCCTCAAGTTGGCACAAAGGAGGCTATGGCTGTACATTACCTATTGAAACTCACTGCCCAACTACCACTCATTCTCTCATTTTGAACCAGAGTTATGCTCTTCACTGCAGTTTGGTTGAAGTGCTAAATACAGAAGTTTTATGTGCAATAAGTAATATCTTTCCTGCTAAAAAAAACCCCAACCAACCAAGTCTTCTCAGAATTCCTGACCATCTCAAAATTGGCCACAATGTGGCTAAGGCTCTCCTCCCAAACCCTTATGGTCTGAACTGCTCACATTGCTTTAGGAAAATTTCTATGTGCTAGGGCAGCTTCTAGACTCCTGATACTCCTCTCTCTCATAATCAAAAATGTCCCAGCACTTCTGGTTCCAAGTTAAGTTCTGCCTGCCATGGTTGCTGCTCTCATTCTCTCAGTCTAGCACAGATCAGCACTATCAGTGAGTTTATACAGAGCTGACCTTGTGCTCCTTTAAAAGTCCAGCTGATGCTGTGACTGTTTAGGACTCCAAGACTTGCCTTGCTAAACCAGTCCTGACAGCTTCAGGGAAGTTACTTTCTCCACAATATTTTATTGATTTTGAAGGCATATGTTGGGAAAATCAAAGCATACACATCTCCATCCCCCTGCAATTCTGCTGTAAATAATAAAATATTCATGAAATTGGTTTTTCTGAGAGCTAATGGACAAGACATGTTTACTGAAGAAGTTTCATTATGGTCTCCAGGAATGAGAAATAGATAACCTTCTATAAAGTTGAATATAAGGTTAGTACAATAGAATCTCTTAGTTCATACAAGTAGGAGTCTTAGACTGAGATAAATGGGCTTCTCCAGGAGAGAAGCATAATTGTCTTATCTCTATTTCATTTTAAATACATGGGAACAACACTGGCCACAGAAATCTGAACTACAGAAGCATTATATTGTGACACTTCAGTGAAAAAAAAAAGAAAGATACACAAAACTAAGATAATACTCAAAAATGGAAATTAGGACAAACCAACAACTTATAGTTAAGTCAACAATCGGATTATATCAAAGAAATAAAATTCAGATATGGAACTTAGTAAATTGTCATAATGCAATTTAGGTCAGTACATTTTTAATGGAAAATGTTCTGTTTAAGTAGCTGATTTTAGAGTTAGACTACAAATTTTCTCAGAAGTAAATTAATTCACTTATTTTTGCTGACATTTGGCACAAATTAGGGTTTTTTAAAATGAGTGTTATGCAATATTAATAAACACCATTAAATGGATGAGGAACTGGCCAATTGGCAGATGTGAATAATAAGTTCTTAAGCGGGACTAAGACTTATTTTACCATGTTTTACGTGGGGTACAGTTAATTTTTTTCCCAGTAGCACATATAGTGCTATGTTTTGGATTTGTGCTGAAAACAGTGCTGATGGCAGACTGATGTTTTAGCTATTGCTGAACAGTGCTCCCATAGCATCTCAGCCAGCTGACTGGGGCATACAAGAAGCTGGGAGGGACACAGCTGGGACAGCTGACCCCAACCCATCACAGAGATATCCCATACCATATGACATTGCACCCAGCAGTAAAATCTGGGGTAAGAAGGACGAGGTGGGGGACATTCAGAGAGAATGGCATTTGTCTTCCCAAGTAACTGTTACACGGGATGCAGTCCTGCTTTCCTGAGGATGGCTGAACACCTGTCTGCCCATGCAAAGAGAATAAATTTCTTAGTTGGCTTGTGCATGCGGTTTTTGCTTTACCTATTGAACTGCCTTTATCTCAACTCACAAGCTACCTGATTTTTCCCCTTTCAATTCCACTGGGGTGCAAACAGTTGGGAGTGGAAGTGAGCAGCTGTTTGGGACTTGGCTGCCTAAAGCCAAAACACATCTGCACTACTAATAAAGGCTTTACAGGGATGTCCCTGGGATTGATGCTATCAAGTATTTAGAATAGTCGATTTAAAGGTAGAACTAATCACTATAAAAGGCATTTGTAAAAGCCACACAGACAAGAAGACTGGATTGATAGAGAAGAGCGCAGTCTGAACAACTGCTATCCTAAGCTATTTAAATGAAATTCTGTGAACAAAAGTCCAAGACAAACCAGGAGCACAAAGGCAGTGTAACTTGTGGATCTTGTACATAGGCTTGTGCCCTCCGGGTTTGTGATACACAGGCCTCTGATCCAAATCAATGATTCCTCAGAGGATGAGATCAGAAACCAGGCATGTTCTCAGTGCATGTGATTTGTGCCTGGGGTTGTTTGGTTTTGTTTATTTTTTTTTTTAGTATTTTACAAAAGCACATCAAAATTACCTTCTAAAGCAATAAGCAATACTCAACTCATAATACTTCAAACTAAAATACAAATTCTGTTAGCAGTATACTCCACATGAAGTACTTAAAACTCAGACAACAGGATAAAGCAATATGATGAATGAAATACATATCTTATGGAACTTTTATCCTGCTATACTACATTTTGTTCTGTCAGACTAACCAGAAACATATTAAAATTAGAAGAATTATAACCAATTTTTGAAATACAACAATTATGTCAAATCAGTCACCAACAGAAGTAGTGTGCTTAATACAGTCTTATCTTCATTACTCAAGTAATACAAAAATTCCTCCTGCTGTGTCCCTTCCCCCCTCCCTGTTCTTCTTTCCCTTCTAATGCAAAGCAAGAAAAAACACATGACAGGCTTTGGTAAGACTAGCTGATTAGCTTGGGATTTTTGGCGCTTAGTGCATACTGGAATACCACGGGATTTTACAGAAATGAAAACAATCTTAACTGCCGATGCAACAACTAAAAATTAAAGATCCTCCAATAGCACTGAACAAAGTTATTAATAAAGCCTGTAATGAAAATACAGGAAGTCCATTCTGGATAATGATATAGGCTCATTGTGAAGGCATGATTATAATACATATAGCTTTTCCACAGTGAAGCACAAGCACATATCCTGGATAATATGCTTATTTTTACATACACAAAGCACTTGGTACAGATAAACTGAACCTGCCCAGCATAGCACGGCATCACTAGGCTCACTCCACGTGGAAATTGAAGCAGAGCTTCAAATGAAGCTCAAAGGACATGCCATCTCTAGCAGTGATAAATAAAGTATAGAGCCCTTAGTTTTAATTTTAAACAAGCTCAGATGGACTTCACAGGCTGATTTAGGGGTAGAAAAAAACTCGTTGAAACAAGTATCAAAATGGCTGAGGACTCCAGAAGTGCATTTCATTGATCCCTATCTAGGTTTATCTGTTTCTGATTTATTTCAAAGTCCTGAGTAATTGCAGGCACTTAATTGAAAGATTTCCACTGCAAAAAATAGAATGAGCACACAATCCCAGCTGGGTCAGAGAGATGGCTTTTCAACAGGTACCTTGTAGATTTCTTTGTGATCATCCTTTATTGTAGGGATGAGCTGTAAATTAAAGGGGAGCGCTGCAGTTCTGCACTCCATCAGAGCACTGTATGCTCCGCACTCCATAGTACACCTCAGCATTGCCTTCGAGGGATTTCAGTCACTAGCCAGGTTTGTGTCTGGCACTGGGCAGACATGGAGCCTGATCTACACATGCCAAGTAGGGCAGCAGTCAAAGGCAACCAAACACGTCCAGGTGTGAATTTCATGAAAAAACGGCCAGCACACTCTAGAAAGCTGTACACACTGATGCAACTGTTGTCACCACAAGGAAGATACCAAATTTTAAAAAGTAAAGTGCTGGAAGGGATTACAAGACTGAGACAAGCTTGCAGTGCTTCTAAGCCAAATTATTTATTATTATTATTATTATTAAATTACAGCCAAGATTATTTGTTCCTTAAACATCCCCAAACCTCTGGCTATCATGCCTTAATGCCTAATGTGGCTTTCCTGCCCATAAAACTGATAGAATTCCTTCCTTCACAGGTAATTCAGGTAAGACAAAACAGAAAGCTCTTTACTAAATACTGAGATACTGTGAGATTTATAGCTTGTGCATACCTTCTTGCATGCTTAAAAGCATTATTAACACCTGCTTGTTAACAAATACTGGCCTTGGTTGTGCACCCTTCAGCACAGTATTTCTGAAGCACAGTCAACACATCAGAAATGCACTGAGAAGTAATTCTGTCAAAACCTAGTCATCCCCATACCACCTGTAACCATAAAGATAACCCATGGCTTTCCAGTATCCATTACTTTTCATGGAAAAGAAGCTTCTCCTGTCTCCTCCTTTATATACAATATCTGACAAAAGCATTTCACCAAGAACAGTATTACCCAGTAAACTGCCACTGTACTTTAAGTGTTTCAGTACAAATACTTGCTCAGGTTAGTTTTAACATATGCAATATTTTCTCCTGGTGTACTGAAACACAAAAAATAGATTTGTAACTCTTTTCATAAGTAGGTGACAGAAACGATTACATTTTCATGCAAGAGATGCAACATATGTATTACATTACCATCTGGAAAAAAAGGCAAATTTAAAAAATTAAATATGTAATGAAATAAACTATTTCATGCAACACAAATTAATTTAATACTATGCTTCATAAGGCAACACCTATTAAAAAGGAATGGCTGTAACTGGTTTATGACTCAGCTAGGGGACCAATTTTTTGTATTTATAAATTGAACTGTATAAATTAAAGCATGTGGAACTAACAAGGAAACAAAAATTAAAGAGGCAGAAACTATTAACACACCTTTTGAAAAGAATAAAATGAAATCAGAAAAGTAAGACTTAGAAAAGTCTCCAGAAGATGCCTAATGAGTATTAGTTAGAAACTGTCCTATTTTATTGATTAGAGCAGAGGTAAAAGCAGTCTTAATCACGAAAGTAAAACATGGAAGTATTCACCTGCTTTGAGCGTGGCACATTGCTGTTATTTTTTTCCATGAAGGACCATTTCAAAACGTTTAGTAAGGTTGGTGATTTCCATGTTGGCCATGGGTTGACAAATCTCCCATCTTTGCCCCTCTTGGATTTAGTTACATCCTCTTCTAATCTGTAGTCCAGCCTGAAGCTTTTTCTGAAGGTCCTGGAAGAATCATTGCCCCCGGAACCTCGACCCGAATTCTGACGTTTCTTCACTGCTTCTTTAGGGTACTGGTTACAGGCAGTTGAAGGCTGCTCTTCATCTGTGTTCTTATCCATACCTTTTTCAGGAGAACTAAAGCAAATTTTAAATTAATCAATATTTTCTTGGTCTAGCATCAACATTCGTAAGACTGAATGTTCTCACACACATTAGAAACAAGCCCACCTTTCTTGTTTTATGATCTACTGTATTTTTTAATCAACAAAATATGCTTTTAAAACAGTCGCTATTACACAAAAGACTTCAAAAACATGCTGTGGCAAGCAGACATGAGGGCTCTTTGTAGTTCAGGCTGAATTTTACTCCCTGGAATGCACAGCCTCAGATACTAACACTATTATCTACCAACTGCAAAAGTGAGGGGGGAAGGGTTCCTTAATTTACATTTTGGAAGAATAGTCATTCCTCCTGAAACTTATGACATTGGGTGCCTGATGTAATACGATCCTGCAAGTCTGTGCAAGAGACACTGGAACTATACTGTACCTTAGGATTTGCCTACACAGTGACTTAGTTTTGTAGTAGAAACATCAGTCTTGGGCAGCATTACACACATGCAAGAAACTCAGAACACAAAAGATATTTGGTACTGTTTCCTATTTTGTCTAAAACAAATAAAAAGTTTATTATAATCAAGGTAAGCAACTGTTTCAAATATAGCTTTGATACACATTTAACTGAACTGACTGGTGAAAGACCACAGGAAATTTAAATATTCTAAATCGCAGTTGCAACATTCACTCTTAATTCCATTGTGAAATATAGAAAAGTGAGAAAATAACCGAGGAAAACTTAGTTCTATGAAGTCACGATTCTGGTACATTTCTTAGAAAACTACAAACTCAGTAGTCAGAGTCTCTTATTCCAAACTGCATTGAAATATTACAGACTTTACAAATATAATTGAATTATACCCAAGGCAGAAAAAACAAATATCCCTATTTTATTTTAGAAGTTGCCAAAGTATTTCAATTGAATCTAAATGCTTCTATTTCTTTATTTACTTTCAACTGAAATGTTGAAAGTAAATACACTGTTCTGTTAGCTTTTTAAAAAGTTGGTTATGGTTTTAATGAGTGCACAACTTTCTGGCATTTACAAATTCTACCTGATTAAAAGTGGAAGATGACTAGTAATGGAATAGACAGCATTATTAACAGCTTAGGTGCAGGAATAATTTTTAATAACAAATTGTGAAGTTTGTCCTGTGGAAAACTCTTCACCACATGTTTTGGCCTATCTACTGTTTCACTAACTCAAATACTCAGGCTTCAGAAGCACTGGGCTGATGTAACCAAGCCAGCCCATGCAAACAACATTGTCAGAGAACAGAACTGAAGCTCACAGTTTTCTTAGAAATCATAGAACTCGCTCTGCCCCCTGTAAGCTCAATTACAGGGAAAATTAAATACATTGTTCACTGCAACATTTCAGCTAAGATATTACACACATGTCAGCAAACTGAACCCAATTGCATTTGCTGATGATGCTCCAACTTCAAATGCACAGTCCATTTCTGCTATTTCAGCAGCAGCTGACAACTAAACACTAAGTATGGTATCAGCTGCAAAGAATACAACAATCGATAAGTATTGTGAAATTTTCTTAACAAAATAACCATTATTGTGCCATACAGTAGAGACAAAATACCAACATATCAAAATTCATTTCGAATAAAAAAGCATGAACAGCATTTAGAAAACAAGGCTGATAGAATTTTTTTTACACCTGGTCACAATCTTATTTTATGTAATTGCTTTGTACTCCTGTTCCCCTGCAATTTGACTGAAACCACTCCACTTATGTATTTCCTATTTAGCATTAGGATACTGTATCTGCACCATAATTTAAATGTAACTGTTGATATTTTTAGGCTTTTTTCCTCTATTCCACTAAACCTTTACCAGAATCAGCCTTCAATGAAACACTCAACCTGCTCCATAGCATTTTAAGCAGACATAAATGGCAACACAAAAAAATCAGTGCAACAAAAAGGTAGGCTGAATACACAAAAAATGGTACTGGATATTTTAACTGTTACTTTAACTTAAGGGCTGGGTTTGGGGTTTGTCTTTTGCATTCTTCAAGGAGCATTTTCAATGCCAAGTCAGTTTATTAATTTAGCAAAGCACATAGACACAGCATAAAACAGCTACTCTTTTAGAAAACATCATGAAAACAAATCACAAAAGTTTAATCAGATAGGTCTTAATTCCAGGAAATTATTCTCTTAACATCTCAGATGTCTGATTTTTTAAATATATATAACTACCATAATTATTGCTCTTACAAGACATTTAATATTAGAGACTGGGGTGCCTAAAGTTTTATTTTCAAGCTTCTGTTTATCTATTCATTCATCTCTAAAATAGGTGAATTTTACTTTTGCTTAAACCTTTGATCTTATTCTGAAAGTATAAACCCCTAGGGGAAGCAGGGATTGACTATGCTGATTAAACAAAGGCAATGCCAAAGCATTTAAGGCACTGCAGGTATCTATCTGTCTGCCAACATATTTTCCACATGATGCACATACATTACTTTCATTAGTATTCCATAAGCAACTGAAGGGATAAAAGACCTCGGTGCTCATAGAATACTTTAAACCTTTTACATGCATAAGAAAGGAAGACATTTACAATCAGTTAAAGTATTCCTGATGAACTATAGATTCCTTTGAAGTATCAGTCTTGCCAGATCATTTCTGCTCCATTTAAATTGATTAAATATATCCTACAATATTCATGACGTAGTTTTCTTATATAGAAGATGAAGATAATTTCTTGAAAGCCAGAAATCATTATCTTAAAATAAAACTCAACCAATTATTAGCCCAAGGAGATTCTTATGCTTTTGCAAAAGAAAGTCTCTACAGACAAGTAGATTTGGCAGGTATACCTAAATAATAGAAAATACCCAATTAGAAATCAGTTAATTTTTCTGCCAGGTTTTCTACATTCTTCCCACCCAAAAATAATAGTTTGGCACTTGAAAAACTAAGTTAAGCTCTTGGTGGAAAAAATTATGAGCTATAGAGATTCAAAAATCAAACTGGAATGGAATTCTGTTCACTTAGGAGGGACAGAGGGAAGGGATTATATCCCTGCTGAATATTTATTGTTATGTAAAGTTCTACATGAAATCTTTTTATTCTTTTAAATATAAAGAAAAACTACTATTCTACTTAAAATCATTCAACAGCTTTCCTGGCAAAAGGAACCTATCCTTCAGGATGAGGTGACAGCCCCAACATAGGGCAAGTGCATTGACATTATTTGTAAGAGGGGCTCAGGAGACACACAAGGCAACCACCCTCTCTCTGCCCTCAGAGATGCTTTGCTTTTTCAGCTGAATTCAGAAGAGGAAATGGACCAAGACATACATAATTCTAAAGAAGACATTAGTCATGCCAAACCCACAAGGCCAGAAGGTGTTCTGGACAGAGGAGAAGAACTTTACTGGCTAATGAATAAGACAAAGTAACATGAATCAAAAGGCAGAGTTCACATATCAGGTTTTCCAAAGAGCAAAGCTGTAGATCTGGCAAGATGTGGCATGGAAAATCCATGTCTGACATCCCACTAAACTAGTTTACACCTGTAAACAGGATATAGCCCTTAGGACAACAGGTTTTGGGCAAATGGTTTATTTTAGATTTGCTTACATGGCTGAAAATTTGGATACAAATATTTTGGCTTTGAGCCTTGTGTTTATTTAGGAAAATAACAAAAATTTAACTAAATATTTTAATATTTAATATTTTGAAACGCTCTGTTTCAAAAGAAGGTTTGAAAAAGGATACAATAACATTACAAGATTCACTCTGCCTTTATAATTTTTCTTTTTAAACGGTCTTTTAAATATAGCAGAGCTTCAAGTCAAATTACTTGAACACAGGCATAAAATCTATTGTCTTCACCTTTTCTACCTAGTCTCCTCTAATATCTGCTGCTCCATAAATGAAATGGATTAGTTCTCCCTACTAATCATAGAGCCATGCACAACATGCTACTAAGCATCAAGTCGGCCAAAACAGACTTACCCTTCTTTCCTACACAAAAATGTGGTCCTTATTTAACAAATCCATTGGCCTAAAAGTTTAAGAATTACTATGAAGCTATGGTTTAGTGGAACATGACAACTTCCCCAAAACTTTACAATTGCCTGGTAAACATTCAAGAGCTTCCCAAATACCTTTAATTTCTCTGCTTTTTTGAAGTAAAGGGTTTGGTTCATTTTTAATCACTGTCTCTCTGTGTAAACTACATCCAGAACTAGGTTGCACTAATGATCACCTAGAAGAGACAGCACACAATTCCCAGCAAACTCACAATACTGCAGCCTTACCAAAACAAGACTCTGAGCTTTCTCCATATACAGCTACACATTTCTGAAGTGTTTTTTCATTATACATATTTTCAATGACTGCAAAAAACATGCATTTTGGCTTGAAATAAAACAAAAAATTGTTTCAGTTAGAAGGGAAGGTATTTGCAAATGCTAGGGACCATGTAAGTAATTGGCTCCCACAAGCTTTACTATCAAATGACTTCCAGCTAAGTTTTGGCTCTGCTTTTATTTTTCCTTCAAGTCTGAAATTGGCTGCTTTAATTAATGAACAGTTTGAGACTGGAAAATTCTGAATGCATTTAAACTTTTATTGTGCAGTACCTCAAGCTGTTCCATCTTACCACTGTAGACTTACCAGAACAAGAACCTTCTGTGAACTGTATACTGCTACACATCTTGAAGTTTTCTTTCACTATACTTATTTTTTATCACTGCACAGCAGTTCCATCAGCGATTATTCTAGATGCTCTTGTTGTCAGGATTTCACATAAAGATCTCTCAAGCTTGCATTAGTTGATTTGTGAATACTTCTATTATTTGAATCACATTAAAAATCCCTAGAAACAAGTGTTGCCAAAATTTTCATTCAACAGATCTGTAAGTATCCTGATTCTATACTTAGTCCTTGTGTACTATTCAAGAAAGAGTAATAAAAGAGTTGATAACAGAAAAAGGAATAGCTCTCTCCATAAACAGTCTCACGGAATTAGAATAAGTCCTTTATCATTCTTATCAAGCTTTGAGGCTCAACAGTTAAACTAAGCAAAGTTTTATTTAGACATCATGGAGAAAAATAAGATTAGTTACAAATAAAAAAAAGGTGAGGCATCTACCCGTGGCCATCTGTTGTTAGGTTTATTCTTTGGCAGCTGCATTACTTAAGCGGCCACTGCCATGAGCCAATCCATTTCTGCCCTCACTACTCACCCAGGCTTGCAAAAACAAATACTTTTGTCCACATGGTGAACTTGTTTAAGAAACTAGTCTAGCTGACAGTCACTTCTTACCTTACCATCCCTAGAGAAGCATTTAATTTTCACCTACATCACTGAGCAACCATGCAAGTGTTTATACCAACAAACCGGTTAGGACAGGGAAGGGTGAGAACAGGAATATATTGTTGTAAACAAAAACTACTTACGCCAGCACTGGTCTGAAAAAAAAAAAAAAAAAAAAAAAATTAAATACCCTCCATTCAGAATTCACTGTGTAGCTCAGTTACACATACTACCAAGTTTGGTTCAACAATTCCTCCTACCCTTTCATTTTCAATCTATTCCATTCCAAGATTTCATTTACACTTAGTACTGATGATGCTGCAACTCTCCATTTACGTCCTTAGACAGTAATGTTTCATATCATAACCAAGTACATTCAATAGCTACCTACCACCCACAAGGCAGCCCACTCCCATTACTACACATTCCACCTCTATTTTGCTGGTATTCATTAGGGGAACTAAACCAACAGAAAGTTATTCATGCCTATCAGCTACACCTTTGCATGCCTCCGGATACAAATGCAAATAGGCCTTAGAGTCAGGCCCATCAGTAGTCCCTGGAGCCAGTTATTTCTTAACGCTGGGTTAAATCTGACCAGCTGCGGGCATTGTATCAACTGAATAAAGATCCTGGATATGGGACAATACATAACTACTTTCCCTTTGTTTCCAGGTGCCCCAGCTGATTGTCCCTGTCCAATATGAGAATTCTGTAGTCACCAAACACATCTATGATCAGTAGATAATATGATAGAAGATTTTTGTTACATGCATGTTCTGTTTAGGTTGTGATCCCTGATATGACAGTAGCTGTCCACAGGGGACACGCAGCAGAACAGATACCAGACCCAGGAGCCAATTTCTTTAGCGATATGGGCCTTTAAAATAAATTCTTTTCCTCTCACTCCTCATCTTTTACTGCAGTCTTGAATAAAAGAACCCAAAAGTTGGCTTGTGGCCATCACATTTGAAAGAGCAACCTAGACTATCATTATGATTATGCACAAGAACAGTGTAATTCTGTGGTATTGCTGAAGCAGTCACCAAAGGCAAGCTGGAGTCAAATCTCCCTACACCAGAAAGGAAATTGCTTTCCTTTGCTCTCCCTAAACGACTAGTTTCATATGACTAGTTAATTTACAGGGAAGAATGTTTAAAGAATAAGATCTGGAATCAAAGTTTTCTTACCTGCTCTGCAGGACTGAGACTGACACACAGAGAAGCAATGTTTGTGCATTACAGCTGTGTTATGGTACACAAGAAAATACTCGGGTCACAAATCGAGTCAATTTTTAAATCAACAGAAAAATAAGTGCAGATAGCATATGCACACAGGTATATATGTACCAGCTGTACAGGTAAATCGTGGATTCCAACAGAAACTACAGTCTCTATGGATGGCCCTTCATACTTAAGACAGAATTTCAATAAAACTTTTTCCAGAAGAGCAAACATGAAACTTGTACCACCACAGCTACATGATCCAGAGCCCAGCTTTAGCGTTCTAGCACCAGCTGCACTTGTGCAACTATTTATGCAAACGAGTAGTTCATTAGTTTCAGCTGGTTACTGATGTGACTCCAGTTAATTACAGAGGCACATCTTACCAAGATGGGGTTTAGTGTTAGAAAAAACTGACGAACTTTGAAGTTACCATTTATAAAACACACTTTATCCACTCCTGTGTGTTAACAGCCTCTACATCTTGGAGTTTGTATTTTAAATTATGATGCCATTGAAGCTGTTAGCATACATTTTTCTTAACTAAAAAAAAGTTTTAAAATATTACAAGCTCACACTCCATCCTAAGGGTAAAGGTTTTCCATCTAACATCTTAATGTCAATTAGATATGACTAAACCCAAATGTTATTACACATCATGAAATTAAGGCTCCACTTGAACATGCTGTGGGAGAACACTGATTTCCTTTGTAGCATGTGGTTAGAAAGGCAATGCAAGAACTGTTTCCATAAAAAAGCACAGAAATCATGTTAAAGCTTTGATGCATAAGATTCAGAGTTGATTTATCATTGACTACGGCACTTTTATGTGTGCAATTGCTGTCTCCACCTCATTTACTAAGTCTTTTAATTTTCTTTTTCCTTGTCTCCCCATGCTAGAAAGGAACAAATACCTATGCAAACTTCCTCTAGACTCACACCAAAAATAATCGTTCAAAACTCTATAAAACCTCAGTTTTCCAGGAAGTGCAGCAGCACCCAAGAACTCAATTTTATTTTTAAGCTAATAGACAGTCATAAAATGTTGTTTATATTCATATTTAAAGGCTTGTCTATTTTGATTCCCTCTTTTCACTTCAAAGTCCAAGTACATTGGGTTCAATGGAGTTTCTCTGCAACATGAAAACATTTCCCTAAATTCTTTCTCTTCTACTTGATTTTCAATATAAAATCAACTTTTGCTTGTCCTAACAACTTTCTCTCTCTTGCTCTGTCTATGTATGTACATGCACCCCTTACATACATGGATTTTACAGAACTATTTATAACATTTGAATTCAAATTTCTTGAAATCCAAGCAAATAATTTCCACGTCAGTGAAGGAAGTGAAAAGTTTTTCTTTGTTGAAATAGATGCTTTTCTTGAATGCACCTGTTAAAAGACCAACTTTAACACGAGTTAAGCCAAAAGGTCACCAGCCTTTCCAAATAATGGAAGTTTTAAACATCCAAACTTCCTATCGGAGGGCCAGAAAACACACCCAGAACCCTTATAGTTCTTTAACTGAAACACATCCATTTTAAGAAGAAATTCCAAGAGACAGTACACAGACAGAGCAAAACACCAATATTCAAGGAAACAGGAAACATCACAATATGTAAATGTTTTTCATTACACCCTTTTTTTGCCACATATAAAGGGCCTTTGATTCCATCCCCACAGCTCTAGATTACAATGTCTTCATGTACTCTAAATGAAATGCTTTGATTGTTAGTCAACAACAGAAGTTTTACTACTAGAAGTTGTGTGGTTTGGGTTTTTCTTCTTATGGAAGAGTCAAGGCATACTTCCAACACAAACATGAGCCATCTACTAATTTTCAAGGCACCATCCTAAATATGTACCTGTTTTAAGGAGACAAAGTGTTTCATGTAAACATATCTGAATAGACACACATAAACACCATGCTATTGCCACATTCTTACCAGAAACAGTTGAATATCACTGAAACGTTGCCTCAAAAACCAGTCCAAATAATGACAAAAATATTTCCAAATATTTTAAGCAATAAAACCTGTTATCCTATCCTAAGCCTTACTCATCAGGCAGTAGAACTTACAGCTCCAGCCACAGTAACAGGTCTTACAGAAGAGGTAACTCTTGACAGAAATTCTTTAACACCCAATTTTTCACTCACACATCTTAGCAAACTTCGTTTTTCACAGTAGGTGCACGATGGCAGTAGTGTTTTCACAGTGTCACTTGGCAATGTGTTCAGTTGTCTTTCCTGAGCAGCTTTGCCAGGTTTATCTGCTTGGGCACAGCTGTAGCCTATTCAAACCCAAATGATCCCTTCCTTGTACAGCTGGTAAACACCAAGGTGTTACATGCCAAGAGTATATAACACAAAACTTCTTTCCTAGACTTCCTAAGAATATTTAAACTACGTGTAACATTTAGTTTACAGGAAAATTCTTTTTACTCAAATCTTTAGGCACAAGGCGATCAAGTGATTTTCCATAGTCCTGGCCCTGAAGGTATTAGAAGTAGGGCTCACACTGCAACCTATAAAGTTAAAGCAATAGACTGAAAAAAATAAAGGGAGATCAGGAAAGGATTCACAGATGTGACAAAAAGCAAAACTAATTTCACTGCAGGTGTTACATATAAAGACACTAATTAATATAGCAGTATTCCTGTTTTTCTCACCACAGACAAAATAATTGCCTTCCTTTTTGCTGAAAATAACTTAAAAGCTATTTCTGAATGAAGAATCTTGAGCTTATAAAGGCTAAGGAAATAGCATATTTCTCCTGGTTATTTCTTAAATCGACTTAGTTAATGCAAGTGAATAAAATTATAATAATGGATTGCTTCCTCTTAAAAAGGCTTCACATCTCTTTGGTTTGAGGCCAAGCAGAAGCTGAATAACTGTTATTTATATTTGAACAGTTTCGCTGTCATCCTTCACTTCCTCCTCTCCCAAAACCAACTCTCCATCATAACTGAATCAAACAGGATTTTCCAAGCCCCAGGTATTAAAACTTCCCATTATTTTTTATAATAGCATTTCAGTTTGAGATAATTTGGGGTATTTTGAAAGCAACTGTTGCAATATTTCTTGAATTATTAAGAAAAAAGAATATTCTTGTCTTTCTCAAAATGTTATCTAAAAATAAGATGAGCTTCCTATTTTCTTAACTGATACAGTGGCTACTATGAATAAAAAAATACTCTTTTCAAGGTTTTTTTGCCAGAAAACTGAAGTGGTTTTCCTGTCACTATCTTTAATTTTGATGCCACTTTAGTCGGTGCAGTTTGAAAAGAAAAGTAAAAAAACTTAAGTATAAATAGCACTTTGCTTTAAAACTAAAAATTTGCTTCATAATCACCATTTAGCAAATGGAAGAAATCATAATCGTCACCAGAAAAAAAACATTTCTGCATAAATTCATTAATTTTACTGCATGCAGTCAACAAACACTTTCCCCAAATCCTTGACAGAGATAATTGACGACCATTGAGATTATTTGACTGCACTAATTACATTAAATGACTTCCTTAATATCCTCCACTTCGCATTATACAATGCGACCTTCCCCTCACTGCAATAAACATTTGTTTGCGCCTCTTCTTCAAAAGAAAATATTCTCCAAACCCCCGACACTATGAAGCGGATGTTTTTTTGATGTGATTATATAACTTGTTTCTTTCCGAGCGCTGCTGCAGCGTTTTACCGTCAATCGACAGCAACGAAAGCCTTGCGCTGGGAGCGAACGCAGGACTTTTTTCTTGCGGGGTTTCTTTCACCGGTGCCAAAGGATCCCCCGGTCGCAGCTGTTTTTGGAGCTGGTGCCCGTCGAGGTCTGTGCCCAGCCAGGGCGTCAGGCAGGGAGCGGAGCGGGATCTCACCCCGAGCTCCGTGGGCAGCCGGGCTGTACAGCTCCTTCCCGGCCGGCAGCCGGGCTCGCCAGCCCCATCACCTCGCCCACCCGCGAACTTTTCCGAGCGGGTGCCCGCGCCCGCTCTACCGTGTTCGCACCGCCTCCCGCAGCGGCTCAGCCCGGTCCCCCCACACTCACCGGCGGGGCCCCGGTACCGCGTGTGTGTCTGGAGAGCCCCGCTGCCGCGCTCGGAGCAGGTGCTCCGCTCCTCCGGCCGCCAGCCGGGCTCTGACAGCGGCAGCCCGGGCAGTGCTTCCTCTCCGGACGGACACAGGACGGGAACCGCCGCTCGGCTCGCTCCGGTTCCCCCCTGCCCACAGGAAGGCGCGGGGGCAAAGACCCCCGGCCCCAGAGTGCTGCTGCCGCTGGAGAGCCGCTCACCTCCTGGGCTGCTGTTGCTGCCGCTCCTGAGGAGTCTCATCCCCCTTCTCCTCCTTCTTCTCCTCCTCCTCCATGGTGCCGCTCCACCCCTTCCACGGCGGCGGCTCTGCAGGTCTCCGATAGGAGTTGGTGAACGGCTGCGGCGTTCCACCTGACCAGCACGCTGCCGAGGGCAGCGCGACGAGCTGCAGGGAGCAGTTCCACAGCACCCGGCGCCCCACCATGGCGAACAGGGGTTCCGCGGCGTCCAGCCCTTCACGGTGGCGAGCAGAGGTCACCACACATCCTAGCCCTTCACCGTGGCGAGCAGAAGTCACCACACAACCCGGCCCCTCACCGTAGTGGGCAAAGGGCACCACACCTCCCTGCCCCTCACCATGGCGGGCACGGACTCCCTACCGTCCGGCCCCTCACCATGGCGGGCAAAGGGCATCACACCTCCCGGCCCCTCATCCCGGCGGGCACGGGCTCCCCTCAGCCCGGTCCCTCAGCGTGGAGCGGCGCCGTTAACAAGATGGCGGCGGGGGGCCGTGTCTGGGGGGTAGGGGGAGTCCCGCAGCCATGGCGGGACAGCGTCAGGGCTGGCGGCACGTTCTGCCCCTGGAGGCCGGACTGCTCTTCGGCACCGGGGAAAGGAAGCGCTCAGTTGTGCTTCTGGCCGATTCCGATGGGAGGTGAACGCTGCGTGCAGTGCCGTTTGGGAGCAGGAGAGTGCTCCGGCCGCCAGGTGCTGCGGTGAAAAGTTTCCTGGGCTCGGTTCTCTCAGCAGTCCGGGGTAGTGCCGCCATCCCCGGGAGTACCGGCGCTCACGGCAGATGCGCCGTCTGGGCGAGGCCACCCTCCCTCAGAACAGCCCACCCTGCAGGCTCCAGTGTCCTGCGGCCTTGGGAAGGTAAAATTCATGTCCAAGTCACTTCACGTGCTGGGTTACAACCATCCTCTCACTCCCTGCTCATGTCTTCACCGAAGTTTCCAGACTATGGTCTGAGAAGTGAGGTATTTTGAGGCACCCAACCCAGAGGAATTGGGTTCTCAGAAATAAATGTGTATTTTTAAACTATTTCCTTACTTCCTTAAGTATGGAATGGACGGCAAAGAACAAAGGTATGCAGGTGTGATGTGAAAAACACCCCATGTTATCTAGCAGCAATATGAAATCTAAGACTATCTAGAGCTCTGAAAGCATATTTACATACATTTATCTCGAAGCTTGGGACTGGATATATGGTTCCTAGGTAAAGAAATCCTACCTGTGTTCAAGGCCAAAGTTCTCAATGCATGTCTTGGGAGACTAGAAATATGGGCCTTACTCTTTTGTTATCTGTCATTCTCTTAGTTTCCTTAAGGTAAAGGAATGATAAAACTATTAAGCTGCCTTGTTCTGTTATCTGTTTTCTGTGTTCTTTACATATCGATACAGATATATGTTGGTTGCTTATGGCCAGGAAGATTTGCTGACCTTTGCCAGTGGAAATTCCTAATTTATTTCTTATTTCTGCCCCTTCTCGCCTGACATTTCCT